TCGCGAGATATCGATGATCTGGCACGCCAACGTAACGCTTCGAGGGTATGCCGGCTTCAGGCGGATTGGCAGCTCGGTCTGCTGGTTCATTTCGGGGGGGCTCCTGTTCTGGCCTGTTTATCAGTGTTCTGGCTGGTGTATCAGTGTTCTGGCTGGTGTATCAGTGTTCTGGCTGGTGTATCAGTGTTCTGGCTGGTGTATCAGTGTTCTGGCTGGTGTATCAGTGTTCTGGCTGGTGTATCAGTGTTCTGGCTGGTGTATCAGTGTTCTGGCTGGTGTATCAGTGTTCTGGCTGGTGTATCAGTGTTCTGGCTGGTGTATCAGTGTTCTGGCCGGTGGAATGGTATCAGCTATCAGTATAGATCATTTTAATGGAAACAGGTCCTGCAGTTAGAACAAGTATCGCCTGAGTCTGCGCTGTGATCAGAGAGGAGGCCGGCATTGAGTGAAACGGTGAGAAAGGAAGCATGTTTCTAATCCCATGCACTTTCATTCAATATGGCCAGTGAACCCGTCCGTGTCGCTTAGTCGGCGACGATGCGATGCAGCACTGGAGACGACCGTTGCCTAGAAGCGGAGCCCCATGATGTCGTCGTTATCGTGAGCTGGTGCTGTTCGTGTTGCTCTTTTTTCCTTTCTTCCTTTCTTTCTTTCCTCACCCCCTGGAGCTATCTCTTTCGCGTGAATCTCCTTTAGTGTCCTTTGGTGGTGAACAAGAAAAAACACACTTCAAGATCCATACTCTAGGTATTAAGCAAGACCTCCTAGAGTTCAGTATGTGGTCCCTCGAAGAAACCGCTCTCGAGACCTGGTACGTGTATAGCAAAAGACCTGTCTTCTGGCCATGATCTCTCCTACATATCCCACAGCTCAACCCCACAAGCTAATCCTTCAGCTACAACAGCTTCAGCTACAGCCACGAGCTGACTCTAGCAGGAATCGCTCCTGCTCTGGGCCGTCCACAGTATCATCAACTCCTTCTCCCATCCTTCAGGATGAAGGGAAAGGGTCAAACACCCTAGTAAGTCCTGATTCATCAACGGTCTTCTGCATCGTGTCTCCTGTCTCCTGTCTTCTCTCTATGTTATGAGCCCAGCAACCAGATCAACCTCGCAGCTAACGTATTCTCTCGTTCAGAGTAAAATCCTTCTTTCTAGAGGACAGGCTCACTCCCTTCCTCAGGCTAGGCCCTCTGGCTGGACCAAGGCTGGGAAAATAGCCCAAAGACCTCGAAACTTTCCAAAACCAAAAATTCCCAGCCTTGGTCCAGCCGTACTACAGAAGGAAGGTCGGCCGTCAGAATCAATTGATCGACAGCATCACCAAATAAATCCCATGCTTAACCACTGGCCCAACCTCGGCCTACACAAATATATATATATATATATATATATATATATACATTTTTGTATAAACATATATACAAAAAGTCCGTCAGATTACTTTCCCAATCCCCGATCATCCACTAATCACCGCTACAGACTAAGCTATCACCGAGCAGCACCACCACAAGCGCACCTCTACTCAACTCAACCCTATAGACAAGATATAGGATAAACTCCCTCTCTTCCTCAGGCTACTGCCTTCTGAACCAAGGCTGGGAACCGTCCAAAGATCCAAACTTCTCAACATCCCCAGCCTTGGTCCAGCCGCACCACACCGCAGAAGAAAGGCCGGCCGTCAGAATCAACATCACCAAATAAACTCTCAAACTTGGTCCCACTGGCTCAGCCTCGCCCTGAACACACACGTACGCACACACATATATATATAATATATACACAAAAGGTTCGTGACTCCCCTCCATCACATCACGTTGATTCTACTGCTCATTCCCAGACAGATGAACCAGACCGGCATGCGGCTCCGATACCACAATCCCTTCCCTTCCCCCCGGCCGCCGGAGTAGGCTATCAGGGTGGCGGGTGGGGGGGGGAAGGGGAAGGGAACACAAAATGGAAAGGAGATTTGGTCATCTGTGGGATGTTTGTCTTTGCTTTAAGACTTATGTATATAATTTATTCACATATATATCAATCCATCTTGTATCTACTTCTAGCTTTGCGGATTGGTTCTCGAGGAGATCCCAAAACCCGCACAGAGTATTGCGTGGTGCCTGGGACTATAGCCAAGGAGGAAGATGAAGCAGAAGGAATCTCGTTGGACGATGTGTGGTTCTTTAAGGGTGCTCGTGGCAGGCCTGCATTGACGTAGACCACATCTGGATATACTCCAGCCCTGCACAATCAGTGGACTACTTGAATGAACCATGAAGTTCACCTTCCTCAGACATAAGCAAGGAATTCTTCTTACATAGGCACAGCAGGGTACGAATAGGAGTGCATTTGACCACACCAAAGTTATGAGTACATGTGAACCTGAGGATGCGAGGTATATGTCAAGTACTCCAGCCATCTCCAAATGTCCCCACCACCTTTCCCACCATCCCAAACCTGCCGGACCCAAGAATAAAAAAGAAGCGAAATACATATTTATATATATCAAAAGATGGCTATGGACAAAACACCCCGAGGACCTGGACCAGCCAGAAAGAAGTCCTATCTTCACCTGCTGCTCTTTAATCCAAATAAAAACCCGCGAAACCACCTCCACATGTTATTTTCTGGATCAAGTGGTAGGCATCGGCCGCAACTGCATCGGCAGCTCGGAGGCCTTCTCTTCTTGTTCGTCAAAGACCTTCTTCTCGATCCACGCCGTGAGGCGGGCGCAGAGAGGGTCAACGTAGGCAGTCCACAGGGAGGCGCAAATGTAAACCAGCCCGATCCAGAGCGGGATACAGAGGGCGACGACCCAGGGAGGGCGGATGGGCAACCACGGGGGGAGAACAGTCTGGCCGTTCTCGTCGACAGTCTCCTCCCATGGTTGGCCGGTGATGCCGTAGAGCATCCAGCACAGAACAGTGCGCAGGAGAGTGCCGTGGACGAGGTAGACGGCGAAACTCTGCTTGCCGAGCCAGAGGAGGAGGCGGTTCGCCAGGAAGGACTGCGTCCCGGGTGAGATGAAGATGGCGAAGATGATCATGTCCACGCCGATGGCACTGTACCGCTTGCCAATGTTAACTTCGGGAGGGAAGATGTAGTGGGACAGCTTGAACATGTAGTCGGACCAGGTAGCCCATTCGGGGTGCTCGCCGGGATAGGAGCAAATCAAGAGACCGGCGATAGTGATCACGATGGCGAGGATGCGGCGCGGCCAGCGGTGGGCTTCGACGAGGGAGCGGAAGGTGGTGTCGTAAGACATATCACTGAGGAGCATGCCATAGACGGCTTGGAGTTGGAAGGTTTCTACCAAGGGGGTGGCGAGTTAGTGAGGAGGGGAGGGGCCGAAGTTTGGAAACCGGGGGGGGGGGAGCTTACCAGTGTCCTTGGCGGCGTCCTGGTGGAAGTACAGCATCATGCCAATGTAGATGGCAATGCGAAACCGGAACTGGACGTACATGGTGGCGCAGAGCAGGACATAGACGAGCATGGATGCCTTCAGCAACGGCAGCAACGCCCATTGGTGGTCATCATAGGCCATGTACCCGGTGGTCCAGGTGCTGAGGAAGTTCCCTCCCAGGCGAATGACCTCCTTGAAGAACGAATCTTCCAAATCCGGGGCGGCATATCGACACCACCAGCAGTCGGAGCGGTTGGCGACAATAAAGGCGCCAAATTGGGCCATGACCCACGAGATAAACAGGGCAATGGTGGCTGGGAAGATTAAGCGCGGAGGGCGGCGGAAGGCGCTCTTGGCAATGGTCGAAAACGCACTGAGGTGATTGCCTGCCCGCGACAACTTCAACGGCTTCAAGGCACACACATAGCCGGTGAGGAACGCGAAGATGGTGACTCCGAGTCGTCCCTGCCATGGGATGCGGAGGATGGGCCACTGGAGGACCCGGGGAGGCACTCCCTCCTTGTCTCTCGGCGCGAAGAGATCATAGTCCCAGGCGCGGGCCAGGTGGGTGAGAACAACGAGGAAAGAAGCAATCCCGCGAAGACCCTAGCCAGTCCGGTCAGTATGTTAGTCTGTTGTTATGTTGCCCACGAGGCGTCACCGTAGACAGACGAGCACGAGGAAGGACATACATCGATCCACTTGACACTTTTGCGAGGGTCTCCGGGGGGAGCGTTGGGATTCCATAAAGTATCCCGTAGGCGAGTGTAAATGCCGGACTTCTGTAATGACTGCATGCTGGAAATGAAGGAGGATGTAATGTAAATCTAATGTATATTCATAGAGCAAAGAAAGACAGGCTGGAGTTGGCACGCAAGCGAGCCATTCATAGATACAACCAACAGCCGAGGTAAGAAGAAGGAGAATGAAGCAGTAGGAGGGGAGTAAGTTAGTAAGGTAAGTGAGTAGAAGAGATGGAAGGAAGGAAGGAATGACAAGAGAAGGAGAAGTAAATAGAAGAAGAGGAAGGGGAAGAGGAAGGGAGGAGGAAGAGGAAGAGGGGAGGAAGAAGGGAAGGAAGGGGAAAGAAGGAGGAAGGGAAGGAAGGAAGGAAGGAAGGGAAGGGAAGGGACAGTAACAGTAAGAGCAGCAGCAGGAGCAGCAGCAGGAGCAGCAGCAGCAGCAGCAGCAGCAACAGGCGTGGTAGTGAGTAAGTAAGTTACTGTAAAGACTGTGAGTGTGAGTAAGTACTACTCCGTACTCGTACAGTACTGTGTAGATAGATAGTAGGGCGGGTCGTTCATATGCCCGATTTATCAGTAGTACCAGTCCAGGTGGAATTGGAGTACTCTGAGTAGACCCGAAAAGGGAGCTGCCAAGCCCTCCAGCCGAAAACCCGTAAGGCTCAGGGACTGAGAGGGACTTTTCCACTTTCTGGCACTCTTTGGCACACTTTCCAGGGGTGGACGACAAGACATTGGCCATTCTTGGCTGGCTAAATTGCGCCATGCCGAGCCCTATGATGCCATTAATACACTTGCGTGGCCCTCTTCTTCCTTTTATTCGCCCTTTTGCATGCACAATGCAAAAAGAAAAATAATAATCCAGAAAACAACTAATTATAGCCAGATATGTGTAGGTGCCCCCCCCTCTTTTGCCGTTGCGTTGCGTTGATCAATGACTATCAAGCCTCCATTGAAACCCATTCTCACTATAATGGAGACAAACACGTATTATTAGTCTAAAACATCGCCATCTTCGACCTGTCACCACTCTGCGCTTTTTCGGCAGGTGGCAGGTGGGAGAAGAAAATTTTGATGGTCGCAAAAGAAAAGAAAACGGGGAGTACCGTACGGCGTACATTCACTCACTTGACAGACACTGACAGACAGAGGGTTTATCCACGGTAGGGATGATTGATGGGTCTCTTTTTTCTTGGCACTTTGGCCCTCGCCCTCTCCCATTCCCTCTCTCAATTCCCGAAGGCCCTCTCTTACTCCCTCTAACCTCAACCAACCCCCCCCCCACCTGACCAAAATCCATACCTCTTCATGATTCAGTCCCTAATTGTCTTGGGTCTTGGCCGTCAGCACTCAACGAAAGATGCGCCGTCCTCCGACGCTACCTGCAGCCCAAGTCACCGACCCCCGAACCCCCAGATTGCCCATACTCAATCCGGAGAATCCAACGCCACCTCCTTCCCCATCTCGCTTATACCGCCGAAGCGCTTCCCTCAAATGGGCCGGAAGGAGCTGCCCCCGGTGCGGATTGGGAGGTAATTTGGCCTTCATCTCGTTTTTGGCAGCAGTCGTCGTCAGCAGTGGTCCGCCTCTATCTATCATGCCCTGTGGCTTGACCACTCCGGGATGATGGTTCGTCGTGGTTGGGGTGGTGGAGGTGGAACTGGAGGCCGCCTGGTCATGAGCTTCGGCCCATTCCGCCTGCACCGTTCGAGCCTTTTCGATAATCTCGCCCGCAAACACCTTCGTAAATCCGTTAATCGTCGTCACCACGCTAGCCGGCACCGATTGCGAGAGCGCATGATTGACAATTCTCCGTAGCGTCTCCTTTCGTAGCTTCGCTCGCTTGAACAGATCGTATCGCTCCGACTGCAGCGGATTAAACGCGTCCACGAGTAATCTGTTCGGTCCAGCCGCCCACCACTCTGGTTAGCATGGGATTCTCTTCGTTTCTTTTTCTTCTTTCTTTCGTGGATTGTTTCACCCTTCCTTCCTCTCATGCTTTTTCTTGTGTCGTCCTCCTTCCTTGACTTCTCGACCATCACCACAAACCACACCACCAAAAAACAAGCCACGCAGTCAGGGGGGAGGGGAAACCCAAGGAAAGAAAGGGAAAGGAAAGTTGTCAAACATACGCAAGATTCTTCTTCTCCGCCTCCGTATCCGTGGTCCCTTCCTCCCTACCCAGTAGTTCACCCTCATCATCAAAATCATCATCCTCATCAGCATCATCCCCGCCTCCTCCTGCGCCTGCCCCTGCCCCTGTGCCTCCCCCAGCACCAGCCCTCACCGAGGCGCCCTCCGCGTCCACGGACCCCATCCGATCCACCATCCCCGCCCGTAGACTCCCTTCCTCGGCGCGCTGCTCGCGCTCCTTCTCGGCCTTGCTCTTGCGCCCGCGCTTCTTGCCCTTGGTCGTGAGGAACACCCCGTCCGCGCTGGTGCCGCCCAGGCTGCCCGTGAAGCTGCCCGTGACGCTGCCGGCGTCGCTGTAGGCCCGCGACGAGGAGTCCAGGTCCATCGTGTTGGGGAAGGAGGTCTGGCGGAGCGGGTGCATGCGGGGCCGCTTGGGGTTGAAGCCCGCCGGCTGCGAGGCCGACGAGGAGATCGAGGGCCGTTTCAACGGGTTCGTGGGCGGCGGGGAGGACATGGTTGTTTTTGTGGATGATGATGATGATGATTATGACGATGTTAATGGTGGGGAGGAGGTAGGTGTGTTGTTTTGTGTTTGGCGCTGCTGCTGTTGCTGCTGCTGCAGTGTTCGAGGGAGAAAAGGTTTCGTTATGTTCAAGCCTCAGATGACGACGGTCGCAGAATTTAGCCCGGCCGCTGGAATCAAAGCTGCAGGATCGACTGGGTGCGTATCATAGACTGGTTTCATTTAAGAATTCATGCACAAAAAGAATACTTTGTGCACGGGTAGATGGAGTGGGTGAGTGACTGGATTGAAGGTTTGAGTGAGGGTCGAAGTGTTGCGACAGAAAGAAGTGACGGAAAACCGACCTTCCCTTATCAGAGGGTCCCGCCCCCATTCGGCAACTCTGCCGACCCACGATGCGTACGCAATCCTCTTTTTAGGGCCACTGCTTATTTCTACCTCACCCTTGCCTTACTTCTATGTCGCAGACTACGACCCGCGCATCTTCTACGAATGAATGCAAGTATAGATTCAATCATCATGTTCAGGTAAGTGAAGGAAACTCAAGGCCTAACGCACAGGTGGCACACCACCGCGCTCAACGGATAATAAAGGACTCGATGAACTGATGCTGGGAACACAACGCAACTCAAATCGCTAGAAGCACAGGCAAGCACAGAATACCCGACATGAAAGGACCTGAAGGTAGGTCGGAATGCACATCAAAGCAAGAACACAATCTCCCTGTTCCACCAAAGTCATCCTTCATGACCTACACGGACGGACACATGGCTTCGCTCTCAGATGCGCTCTTCTCCGAGCCTGGGGGCCCCCCCTTTCCAGTCAAGACGTTCGTAGTAGCGGAACACCAGGTCATATCCGTCCAGGTCATGCACAATCCGGTCCACCCGCCGGTATCCCTCCACATGCTCCATCTTGGAGGTGCGGCGCAGCAGCTGTCGCTCAAAGTACTTGGCCTCCTTGATACTGTCCCACTCGCCCTCAACCACGGGCAACTCGGGCTTGGCCTCGAACAAGGTCACGGTAAACCGGCCCGGCTTGAAGATGTTCACCACCTGTTGGATAATACCCGCAGTGGTCTGTCCGTTCTGCGAGTGAGGTACATTGGTCTCAAACGACGCATACGAGCACTGCGGCTCGGGTGTAACGTGCACCGTGAAGTAGTGAGTGCCAGTGGTCTGGTCGGGCGATGGAATCACTCCGTTGGCGGAGAATCCACAGGGAGTGAACAAGTAGGCGTCAATGCGGGACTCTGGGAATTTGGATTTAGGGTAAACATCAGACAGGCCGCACGATTCTGACACCACAGTACCCAAGGCGTGACCCTCGGTGGTCAGCTCTGCTGGCAGGATGCGGCTCCCGTCGGAGGAGGACACATCGTCCATGTCGGAGTTGTTGCTGAAGACATCCACTGGGTCCTCATTGTCGGTTTCAAAGTTGCGGTACCGCTTCTCTGCCACTGCAGTAGCATGGTCCAGGTAGAACTGCTTCGCGTTCTCCTCCTCCAGGTCAGTCATCAACACCTCCAAAGTCTCATCCATAGCCTCGGCTCCCGGGATGGCAGCGTGGCTGGGCACACTGAGAATCTTGGTCTCAGTCATCTCCTCGTCATCCGCCTTGGGACTCGCGGGAGGTGTGAGCATGGTGTTGGGCTCAGTCAGGTACAAGTACCAGTGCTCGCCGTTCATCTTGCCGATCATGTAGGCGCTACCGTTCAAAAACAGTCGGTCCATGGTCCGAACCTCATCTCTCCAGCTACGGTGGGGACCGCGCTGGCGATCAGGGAACAGGAAGTTCTTGCGACTGTAGAAAACGCGGTAAGGCGCAGCAGCAACGGAAATGCCACGCGAGGGCGCCGCAGCGCGCGGGAAGCCGCCAAACAAAGCGGCGATCTCGAGAATGCGGGGCAAGCCAGACAACAAGGTGGTGGTGCCACAAGTCTTGAGAATCAACTTGTGAGGCCAGACAAACATGCTCGACTCGGACAAGAGGTAAGCGTCCACATCCTCGGACGACACAATGGAGAGCACTTGGCAGTTGACGAGATCCAGCATATCCTTCCAGATTTCCTCGGGCACGGCCTTCAGGCCGGCGGGACCAGCAGACCCCAGCTCTTGGGCGGAAGGTGCAAACCAGACCTCAAGGAGCTTCTCGGGTCCTATGAACACATCAGCACTGCGCACGTGAAACCAGGAGTAACAGCAGAAGAAGCCAGCTTACCTTCGAAAGCATTGGTAGAGTCAAGGTCCTGGGTCGCTTCATGGTTGATCGTCAGCGACGGCGTCCCCATGAAAGAGGACGGCGACTGAGTGTAGTTCTTGGGGATCCCGATGTAAACCATCTTGGCGGAATCTGAATGCGACAAGGAGAGAAGCGGCGGCGACGGAGCAAGTGATGGAGCAAGCGCGTGACTGGAAGTGTGGACCGTAGACAAAAGAGCCTAGGAAGCACTATCTGCTGCCCAGACGAACAGGGGGGCTATGTCCGTCTGAGAGAGTAGGCCCTGAATCGCAAGGGCGGAATTGGCGCTCAGCCGGAGAGGGGAAGGTTCCAAAAGAGCCTCGAGGGCTACTAGGGAGGGCGGAAGGAAAGGGAAAGGAGGAAAAAGCCTCTGGCGAAGGGAATGGTGACTATCAGGTGTCGACTCCCGTTCTGGAAGATTCCGATACCGTTCAAAGTATCGGGTCTAGCAGACGAGAGTATCTGCTTTTAGGATTTAGAGATGAAGAAGAAAACAGGTTGCGCAAGTGAAACGAGGTCGAGAGTTAATCGTGCTATCGAGGTCTGAAGAATCACAAGTCAGTCATGAGCAATCGGTTACACGGCGGTCTCTTCTGATGCAGAGGAAAGAACCGTGGAGGAAGAAGGAGGACCTACTTTGCGGGCTTGGACAGATATCGCAGTAGATCCTTCGGGTTCATGGAAGGCGAAACAAGAAGTGAGCTTAAAACAGCACGGTGTCGCGAGAAGCCAGAATATCGGACATCTGCGAGACGACTTTTTGTTGCAATGCGATAGAACAGGCGAGGGGAAATTGAAAAAGAAAAGATTGAGCAACCGGAATTGACTTTCAAAAAGCAGTCAACGGTTGACAAGCTATGTTGTTTAACAAAACAAAACAGACCTCAACAAAGTGAGGAATGGGGAAGGAGGGGGTGGGAAAGAATTTAAACAAAGAGAAAAAGACGCGGACGTGAGGGGGGGGGCAAGAGAAGTTGATGCTTTTGAGTGATTATTATTCTGTGGGCCCGAAAAAGTTTCGTGGGGCGCAAAAGACCAATCTGGGTTGGGCTTTTGGCTGCAGCACAGAACCTGGCAAGAAAAAAAAAGGACCGGTCAGAGAAGAGGAAACAAGTCGAACCGGGAAATGCAGGATAGAAGAGAAGAAGAGGGGCAAGGGCATACGTAATTGGAGGGAGAATGCAGGAACGAGTCTGAGCAGTTGAGATAAGGTGTATTATTGATTGTTGTAGGTAGGCTGGCAGACTCTCCCACAGCTGATTCGATCTGTAGAAGGAGAAGAATGAGCAGGTGAGTGGTTTTTTTTGACGCCTGACCGCGTCAATCTAAGACAAGTTCCAGGCGGGACTGGGGGGACTCGGGAGGCAGAGAACAGGGCCAGAGCACTGCACTGCACTGCAGAAGGGAAGAGTTACTGTTTCCAGTAGGCGGTCAGTCCCCGCTCATTTCCCCCTCATGCTTATCTCAGCTGATCTTCTCTCCCTCAAGCAGTGACGTCGTGAAATTCAATCGGAAATGGCAGAAAGTCACATGGCAGGAATGACACGGTAGTACTCGTTAGTTTACTCGGAGTATTCATACTAAGGTTAGGAATTTAGTCTAGACTATTCTTAGTATTATTCTGAGTTGTCACTCCCTCCATCATCTTACTTCCTTCCTTTCACCTGCACCTGGCACTTCATCCCTTTCTACTCTCCCTCACTTCTTCCCTATCTTCTTTATACTTCTCCATTGAAGGTCGTGCATGCGTCATTTCTTATCATTATCGACACCGCTAGAATGCTAGTACTAACTTTGTATGTATGACTCCGTCCAGTCTGTCACAAAAAAGGGGGGGAAAGGGGGGGAGGGGGGGGGGCGAGAAAGGAAAACAAGAAAGAACAAGAACACCTATTTCCTTTTCCAAAACGCCATCTCTTGCTGCAACAGAAGCAAACAAAAGAAATATGAATCATCCCATACGGACCGACAAAAGAGGGGTTGCTGTAGCCTAGGGCCCTAGTACCACCTTAGGTACTGTAGGTTTCAACCGTTCAACCGGTCAAGCGTCGAGAATGGCCCGCGCGGTTTCCACCTCCCCCACGTCCTTGATCTTCGTCGCCAGAAAGTCACCCACTTTCCCACTCAATCGCTCCCGCAGGTCTTCCGTGACAACGCCCCCGTGCCCGTTGGTGAGGGCCGTGCGTCCTTCCCGCAACGTTGCCAGAACCCCCATCAAAACCATGAGAACTCTTTCGGCCTCCGGTCGCCGTGGGCTGTCCTCCGCCATTCCGTCCTTCAACAGGTTCCCGTAGGTCGGCAGGTTAGGCAGAATCAGAACCCGCACCGCCTCGGCACCGCCAACCGCATGAAGTCCAATGATGGCGCCGTAATGTGCCCCAAATGGTTTGGATGGATCCAAAAACGTCTTCAGACATGAGCGAGCCAGTCGTGGCTTGAGCGTATGAGAGGAATGCGAGTACTTCTTAGCAATGAGACCCAGGAGCGACGCGGAAAGATCACGGAGGGCAAACTGCTCGGTCAATTCAGCGCTGCCGCCCAGTTGTCGGGCGATCAGGCAGGTGAGAATGGGCGGGACAAGTGATGGGATCTGCCGATAGCTCATTAGTAATCCTTGCGAAAGTCACTCTCCCTAGTGGTATACTCACATAAGGGTCAACATATAGTGATTTGTTCTGCACGAGGGCCTCCGCCATGTGCATGACCTGCGTAAGGACAAAGATATCCTTCAGGCCGTGGGTCACCTTCTCGGAAATGAACTGAACAAAGTATGGGACCAGCTGGTGCAGTCCCGGATCCTCTCGTAGGCTAGCATAGCCTGATGTGCGATATTCTTCGCTGGAATCGTCCAGGAAGGCGTTGCAGACTTTTTCGAAGTAGAGCTGGAGTTCCTTGGACAAGACATGCTTGACCAGCGGTTTGACGGCCACATTGCCCCCTCCACTCATAGCCGCGAGCGTCGAGCTAGCGTTAGGACCTTTGGACATCAATTCGAGGTTTCTCGAGTCGGCCGCGGTAGGGTTCTGAGGGATGGACGGTTGCACTCCTTCAACGGCGAGCCAGTGCGCTTTGCTGCGTCAGCAAGGAAAGACCAAGCGACAGACCGGGGATCCTTACCTGTGAACGAGATTTCTCGGGGCACTCTGGGTAATGGCGCGTTAATCAGCTTTTCGAAGTCCACCTCCTCGTCTTCCACGTAGAACAGCGGTTGTCCAGGTCCCAACGACGCCTCCCCGAACCGCAAGGGCCTCGTAGATTCATATCCGTAGAGTGGCTCGACGTCGAGCACGCGCAAGGCTTGTGCGACATCCTGTGTTGAGAGCAACGTTCGTCGACTGTGGCGCATGAATTTGAGGGCTTCTTCCAGAACCTGCGCGATGCGGTATTCGACGTCACGGGCAAGGTTCTCGGTCACATCGTTGTTGAGGTTGACGATGCCCACCGACTCGGCAACATCGCGGATGTTATCTGGGTTCCAGACCGACATGGCGGTGGAGATGGCGATGGTTGAATTGAGATGAAGCGGAGCGGAGGAGGGTGCGGTAGAGGTCGTAGCGAAGGCGAGGGGTGTGTTGAAGGCTGATAAGGGAGAAATATTATTACAAGATGAGAAAGACAAGAAAGAGAACTCAATTCTCAATTGAAGGAATCATGAAAGTAAAATGCGGGGTCGACACTCGTGTTAATCGAGCGCCCTGAGAATAAATTGGAGCTGATGGAGGAGGATCGGAGATGCGACGCGGAAAGCCGAGCTGTTACTTCGAGCGGAGGAAGAGGAAAGCGGCAGGAAATTCTTGTCCCGCCCTCACGCCGAGGCCCGTCAGTCAAGCTCAACAATGTCTACCGCAGTGTTTCTACGTTATTATCCTCAAACAGAACTTCGTGGAACACAATTAATCAATAGGTCAAGTGAGAGACCTCACAGTGCATACAGCTTTCATTGTTTCCAGGTAAGAATACAGCTATTGTGCATCATGAATGGACAGGACACACTTTGAAATCCGCCAATCTATATACTCATGCATGCCTGAGGCTTTAAGCTGCTCATATAGTCTACTACACACCTTCCATCCTCCATGTAACCAACAATTCCCTGAAACTATACTATTCAAATCAGATGGACAATCAATCACAGAGACTGCACAGAGTGTAAAGCCATAAAATGGCTACGATCTAAACCGCGTACAATACTCTCCACAAGATCCCAGTCTAACTACTATATACTACCTACACCAATCTATACTCAAATCCCAGCCCACATACTAGACCTCAAAGACCAGCCCAAACGCCCTCCCAACAACCCAGTCCCCTCTAAACCACAGTCCCACAATCCTATAAACCCAGCCACCATGCCCCTCAATTCACAAACCCCCCACCACCTCAACACAGCCTCTCCCTCCCCCACCGAAGAGCACAATCAAGTTCGCGTGAAAGACTACATCACCAACACCCTATCCAACCTCCTCACCGAGCTCGGCTCCCCAGACGGCCACCCCTCTATCACGCTCAAGACGCGGTCCACAAAAGTCTCCACACGATTCATAAACCCTGAGACCGGGGCCCTGGAGACCCATGCTGCCTCCGCTGTATCCACCACATACACCTGGCCGGGGAAAGACTGCTACGAGGCTTGGAAGTTTAGTATGTTTCTTATCCCCTCCCCACCTCTCAATCATGTTTAATTACACCCCACGGAGTATAAGGCTGTTAATGCAGGGTACGACCCTCGAATTCAGCTGTTGCAATGCTAGTCCTGAGTGGAATCGCTGACGCGGTGGACAAGGGAGTGGTGGTCTCTAAGAGGTACTGAATTTCTGCAGCACAGAACAAGTAGCACATCGGACAACAGGCTGACCTCCCATTCTTTCTACTATCACCCGCGAGAACAGAGATATATACTATAACGACCCGGCGGTGTTTGGATCCCAGCGCATCGTGGATAGACTGGTCGATGACTTCGCGTATACCATTGGTGTGGACAGAACGGCGCTGAATGTGGTTTGTACTGGTTTTTCTCTGATGCTGCTGATATAGGAGAAGCTGAGTGGACGAAATGCACGAGCTGACCACCGCAATGGCTGAATGTCTAGGGAGCAGCAGCCAAGGGCCTCGTCGTTGGATGTTTCCAATGGAGGATCAAAAACCAGGCGAGGGTTGACGATGCACATTTCTTCAATCCGGTTGGCGCACACGTTGAAGAAAGAAAAATTCCGATCTGGGGACTTTGTAGCTGACTTTCACGCCCCCGTGCAGGATACCCTTGTCCCGAGGCCGCATGATATCCTGGGTCTGGAGGTTTCAGACATCGAGTGGGTGCTCATCCTGGAAAAAGAGGTAAAGTGCAGTCCTTCGCCTATACAATATATGAACTTTGGGTTGGCTGATTGCAAACAAACAAGCAGGCAGTGTACCGCCGCCTCGCGGGGATGAACTACCATGTCCGATCTACAGCGGGTCTGGGGATTCTGGTCACAGTGAGATCCCAGCCCTATCCAACCCTTTTCTTCATTTCCAACAGGATAACCTGCAACAGGGTAAAGGATACCCGGACCTCAACACACGAGCCTTCGTTCGCCGGCTTTACGACGAAAGCAGACGCCGGCAATCGAGCAAACGAATACGATTCTATGCACTTGTGGACGGTGACCCCGATGGAATGGCAATCATGTCCACGTACAAGTACGGGTCCCTGGCATATGCGCACGAGAACAGCGCATTGAATTGCCCTGAGATCCACTGGCTTGGCCTCCGGACCTCGGACATCGTGACCGGAGTGGACCCATCGGGGAACGATGCCCTCCTCAGCTTGACCCCGAGAGACAGGAAGAAGATCCTGGCGATGCTGGCCAATAACCCAGAGTGGGCGGTGGATGGTCCCGAACAAGAGGCACGAAGTGAGTTGCTGCAGATGCTGATGCTGAACGTCAAGGCGGAGATGCAGATCCTCTATGACGGCAACGGGGGCCTCGTCCGATGGCTAGACCGCAGGATGACGCACTTCCCGTGAAGGAATATGTGCCACAGTAGTCTTGGGATAGTGGTACAAAAAGAACACATACTTATCTGCACTCCCCACAACGGGAAATATATGCATTGATAAAGATATCAGGTCGGACCTTATGATCTGCATGTGAAGAAAGGAACTGGAGCGAGAAAAAAAGGAAGATCGAGAAAAGAAAATGAACGAATGAGCACACCACAAAAACGCCAGCACCGGCACCAATGCACCCAACAGGCTATGCCACGCACTTCTTCCAGACAAAAAGGAAAACAATTTCATACACATGTGCAGGTGAAGGACGACCGGCTTCCCTATATACTTTAGCCAGCCCGTGCTTGCTTGTGTATTTTTTCTTGTCTTGTGAGATTTATAGCCCAAATAAGCATGGCCTCCCCCCAAGGCAGCAAGAAATCACAACCCCAAGCCTTTCCGGACCTCGTCACGGACCTTACGCTCGTACTCACTCCGTCGCTCACGCCACATCTTGGCCGCCTCGACATTCGCGGGACTTTCGTCATTGGGCTCGGCGAGCATGCTCATCACGGAAATGAGGATCTTCTCCACGCTCTGAATGGGGGACCAGCGTTCCGAGGCGTGTTCGTAGTGGTTCGGGTCGTCACCAGGGGGGTGAAGGATGGAAATGCAGACGGTGCCATTAGGATACACTATAATAAGATCACAGTCCGTCAGTTTTCTAGCTTTGAACATGTATGGTTATGCGTAGGGCGCAGAGAGATCTTGAAACCAACAAAATTGAGGCCAAAATGCAAGGTTACTGACCATTGGGATGCCAAACCCCACCGCCAACGAACTTCATAGTCGGCGGGCTCAGCGGATAATCCTTGGGGAACTTCAGCTCGGCCGCGAAAACACCGCCCTCGAAAGGTGTGCCCTCCGGCCCCTGAATCAAGGCTTCCCAGTGGAACATGTCATCTTCCGTGACGGGGCCAGCGGTGATGCCATCCGGCGGGTTAGTTGAGAGGTTCTTGTACTCGTGGAAGAGGCGCTTCTGTGCGACGGATGACATGATGGCGGACCTGTGCGAGAGAAGAAGTGCCCCGACGAGAGATCTTTTTTTAAGAGAAGGTGTGTTAGTTCTTGCTGTGTGCAGTACAGAGCAAGAATTGAGAAAAAAAAAGGTGGGATGTGCCCGTGGAACGATAAGACGGAGGGTTTTGAGGGGGAGGGAAATGATAAAGAGGGAAATGCGGAAGATGGACTCCGGGTGCGGAGAGAATGGCCAGGAGTTGGTATGGGAGGATGGGTGGGGTGTTTGCGAGACAAACGGGGGGCTTAATGTACCTTTTGGCAAGGGGTGAGGGGCAAAAGGGACGGAACTGGAATATCGGTTACTAGAAAGGTGGGAAAGAAAAGCAATTGGAGAAATGTGATTCAATTTCTTCGGATTTGCCACTTTGATTAGGTATTGTCCATTCAAAGAGGAATCCAAGAATCCGATGAACGCATCCATTGATTGATGAGGGGGAGGATGGGTTTGCTGCCTCAGGCTACTGAATTCGCTCCTTATCGCCGCCTGCCCCATTGGAACTGCTTATCGGCAATCATAGTAGAAATAAACACTTGGTAGAATTCCTTAATAGAGCTACTTGGGACAAGCCATAGTCCATATACATCCATGAATAGAATTTGGATATATTGAGTGGCGACGCCTTCATTTGCATTTGAGTATAAGCTACTAGCCTAAGTTACCAAATCTCGTCAACACCTTTGTAGTGTGAGTGCTTGGATAACCCGGAGTACTTAACAATACCAAGTGCTCGAGCGGTTCAAGAGAGCATTTTACAATGTTCTTGTATGCTAATCGTTCCTCATCGTCATCCAGATGGAAGTCATTCTTGACCATTAGCTGCCAATGACTGACAACCTTTACACTGTTGACAACTTTCACTTCTAGGTGGTCGGACTTCTCACAGCATGTTCTTTGGGTTATCGAAGCTATACCAGTTCAACTTGCCTTGTAACACGTCTGTAAACCGCGAGTCAAGACTTCATCATGCTCCTCAGAAGAAGTCCCAACTATCACCATCACCCCCGTCGCCTCTATCATCTTCCTCATCCGCCCACGGGTCTTCTCTATGATCCCCGGGTTTCTCTTGTTGTTCATCGGCCCAGACGTCCCCGTATGGACCCGTCTGACCTTCTGCCGGAGGTTGCTGACCTCCAGGTGCAGCTTGAGAGTCGGGAGGGGAAGCTGGTGGAGTTCCTCCCACGCCCCGCGACATGGCGTCGTATCCTGCCATGGCGCCGGCACCTGCTGCACCTGCCATTGCACCATCAGCTAAGCCGCCGGCGGCCCCAGCCCCAGCCCTACCGACAGTACCTGCAGCAGCTTCTCCAACGGCCCCAGCAGCTCCAGCGGCCCCGGCCTCGCCAGCGACAGCACCCCCTGCGGCAGCTCCCCCGGCGGCGGCCTCTCCACCGAAACCAGGAAGCCAGAGGGGCATGAAGCCAAAGCCGCCGGCGCCGCTATGGCGACTGAAGTAGTCAAAGTCAATGCTGACTGCAGTGGCCAGCATGACAGCGCGCTGGTCTAAACTCATTGCAGTCACGGCGCCGGACTGTTCGGGTGTCTGCTCGCTAGGAGAGGCAGAGTCCATCCGCAAGGCATACACTCCAGTGTCCGTGAAAAACTCGCGGGCAAACCCGGCGAAATTCCGGTTGACAGAACCAATCAGCCGGCTGTCAGCGGAACGGAGAGCAAAATCCCACGATAGGAACGGTTCATCGACATACGCGAACTGATTATAGGCACCCGCAGTCTGACCAGCCTGCGAAGACTGGACCAGCTGCATTTGCTGGGAGCTTGACAAACCGGTCTGTTCGAGTGGTAGTGTCTTCGTTCCCATGTCTAAGGCCGAATTGGGCGAATGGTGATATGTGAACAGGTTGTACTTGCGACGTAACGGGGCCCATTGCTGCTGGGCTTCTCCAATGACTCGCATGTCGTCGAAACCGAGGGACGAAACGCGGGCATTCGAATCACCGGAGGCTTGAGCTAGTGAGTTCGCAGAATTGGCCTGTAGAGCCGTGGACGTGGAATGGGCACTCTTAGCCACCTCGAGAGGGTCGTAGACACGGATACGGGAGTTGATCCACGAGAATGGGCGGTGGAACTAAGTTGCTGTATTAGTACTCGAGCTGAATTGCTTTCATCATGTAAGACTCACCCGCAACACTTCATTCTCATGTTTGTCAAAGACATGCGTGACGAAGCTTCGATGTGTATTGAACCACTGCCTCGCCATCATATTTCCCACGCCCTTCTCTTGCTCTGCCATGAAACCGATATGGTTTCCATTGGCATCCATGACAACATATTTGTTGGCTTGTTCAAATCCGCTGCGACCGAGAGAGCGGATATTAGCCCTGCATAGACCCGTACTGCGAAGGAAAGCACTCACATCAAGACATTCATCAACTCTAGCTGGCGTTGAACAACCAGGCCCGAATTCGCCAGGATGGATGTTGCCGGGTGGCTCTCTTTGATCACTCCATGAGGATCTTCGAGGATGTGAACGGGGGCAAGTAGTGTGTTCTGAGAGGGATCGTAGTGGGGATTTGGTGAGTCGGAAGGAGGAGGTTGTTGTTGTTGTTGTGGATCGGAGGATTGCGATAATGGCACATCTCGTCTGATGGGTTCTGGTCTGCGAATTGAATTGCGAGGGCCACGAGGATTAACTCGTCCGCGATTCAGTGAACTGGCGAATGCCCGGCCGGGCGTTCGAAAGCATCGCGTATGCGATGGTCGGAGTATGGCACTCCACATACTGCAATGAGCAAAACCAGTGATCTTAGAGTAAATAAGGATAAATTTAATTTTGGGGAAGAATATCGTGTGAAATGGCGCGACGAGTCGAGTGAGAGTATGATCGTGGAAAGAGAAATTCATGGATGGCGGCGTTGATGACGGAGTTCTTCGCCTCAGGCCCGCCTCCGCGGCTATAGATCGTTATCAGTTCGCCGCAATTCCACTGTAACGTGGAAGCTCGATTCATCATTTACATGAGTACGAGTAGCATAGGTCCGAGATTATTTTAGATTGTGATTGGTTGTAGCCAAGGCATCCTAACTGTGTTGGAACAATATACTTGTGCCTGAGTTCTCGAATAAGCATCTTACCCACTTGTCGATCGTCGCTAGATCCTCTCGCAAGCGCAGTACATTATGCGCCATCAGCAACCCAAGAGCCTATATCATTCCTGGGTCATAACAGTTGGATGTGTTATCATAGTGGACTGTCCTGAGCATCGATTGCACTGAACTGACATAGGGGTGGGGAGACGTAGATGTCACATTGTTTCCATTGAGCATTGAAGGCAGAGTTGTTGAAGGTATTGATGGCCATATCGCACAGTTATTAGACGTTCGCTCTCTTTTGACCAAAATGCTTCCTGAAAGTCAAGGGAAGCAGCGTTGACATCCTGTTCTCGATCTGCGAAAGGCCCCAGTACATACTCAGTGCCCGTCACCTAGTCCAACAGAATGCAGCAATCCACCGATATCCCGCATACAATCACAAAAGACCCTTGCGCGCCAGTTCAACCTTGCGCGCAGCTTCGCCGGCCTTGAACCCTCCCTTAGAGACGCAGACAGCACTCCCTTCTCCTAGCTCAATCTTCTCTTCGACATTGGGATGCGGGCATGGACAGTGGTGGGGGAAGTGGACGCATGCTAGGGTTCCGGGGCACAGGTAGCGATCGCAGTGAGCTGAAGTTGGAGAACAAGTCATGTTAGCTCTAATCTGCAACAACATGCAAAAGACAAGTCCATAAGCATCTGCAGACTCACCTGACTCCCATTGGTTCTGATACCGAGAACTATCGCTAGGGACATTTTGCGGAGCCTGATGTTGATGGCCGCCGCCCCCGCCGCCGCCAAACATATGCTCGAAGAACTGGAATTGGGCGTGGGCGACAGACGCCAGGAGGAGGAGGAGCCCAAAAGATTTGATCCAGCCGAGCATTCTAAACGATTGTATTCCCTTCGTCAAATTTGCAAGGAAATAAAAGTTCAGTAGAAATCGTGCAAGCGGGAACTTGTGATTAATACTGTATAGATCCAAGACGGCCAGTTGGCCCTTCCCATGGCAGCACGTGACTAACCCAGTCATGCCAAGCCTTTTCTCATCCCGCAAAAAAAAGGAAGCCGCCGGTCTGGATAGCTTCATTTTCCCCTTCTCCACGCCCGAGGAAAAAAAAAGACAGGCTGCGGTCGTCTCCCTTCCAGCTACTACACGCAATGTTCCAACCCCGTGGAGTTCTAGCGCCCTTCCGGGCTCTAGAACGAGCCATTGCGCCCTCCACCCTTCGCGTCGCCTCGTACTCGACCTCGATCCTCTCCTCCCGACCCATCCTCAACTCCGCCATCACAAACCCTTCCTCCTCGTCCACGACATTACCAAGAAGCAACACCACCCGCCTCCTCCCGCCCACCACGACCTCTCTCCTCAACAACCTCCTCACCCAGCAACAAATCCGTCACGCCTCGCACGCCTCCCAAGGAACCGCGAACCGACACTCGCGCGATCCGGCCGGCAAGCGTCTCGGCGCGAAGCGCTCCGCCGGCGAGTACGTGGTGCCCGGGTGCATCATCTTCAAGCAGCGGGGGACGAAGTGGTTCCCCGGCGAGAACTGCGGCATGGGGCGGGACCACACGATCTACAGCATGCAGTCCGGCTACGTGCGGTACTACCTGGACCCGGAGCGGCACCCGGACCGCAAGTTCATCGGCGTCGTCTTCGAGAAGGACGGCAAGCTGCCCACGCCGCGCAACGCGCCCACCCGCCGCCGCCTCGGCCGCGTCGCCGTGCGCTTCGATCCCGCCGACCTGCCCATCAACCAGAAGCAATCATCCGACTTGGTGGCCGAGGTCACCGCGGAGGAGACGACGGTCGGGGATGTGCCCGCTGTCGATGCGGAGGCCGGCTTGCGGTTCCGCCCCGGCTACATGTACCGTGAGGCGAACTGGCAGATCGGTCGTGCCGCGGAGAAGGCCGGCATCACCGCCTTGCCCCATCGTCGCAAGAACCGCTGGCTGGCGTGGCGCAAGAGAACGGCCAAGGCTGAGCGCGTGGCTCAGATGAAGAGCTTGAAGTCCTCCAAGAAGTCCGCTAAGAAGGCGAAGAAATAGACGGGAACCTGGAAATTTCCGGGCCGTTGGGTCTTTATTTTGTGAGAGCCGGGTTTTTGGACTTGATCTTGTAGCCGATTATAGGCCACTCTCGCCTTTCTTTTCTTGCTCGCTCGGCTGCTTTGCTTGCTTGCTCTACGTCCGTGATGTGACCTACTCGGGTCCCTGGCATGCAGTGAATTTCTTTTTCTTTCTTTCTCATTCTCGTCTCTGGCATTTGCGTACAGTCATGGGGTTTATTATATTGGGTGTTTACTTTTCCATTTTTCATGTATTATAAGATAAGATGTCTCCAGTATGTCTCTGTTTCCGCCTACATGTGCAAATAGAACGCTTCTTCAAGTGGTTCAAGAGCAATTGTCATGATTGTTATTATTGAAATAGTGGATTGCGCAGCTAAAATTCTCACAAAGAAGGGTATATGCACTCGAAATACTCCTATCATCCCGCTGAAGAGAAAGTTTTGATCATAAGCCCCGAAACACAAAAGGAGGAACCCCGAGATACGCCGCCCAAAGCGAAGTTTTCAAATCCCCTCTATCCCTGAACCCCCCGAGAATAGCCAACCCGGGTTGGAAAAGGCATATCCTAGACATATTACATGCCACGAGAACACTCATCATTTCACTGGTCGAACAATCGACCCAGAATCAAGCTCTGGCAGACGAACTCATTCCCCACAATCCTGACATTCGTGCTCAACCCAAGATCGTCGCCGGTTACCGACTCCACGAGCTTGGTCCGCTTCCGTTTGCGCGAGTTAGAGCCAGCGCCAGACACTCCCGCCGAGCTCAGGGCCATCGCTCTCGCAGATGGTTTGTCATCGTCATCGATGTAGATCCAATCCCAGCTGCGCTTGCGGACGGGCCCGTCCTCAGTCTGTGCGTTCAGGATGGCTCGAGCAGACTTCAAGTCTGAGACACGCTCGATCCGCGACGCCCCGAGAGCATAGGTCAGGAATAGGTAGGCCTTGCGTCGCTCCTCGTCGCTGCGGCCACTGCGACCTGTGACTAGGAGAACGGACTGCCCGTTCAGGAGATTAGGTCTTCCGGCGATGGTCTCCGAGAGTCGTGCCTCGGTGGCCGGGTACGGCGTTAGGATTCGTGACTTGGTGGCTCCGTTGAGGTATGTGGATTCTCCGGCGGGGAGGAGGTATATCTCCCAGTCGATGACCCGGCCTCGCGCGACGCAGTCTTCAATCCAGCGGTCTGAGAGACATGGGAGGTTAAGCGCTAGAGCCTGCATGTACTTTGATCGGCGAGAATGTCTGTCTGCGATCAAGCAGGCAAAGCCTACGTCCGCGGAGCTGCTGCTGAGCTGGAGGAGGTCATGCTGTGTGTTCGATTCCGTGGGTGGCTGCTTGGTGGGAGTGGCGACGGGGGCGTTCAGCGGCAGATCGAAAAGCTCGTTGAATCCATCTTCTAAGATGCGCCCGTCGTTTTCTAGTATCATTTTTACCACGCGAGCTTTGGCCTCGTTGTTGTCGCCAAAAGAGACGGCAAATACCATTCCGGCGAACAAACCATTTGAGAAGCGGATGCTGCGTGACAGGCGCGCGCCAGGAGAGGAGATAGGCGTGGAAAGTCTCTCCGATGGTGTTGGAGCGCCGCGCTCAAGAAACACTGGTTCGGAGATATAGGTGAAGGCGCGATCTTTGAGTTGGTTCCACAAAATTGTGTCGAGGTAGATCTTGGAGATTGGCACTTCAATGAGGCTCTCAGTGACGGCCAAGCCGGCATTAGGAAGACTCTTGCGCTGCTTGGGGCCTACCATCACAGCTGAATAGCCATAGATATCCGTCATGGGAATCACCCCGTTCGCGGCGCCCTGTTCAATCTCGTCTATGCTCAGCTTGCGGACAAAGCTCCGAATAACATGCGTGACCTTGGGCACGTTCGGCATGTCCACTTTGACGGCATCGCCGGGACGGAGTTCCAATCTCTTGACAGCTCCCATTGAAATGTCCACGGGTGCACTGTCTTCGAACTTTACCCGATACCGAGACTGCGACGTTCCGAATGGCTTGCCAAAACACGTTGCCGGATAGTACGCACGCTTTGTTCCACACCAGGGAGCGAAGACCTGGTTTGCTGCGACTGGGACTTTCTCAGTCAAAGACGGCATGGCCGGTCCGACAGTAGGCACATTATCCGTGGCAGGACTGCCCGTGGCCGACGTCTCTATCGGATCTTGAATGGTGATATCGCTGCGTGGTTCCTCAGGCACAGGGCTGATTGCTTGGCGTTGCTGCGCAATTCCCGACCGCTCCTTGCTCGATGATCCGCCTCGCTCAGTCTCTACAGACCTTTGTCGATTCAACAGTCGTGGACGAGACAGCAATCGTGACTTGTGTTTGCGCGGAACGAAGGTTCGCGGAGGAGAATCGTCCATATCCCACACACTGTCCGCGCTCCGAGGAGGTCTAGAGCGTCTCTGGTAAGCCTTCGCTGCTTTGCTCTGCAAATTTCCCTGCTGTGCGTCCGGCTGCATGTCCATCTGCACCTCAGTCACAGTTCTCGTCGTCGCAGGTTCAACAAGATCTTGGGAAACAGCTTGGGGAGGTACAACACGACTGGTAAGACGAGGAGTCCCTGGAAGAATAGGATCAGAAGCAATGACACCCTGTCCGTCGTTGCCTCGGCGTTTCTTCTTCGGCGAGTCTTGATGCCTGGCAACTGCAGCTTTGAACTCCCAGTCCTCGGCTGACATAATATCAATGTCTGGGTTGAAAGCTCCAGTCCCTCCTTTCGGTGAGGCATCAGCAGCAATCTCCGTAAGTGCCCTCCGTTGCCTCCCACTCGGGCTTGATAGAAGCTTCGAAATTGAGGTCAAGGATGGTTTCAGAGGCGAGGAGCTATTTAAGACGACCCGATGCGAATGCGATGCCCTTTCATGCGCGGCCTGATAAACCGGCGGCAGATCATCGTCTTCCTGATCCGCTGTCTCGTTATTGTTCATGTCATTGGGCCATCCTTGGTTTCCCAGTCGGTTGGGACTAGTCTCCGGAATGCTAGTCGTTGGCACCGCATCCGCAAAGTCCATAGGGGGAACTGGTGTTTCAGCCACGCGAGAGGGCATCGATGATGATTTACCCCGGAAATCAAAGGTTGAAGGCTTGTCACCTACAACTCTAGGCTGCTGAGACACTGTATTACTCGAATCTAGTAAGCTGCCCTCTAGAGCCTGCGTGGCTTTCGGTGTGGGAGAGCGCTGGGGCCCGCCGGATATCGATTCGTCAACATTCATGTCCTGGACTTCACCCAGTTCAAAAGACAGTCCAAGACGACGCGATTCCGCGGGCGGGGAAGATTGCATGCGGACTTGCTTTGTGGGCGAGGACATGATCCTGTCAATGTCCGACGTAGGATCGATCTGAACCTGAGAGTCCGGACAATGTGATGTTCTTCGGCTGCGGTTCGTCTCGACTTCTGCGTCGGCTTCCCTCTGCCTAGGAGAGCGCTGAGAATCTCTGACGATTGATATCTGTGACGAGCTGCCATGCTCATAGGGCTCGTCCAAATGAGCGATGTTGTGAGCTAGGTGTGGCTGAAGCTGTTGCTTTTCCGGGCTTCCATGAGCCGGTGAAGTACTACCATCAAAGGCGAGGGCCTGCGAAAGACGATCATGTGCGCTAGTGGTGGCGGCAACAGGCGTTGCTGCTAGATCAAGACAGTTTTCTTTGTCTTCCTCTCTCGCAGGAATATGCTCCGTGGATGGTGAGATGGACTGACCCCTATTGTCTTCTTGCTCTTGTTCAGTCTCTTCTTCGCTCGAACCACTCCGCTGCGGAACAGTGGACTCTGCAGCTGCCCTCTGCTCACTATCGTTCTCTGCAATAGATTCATCGTTCCAAACTTGCAGACCCAAGTCCCCTGGTGGTGACAACGAACCCTTACTAACTTGTCTGCTTGGGCTACCCTCCGACCTTGCAGGTGCCGTAAGACCTGCAAGCTGGGGTGCTATCTCCTCGTCTATCGTGCGGTGCCGCCTCATGCGTTCGACAAAGCTAGGCTCCTTGCCAAAGTCGTCATCGCTTGGGTCACCGGGGAACACAGGATCCGCCGAACGAGTCATCCTCTCATTCAACAGTTTTTCACGATTCGCCTGAGATTCCTGCATAGAGATATACTTGAGCTTGTGCGCTGAAGAGTCCCGCGGGAAGGTTACTGCCATTCGATCGTAAGGGGACGACAGATTTGCGGCGAGAGGGTGTTTCTGAATCGGGATGTTGGGCGAGGGCCGGTCCGATACAAGATCAGAATATTGCTGGCGATTGACTAGCGGGGAGGAAGGTGCCTGGGTAGCCCTGAACACTTGGCTTAAAGCCATGATCCCACCACTCGACCCAATCTCTGTCGCAAGAGGGTTCCGTGAGACAGTGGGCGAAATGGTAGCAAGGCCGTCTGAATGAGCTCGCTTCACAGCAGTCGCAGGTGTCTTCATCACGAATCGCTGCGATTCGGGAAACAAATTTGACTGATAATGCGCAGGCGATGACTCCCCTAGTTTGGAGCTGCTCCGGTCATCATTATCATCAATGTTGACCAGTTCTGCATTAACGTGGTCGTAACCCGCCAATAGGTCGAGATGGCCGCTGTCCCCTTCATGCAGGGTCATAAGTGTAGCTTGATCCCCAAAATTACTGTCGTGGTTCACGACAGGACCTTCTTCCTGGTTTTTGCGAATGATCTCATCGTACACCCGCTGGGAGATCAACTGGGTATCCGACGGGAGCGTTTCTGTGGAGCCCATCTTACCCAGCTGAGTCGCCGCGCGGCTGCTGGGGCGGTCTTCGAAAGAGGGTAGCTTTGGTGAGCTTACACTGGCGCCATTCTGTGCTATACTGGATGACGAAGTCGTTGACACAGGTTCGGAGATTTTCTGCGCACCCTGTCCGTCGTCGGTCGGCAATTGCTGTTGAAGTCCTTGTCGACCGTCATCTTGATCAATCAATACAGACTTCTCTGCCATTAATTGCAGCTGTATAGATTCCTTTCAAATTGCCCAAGATCAATCGAATTAGTCCAATGCGGAGACTGGATCGGAGACGCCGCCGCCACTGAAGTGGTCACTCACCTGGCCCAACGCGACGCGCTGCAGCCTCGCGATATCGATGCTATCTTCCTGGGTCTCCATAGTCCCTTACACTCCGTAGAATCAAGGCTTTCGAATGAGTATTATCACATCGTTCCCATGCCCCAATCCAGAGATTCAAGTAACGTTGCGCCGAGGCTGCATCGATGTTCCGGACAAGTCGAAGTCGATGACATCCAAATCACTGCGCTCCGGAACCACCAAACGCGAGACGCGTGTATCACGTGATACATTATCAATTTTACCGCTTTGAGTCTAGACCATGATGATTGTACGAGTGGTCAAGGCAAGGATCAGATATACAGAAACAGAGCAGCATGGTTTCCATCATAAGCGGATATTGTACATAAGTGCTGGAGTTTGATAAGAATTACAGCCTGCGCCAGAGTGGAGCAATTACAAAATAAGTATTCATCCAACACCAGGTCACTGCTCAGTCAATATGATATAAGATAAGGAAAGGAAGCACACAGGATCAGTCACGAGTGCGGTTAGGCACCCATCTGCGTACCACCATCTCTCGAACTTGGTACCGAGCAAGCAGTCTCCCAATATCAGTCTCTGATGGTTCGTCCAGATCGTACGAAGCCGGCGGTGGCACTTCCACATAGCAAACCACCAAGCTCTTCTTCACTTGGGCTTGAACACGGTTGACGCAATGCAGCCACCACCAGCTGCGGGACACTTGCTTTTCGCAGTGCTTCCGGCGCTCCTCAGTCTCTGACCAGTACGAGTCAACGTAGGAAGGAACGACGACGACCGCAAACTCGGCATGTGAGAAGACCGGGCCACGGTTGTAGAGAAGATAATCAATCCCGAACTTCACACCGGATCGCACCACCCACCCCAGAGACCGGAAATGGTGGTACACGACGTAAGAGATCAGGAAAGTATCGTCGGGCTTCATCTCCGAGGACGAATCACGGGGTGGGAAGTCGGCATGCTGGCAGAATAGGGGGAGTAAAGCCGAGGTCGTCATGACGGCTTCGCGTGTGTCGTCCAGGATCGTCAGTGCACCAAGTCCATAGGCGAGAAAGAAGGCCTCCTCGTTCGACAGGTGAAGATGCTCTTCGTTCTGCAAGACGGGCTCCTCTTCTGCATTGCCAGCCTTGTCTTCCTCTGCTATCACCTCCGGAAGCTGCAGGATAGCCGAGTCGGATATGAACTCCTTAGCTTGCACAACCGGGGAAAATCGAACGGTTTTGCCGCTACCATTGGAGATTTGCTCTCCGGGTGTGTTGGGAGGGCGCGCTTCGCCATTCTGTGTGATTGAGCGCTGCGAGTCCAACAGCCTCGCTTCTTTGGCTTTTCTCAGTGAGAACTTCTCTGCCGATGTGTCTGCGGATGCCGATTGAGAGGGCTGCTCGACAGACAAATTGTCGCCTTGCCGGGCGGCTGCTTCGGCCTTCAGTCGTTCTTGGATGGCCAGCTTCTCCATGCGAGCTCGATCCATCTTCAATTCGCGACGTTCTGTCCGGCGCTGCCGGGTGACCTCCTCACTTGTAGTGCCACCAAGCAATCCGCGCCGCTTCTTCTCTCGCTCGAGCCAGCTCGGTTCACTCCGACTAAGATTACCCTTGCCGAAGAAACCCATCTCCCAGAGAGCTCGGATGGCCTTCGGGTCCGTGACATGGACAGATGACGTCGCAGAGTCAAAATAAGCCGTGTAGACATGCTGTTTGGGTGGTGCAATGAGGTATGTCAAATAGGACAACAGCACGCTGACAATCGACAATGGATTATGAGGGATCAGAGGCGGCAAAGGATGGACATCAACGGGGAGAGGGAAGCGATGGATATGTTTGTAATTGGGCCGCGGCGGCCGCGAACGACGAGCAGGCGATGCATTTTTCTGGGACTCGGTCTGGATACTAGCAGGGCCGGAGCTAGCACCACGGGAAGAGTTAGGAACAGGAGCGGATGAAGAAGCCATATGGTACGTATAAATTAAATTTGATTTGATGAGACTCGATAGATTGATTTCTAACTACTGATGAAGAGTCAGCAGGCAACTCTTCGTTTACGAAATTGAACAGCCATGATGCTTGACGCATGCAAGAGCACCCTGGATATTATTCATATTCTTCTCAGATACCGTTGTAGTCAAATAAAGCCTTCATCGACAACAGCGAAGAAATCAAAGTTGCCATTGTCTAAGCTTTAGGTATGTTATCATCACCGAAGAAAATGAATAGAATCCCGAGCCACCTCTTGCTTGCAAGTTCGATCAATCTCAAAGCTGCTTTGCTAGCTAAAGCTTACCCGAAATCTTCCCTAAGATCTGGGTTGATTGGTCTGCACGAGTGAAATTACACAAATGAGAAAATCGATAGCATAGACGGGCTCTTTCCAGATCATAATAGTATGATATAGCAGATGCGCATCAGCATCAGAGCCGAGATACTATCTCTTCACTGTCAACATCCGAGGATTGTGTTGTGCAGACAAAAAAAGTCGATAGTCAACACTCAGAAACACCAGAGGAGGAAAGAAAAAAAAATAATTCGCTTGACCAGCCTTAAATGAGTGTGACGGCTGACTCAGCTAGCCTTCCCCGGGCGGTGAGCCGAGTCCGTGCGTTTTTCTGCGGCGCCCAAAAATTTCCTGCGGACTCGGAGCTGTTGAAGATTGTTCTTGCAATTGAACGTTAACCCCGCGACGACATTCGTTTCTACCTTGTTTATAAATCGACAACCGTTCTCGAACACTCATTCAAGTAAGTTGTACTTGGAATGAGATCATTCAAATGCAAATGTTGGTGCTAACCGCTCGACTCTAGGATGCATCTTATGGTATGTCCGCACAACTCGTCATGTGCACCACAAGGATTTCTGTCTAGCAGGGAAATTGACTGGTGAAATAGTACACTCTCGGCGAGGATGGCAAGCGGATTTACACCTTGAAGAAGGTCCTCGATGGTCGCACCACCAAGTCGGCCCACCCTGCCAGATTCTCTCCCGATGACAAGTACTCCAGGTGCGTTCGGATAACAGAACCCAAGATGATCGTTCATCTTCACCACATTCAACAAGTGCTGACATCGCGTCTCTCGTAAAGACACCGTGTTACCCTCAAGAAGAGATACGGTCTGCTTCTCACCCAGCAGCCTGGTACGAGCTCTCCCGAGACCGCACATGCCATGATCACAGCTAACCCCACCCTACAGAGAAGGAGGCAGCTCAGTTGTAATAAGCGAGACGATGAGGCAGTAGTCGCTTGATATACACACAGTGCTTTTGAATCATTTATTGGCGAATGGTGTTATCAATGGTCTTTGAATGGATGATGAAACCCTTTTTTCTATCTTTCCAGTTTGTGCGGTGCCCGATTATTTCACAGTGGGAAAAGTGATATCATTTTTGCTACCCATTTATTGGTGATTTGGCTCGGTCCTAATCTACCATCTACTAATGGAAAGGCACTTGTTCCATCTATGTCCATTGCGTAGTGCATCTTGAATGTAGTATGTCTATCCAAGTCATTGAAGTCAATCACCATTATAATCCCGTAGTCATCCAGACCCCTGAAAGAAGCCAGAGGATCATCAAACTTTTTGCCAGACGCCAGTTCCGATCAATGCAAGAAGGAAGAAAGAAATCAACGAAACCCCAAATGGCCATTACCGCTTCCTCGAGTTCACGTTCCTACCAGCTCCGACGCGCACACGACCATGTTGTTTACGCTCACCACTCAAAATGTTGGGGAGGTAATCCTCGTCCATGAGGTCATGCTCTTTTCGCATTCTGCGGTTCTGCTCCGCAGTGGCGCGACTGAACTCCTTTTGATCCTCTGCGAAGATGAGCTCCGTACCCCAGCCTCCCTTTCCACCGCCGCCCTTCCACTTGCCGTTTGAGCTGCCATGGACGGGCTTGGGGACGCTGTAAACGTTTCCTCGGTTATTCCACTGCATGTTCTTCTTGAGATGCATCGTGAACTGCCCATTTGAGTTCGTCGTGCAAGACACCCGGGTGAGCGTATCCTTGCCACAGCGCGGGCAGAATTGCTTGTTCATGTCCTTGGTGGTGGAAAAGCATGCGTGACAGCGCTTAACGAAGGACTTCAGGTGTCGGATACGCTGCAGAGTGGTGGTCGAGAGGAGATTCAGGTTCATCTGGAGAAGAACGTTTTGGCACTACATATGTGATCAGTATATGAGTCTGCTGTCTTAGGCGAAGAACGTACAGCGAAATCAGTAGTTATGGTAGCGACTTGCATGACCTTAGGCTCAGGAGCCGCCGACACTGAACTGGCTTCATCGCGGGCCTGCCGCTTCTTCAAGTTCGAGGGCGTAATCCAGCCATCATCATCATCCTCATCATTTTCGTCGGAACCTTCCTCCTCGCCCTCTGCCGGGAGTTCAGCATTTTCTGAGATTAGAACTTCTGGTTCAGGTTGCTTCTCGGCATCATGCTGGTCCTCCAGCTTTGCGTCCTTCAATTCCTCGGCGACAGCGTCGACATCCGTACGCTCAGCTTCCACCTTGGTATCCTTGGTCTCGGCGGCCTCCTCAACTTTCTCTTCAGCGGGCTTGTCGGCCTCCTGCTCAGATTTGTCCTCCTGCGCAACAACAACAGGAGCGGGCGGCTTGCCGTTAACCTGCTTTTGACCGGGTACGCTGCGAAGTCTCCAATCGCCACCGTTTCGCTCACACTCGATCTCGTAGGCAAGAGCGATAACTTCAAGATCGGTTCGACTGAGCACGGCCCGGTCACCAGTCTTACGGGCGAACTCGCTGATCACAGCGACACTCTTAGGGCTCGGGGTACGTTGCTTCAGGAAAGGGAGATAAAGGGTCTCAACACGCTGACGAGCGGCAGGATCCCGAATTTCGCTCACAACGGAGGGAGTGATGAGGAGTTCTTCGCTTTGGGCGAGAAGGGTTGAGAGCGGCGGGGTATTCTTGAGGATTGGGCCGGCATCGAGCACGATCGTGTGGACGGGCTTGGGAGTTGTGGTGGCAGGGGCAATTGAGTCCGCCATGATTACGGTCGGTAGAGTCGAGAACCTAAAATTATAACCAAGGAGAGGGTCGCCGATGGTCCGGGTGACAACTGTGGAGGCTTCACCTGGCTGCTGAATTGAGGGGAAAAAAAGTTGTTGATGTCGGAGATGGAAAATGAATGCGATGGGATTTTCCCGCTTGGTCTGTGCGTGGCTTATCCTTATCTTAGCGTCTTTTTCCCCTACTGTAACCACTCCTTCTTTCTCTATTCTACCACATCTTCCAGTCTGCTTCTCGAAACCCGCCGACTGAGGTATACATCTTTCTTATTTGGACTCGAAACCGTATCATCAGGTCTAAAGTTTATCATCTCAGTGGATCCTTGACGCATCATATCAACGCCATTGATGTCTTCCCCATTCCCGGTTCCACAGCTGCTTCGATTCCAAATCACATGGCAATGACAGGTCAACTCAACCAAATCCTCGACTTGTCATTTAAGACAGCTCCAGAAAATATCGCATGGCATCTTGGTTGCAAAGGAAGAGAACTTACTCGCATACTTTTTCTACATAAAATCGGACGAGCGCATCCGCCTCAAAGCAAGAACCACACGAGGTTCTCCAGAATCACGACGATTGCATACATAGCTCGCTTTCGCACGGAGTTCTCCGACTGAGCAGGGGCCTGTCTGTCTCGTATCCTAAAATGTTCGAACTCAAAGCAGTCGGCATGACTCGAACCGATCAAGGCCGCACGGCGCGCTTGACACAAAAGTACCTTTCCTGCGACCGTGGTGTGGCCATGCTGTGGATCAAAGTGCAGATGGATGTTACAGTGCGTGGCGAGCTGGAAGAACGGAGACGGAGTTCCAGGGACGGAGCCATGACTGTCTTTTGTTTGGCATGATGCGCTAATGCAGGCTTCCATGATAGACTGCAGGGTGACTGACAGCATTGCAGCTGATGCGCTGACAGGTACGAAGATATTGGTATCTGGTCGAGGCTTCTGAGGAACTAGAGACATCATGCAAGCCTTCCTTATAGTCTCAGTTTCTATGCAGCCTGAGGCAATGCACAATTGGTTTGGAGTCATACAGCCTCATGCAGTACAAGGTGCTGATGCCGCCAGAGCGAATCTTTTGGTCCTCATTGCGAGAGGCTGGACTGCTGGGCTGGGCTTGATTGCGATCTCGCGGAAAGTCGACCAGCACGACCTTATCACATGGCAATGGGGCCTTCACGTGTTGGCTTTGGTTTCACCTCAGCATGCCTGGTCCATGCCGATTCCTTAGAACCCAGGGCGCGACATTGGCACATCCCGGCACGGTCTCACCTCATGGCGATACACTGCCTAGCGCTGCTTCTCGTCGATTCAGACATGTATCATTGAAGTACAAAGTAGATATGAGCCCTGCCAATGGAAGGAGTAGTCATTTGGTGTAGTTGTCGAAATTGGGAGCCAGCCGAAATCCTAGGCGTCGCCGTTGCCTGTTGAGCACTTGGATGCGCTTAGAGCTCATCGTATCGCCTACCCAGGAGCCTTGCGATTCCATTTAATTATACTATCGACGGACAGAGTTTGACTCTGTCAATACCGACAGACGTGGCGTTCGATGTCGGCTAAGATCACCTGTCTGGCCAATCCAGGAGAAGGAGGCACCGATCAGCCAATTGATGCGGCCTGAAGTGAGACTATGGCTGCAGTCACGGCTGTGATAGTCACTGCATATGCCAAACAACATGCTTGTTTCCCTTAAACAAGCATCAAGGTGGCCCATTGGCCTGTCTCTCCAACAAACAACAAGTTTGAAGCCCAACAATGCGACAAGAGGAGTGAGTCAACCAAAATCATCTAATAGCGACTGGTAGTATTGGCGCTGGTTGGTTCTTTTCCTGTTCGAAGGCTTAGGCGCATTAGCGGATGTGATCTATCACTTCTTTATTTACCTTCGGCGTTTCAAGCCAATGACTACAATTAAATCGATGCAATTAATCAAGCGACCGCAATTTTTCGCCCTGCATTGTTTTTCATGTCAACTCACGGGTCGCACTGTACTGCGTACTGCACGGCTACACGAAGACCCATTGCTCGGTACTTTGTTCCCCCATTCTCCCCCTCTCCACCCCCCCTCCCCTGCAGGTCCGTTATTTCATGTGGCTCATCTCCGTGCAGACCCAGAGAAGAGGTAAATGACAGATCGCCACGGCTAAGGAAGGGAGTGTCAAGGTATTTCACAATACGTACGGAGTACCTCAGACAGTCTTATGGGATTAACTTATGGGATTGCTCCACTTTCCCCTCTCGCCCTTTCCAATTGAAGTCTCGCGGGTCACTCGTATCCCTTGCTCTCTGGCACTCATGTTGAGTGAATGTCTAGTCCCTGCCTTGTACGACAGAAGCTAGAAGTGCCCTGCTAGGGTGGAGAGATGGAGAAGCCAACCCCAGGGGGGAGTGTTGGACATTGAGAAGGTGACCGGAGATAATCCCTGCTGCAGCCCTCCTGGGCTCTGCGCCGGGGGGAAAGGGGATTGACAGCTCCGCTCCAGTGTCAAGAGCGTAAAACACCCATCCAGGACCCACGATCTGCCTGCATCTGCCATCCCTCCAGATTTTCTTGGGTACACTGAGGGTACGCATTGTACCAAAGATCTCTCTTCAGACTTGGGGGCACAGGTACTGTACTGTCGAGGGCGAAGAAAAGTACTGTGATCCATACGTTGTGTACGTATGAGATATGCAAATATCAAACCATATGCATACTCCAATCCCCATCTGCGCCCAACCAAAGGGAGGCGGAGAGTCTTGGAATAACTCGTCGATCTATCGCGCAGCTCCACTTTTCGTCTTACTTGACTGGCTCGGGGGATTTGGCATCCATAGACTGTGGATACTGTCATCATTAGTGACACCAGAAGGCTGGAACTGGTCGCTTGGTCCTCTGCTGTGCGTCGGCCCTAGGTACAGTCTGCGTTGCAGCCAAAATGGTCGATATCACACAAAAAGGCAAACAAATATCCCGCTTCCAACACCAAAGGAGAGCTGATGGGAAATCAAGGGCCTCTCCACCGACAACTATCTATCGAACTAAAAGTCCAGTGTGGCTGTTCTCCATCAATTGCTTGATTGCCCTCTCCCTTGCTTGCTTTTTCTGCCTTCTCCTTCTCTGCGACTCCCATGATGTCTTAGCGTCTGCCCGCAGATCCGGAGAAGGATTGAGACAAGAGCGAAGATCTACACGGGTATGATGGCGTTGGTCTGTGTTGCACCTCGACCTTCAGACCGTTAACGGGGTCTGCAGGACCACAACTGTTTATAAATCCACCCTCTCCTCCTTCCCCTGTGAGTAATCCCCCTCTTTGTGAGATGCCACACACTGCTCGGTCGCTAATCGGGGTCACCTAGACCCCAGGGTTTATATGTATGAAGCTCCCCGACTAGCATCACGGAGGCCGTTATACCATTGAGCCATCCATCGTCGATCGTGGGAAGACACGGCACTGACACATTGATGGGACGGCAGTCCTGCACGCAACAATGACGGAACCCTACCTCTTTCATGTCAGCCGCTCTGAGGATGCAGCAAATGGATCGTACATGTCCTCTCGAGGAGCTCAAGCGCTGTCTGTCAGTGTTGTTTTCACCACGCTGGCAACCCTCTTTGTCAGCGCTCGCATTTATACTCGAAAAACCTTGATGAATCGCATGGAACCCAACGACTGGATGATCTTGATCGCCTTGGTACTGACCCTGTTGGAGTCGTTGCCCATATCCCAGTACATTTGATTGACGCTTGTTCAGGTCTTATCATTTGTCTTCATGGCGTTGTTCATCGTGGAGGCTCTAAATGGGATGGGAATGCGTCAAGTAGACATCCCGCCTCTCATTCTCGAGAAGCAAATGAAGGTATGTGCAACATGCTCCCTGAAACAATCAATCAGTGGCACTAACTCTTCGGCATCATGGATCCTAGGCCTTCTGGCTTACCATCCCCTTCTATAACGCGGCCTTGCTTTGCGCCAAGGCCTCGATTCTGATGCAGTACTTCCGTGTCTTTCCAACCAGACGGATGCGACGCATCTGCTGGCTCATGATCGCCGTGTTGGCTACGTACGGGACCTGGGCTGTTCTGAGTGCTTTCCTCAATTGCGTCCCCGTGGCCAAGTTCTGGGACCCATCGATCCGGGGGTTCTGTCTGAACTCAGAGGGCCTGTGGTTTTCCAATGCATCGATGCACATCACCACCGACCTGGTCATCCTAATCATCCCGGTCCCAGCGTTGATGGCGCTCGAGCTGCCGAAAAAACAGAAGATTGCGCTGATTTCGATCTTCGCAATAGGCGGATTGTGAGTCAGCTGTCACCGGCGACCCCTCGCCGTATCCTTTGAGCACGCTAACAACCAGGATCTTCAGTGTGTGTGTCACCAGCATATGCCGCCTAGTTGCCGTCAAGAAGATCGCCGACTCCTCTGATCCCACCTGTAAGTCAGATCACCCTGTTCCCCTTCACCCGCAAAAAACAATATCAGGCCTAATCGAAGACCGTGAAAACAACAGACGACAACGTCGGCGCAGCCTCCTGGTCCGCCATCGAATGCAACACCGGAATCATCTGCGCCTGCCTCCCGACGCTCCGCCCGCTAATCTCGCGGATCCTGCCCCATCTCCTCTCGACCCTCAGCGGCGGCCGTCAAGCCTACGGCACGTCGCCCCTGTCCGGCGCCCAGGCGCCCACCTACTGGAACGGCACCGGCGCCACCGTCACCACGACCATAACCACCCACCTCGAAGACCTCGAGTACGCCCACTGCGCCGGCGACGCCGACCGCTACCTCACCTTGGTGCCCGGCAGCGACGTCAACGGCCAGGGCAAGCTCATGGTCCGCGAAACCCATCATCTCGCCGGAGCAGGAGGAGGAGGAGCGGGGGACTTGAAGGAAGCGTTGGCCCGCAAGGAGCAGCGAGGCGATAGTTCGTCCTCCTCGTCGCCGCCCCGAGGAGTCGGCAATCTTCTCGGATAACCAACAAGTTGGATTGTGGTAACTGTGTTGATGCTGTTGCTAATCGTGAAGGTAAAAAAATTAAGGGCCGACCCCTATGGGGCGGGGGAAGAGCAACGGTCGGTTTTTTGTTCCACTTCAGTATATATATCCAGGAATCGCTATACCCACTTCTCTCTTTTTCGATTCTCAGTCACCACAGACTCCATTGACCTTCTTTTTGCTATGGCTGTGGTCTCGTTCATTTAGCTTTTGCCAAGTAGCACTTTTTTTTTGTGTTTTTTTTTATCTTCTTTTCATATATACCTTTTACTGAGTGTGTCTTTGACATGATTGGGGCAGTAATGGAATGGATATGAATAATTTTGGTCGAATGGGGAGTAAAATATAATCTATGGTGAATCATAACTCGTGACCAAATCACTGGTTTCAGATGAGAACCTATTGCACGCCCGCGGAGAATTTGAGAAATGTATAAAGAATACGTATTGGGCATCCCAACCATGGGAGGGGTCTGGTCTGTATCACTCTACTCATAACCACATGAAAGTGTAAAGTATGGAGTATATTTCTAGCTTTCAGATCATACTTATGTATGCAATGCAACCCTGCTACATCTTCTCGCCCCTCTCTAACTGAAATATATAGTCTAGACAAAAAAGTGTACTTGCCCCGAACCAGACCAACCTAATACTTCCGCGACCCGAATAATCCTTCAGACTTCGGGTGCTATGCTCTAGAAGGCCGCAAACTCGGCATCCACCTCCTCGAAGTGATCGAAGAAGCCCTTGAACAGCTTAACACCCAGGCCGGGATCCAGACTACCCGTGGTGGCGCGGATGCTGTGCATGCTGAGCTGGGGGATGCCCATGTCGATGGCGCGCATGCCGATGCGGGCACTGGTCATGGGGCCGATGGTGCCGCCGCTGCGGGAGTCGTTGCGGATCTGGAAGACCTGGAGGGTGGCGCCGCACTTGTCGGCGACGCGCTTCATGAAGCCGTGGCTGACGCTGTCGGTGGTCATGTGGCCATTGGAGTCGGCGGAGACGGCGACGCCGACGTTGAGGCGCGGGGCGTGGTTCTCGAGGTAGACGTTGAGGAAGTTGGGGTTGACGGCGTGGATGACGTCCGAGGAGACGAGGAAGCTGTTGGCGACGGTCTGCGAGAGGAGGTTGGGGCCGTAGGCGGCGGCCGGGTCGGCGAAGGCCTCGGTAATGCGCTCGATGATGCTGGACATGAAGTTGGAGCGCGCGCCCTGGCGCAACAGACTGCCGATCTCCTCGTCGTCGAACATGCCGACCATCTTGATCGAGGCCGACGAGGTGGAGTCCGGCGAGGCCAGGAGCGCCTCCTGCGCCGCGTAGCAGCAGAGCTTGTCGTCAATGCGGCCCGCGAAGATCAGGTCCTTCTCCAGGCCCCCAAGTTGGGCCGGCTGGCTGTCGTAGAGCTCCAGTTCCCACGAGACAATCGTGTTGGGGTCGTGGATCTGGAGCTCGCGCGAGATCACGCGGACCAGTTTCTCGGGCTGCGTCGCGGCGAAGCTGCCGGGCTGAAAGGCGGACGGGGTGTTGGCGGACGTGGAGAAGAGGTCCGAGTTATCGACGCCGATGATGGGCACCATCTGGGTCTCCTTGTTGAAGGGGCCCTGGCTGGGGGCGCCGAAGTGCGGCGCCAGGGTGGGGACGCGCGCAATGGGCCAGTCCAGCTTCACCAGCTTGGACTCGATCTTTCCACTGCTGGGGTCGCGCACGAGCACTCGCCCGCCGATCGAGAGGTCCCGATCCCACCAGGTCTCATTCAGGGCCCCGGCGTACGGCGCCACGCCGAGCTGCACGAACCCGGCCTTCGTGGGCAGCTTCGACACCGGCTTCAATTTGGCGGTGAGGGCGTCGATGTGTCCGGCCACGATCGCCACGCCATTGCCGCTCCTGTACTCCTTGCCGACGGAGAAGGCGATGAAGGCGCTGGAGTTCCGCGTGCAGTAGTATTTCCCACCACGCACGAGCTTGTTCGTCCAGGATTCGCGCTCATGCAGGCGCTTGTACCCTTCGCTTTCGAGCTGGGCAGTGAAGGCATCGACGGCGTGGAAGATGGTCGGGTTCGCGGTCATAAAATCACAATACGGCTGGGAGTATGCACTCGGATCGAAGGAGGTGGTGGAGGAAGGTGATACCGTGGTTGCTCGCGTGGGATAGACATGGTCGGGGAGCGGGTCGGTCTGGGAGGCTGGACGATGGGCCAGAGCGGCTTCTCGAAGCTCAATGAAGCTCTTCTTGGCCATTGTGCAGTGAAGAGGATGGATACGGTCTGAAAGTGTGGGTTGAGATGTAGAGAATAGGTACAGATGTTGGAGGGAGAGGCTAGAGAAAGAATAATTGCAGATGGGGGGGGAGGAGAGTTGGGGGTAGATGGAGAGTTGAGGAGGGTGAGGAGAGGCTTGGAGCGAGACACGGAGAGAAAGGCGGAGCTCCGGTGGATCAGTCAGTCAGTCAGCTGGGGAAGTCAGTTGGAGATGATCGTCCCTCGGCTGTCCCTCTCTCTTCTTGTATCCTTGTGTCTTCCGTCACCTTCTCTAATCAAGTCAGCTTCTCAATGCTCAATGCGACTATAGCTCTAGGCATCGTGGATATTGTTCATCTATCATTCTGTACCATCAATCATGCCAAGTGACATCGCCTTATTTACAGTCATCATCCGCTCTAATCAGCTATCCTTCTTATCCGGAAACTGCTTTCACGATAAGCGATCCGATCCATGATGTCGCCATACCAACCCCATCTAGTCGCTTGAACCTACATAACAGTTCCAGTTCACATTGCCATCCTGGCATTCCTCTGTAATGGCCGGTCCAGTTGCCGATGCCATCACCTGCTCGTCGCGCACAATCATGATCTGCACGGGGCCTGTTTCTCCATCGAATGGAACCGAGCAGTGATGAACGCCCGCCCCCGAGGCTTCTACGATACTGGGCGTTCCATCCCCGATCTGGATGTGAATTTCGCTCGGGCTTCCCACAATCACGCTGACAAACACCCGATCCTGAGATACCTCACCCGGGTGCAATTCCTTTTGGCCCACCCCCGGGTTATTGCCGGTCGTCCCATTGGTACTGCCAGCATAACTGGGGTTCGTGCGATACCAGTACACAATCTTATCCGCAAAGGACAAGTGAGGTCGAGGCTGGTTGGGGTCCACCACGCCGCCGTTCCGGTAAGCGTCAATGTAATAGGGCAAAAGTGCCCTCCATGCGTCGTGAGGGTGTCCAAAACAATAGCGACCGGCTCCATCAGGTACCCCGGCCTCGTGGATGGGTCCGATATAGTGTGCTTCGCCGTAGTCGTTCCAGCTAATGATCTGTGATCAACGAGGTTAGTTGTCGAAGAATGAGGGTTTAGTAAAAGACCCATACCTGAACCCAAGCCGGCTGCAATCTCATCACCTGCTCCCACCGATAGTGCCAGAGATCATCGCCGCGCCACAGCCAATTCTTGTCCCATTGGGGCAAGTTCGTGTAGAACCACGGTGAAACGGGCATCATGTACGGTCGACCAGCCAAGGACTGCATCCAGTGTTCATCGTGGGCGGTGTTCTTCTGCTCAGCGCCTACGGGCCATGCGTCCCAACTGAAAGCACCATCCACAATGTCGAGGTAGTTGGCGATGGCGGCAGGGCCGCAGTCGGGCCAGCTAGGGACGAAGAAACAATTCGTGGCGCGCTTGATGTCGACCCAGTCTCCGGCGCTTGAGACGCCGATAAAGGTGGAAACCAGTGGCTTTCCTTGATAGAAATACTGGGGGCTGCGGTGTGCGAAGGTGTTGATGTAGTGAATGACACGGTCCACCGGCCATGGGCCCCCCGAACCATAGTCGAAGGAAAGGAATAGGGTGAAATTCCCGACCCTTTCCGCCGCACTGTACGCATTTTCCAGGACATGGTCGGTGTAACTATCCTGAGGGGCGATGTTGAGCGCAAAGCCATCAATATGGCACTTTTGGGCCTCGATGATATCCGACTCCCATTGTTCGGGGGTCATGGTAGCCGCGCATCCCACCTAGAGTACAGTTAGCTGAGTACTGTACTAGTCGTTATCCACAATGATCTCCCTTACGATGAAATGCGCAAACACTGTCTGTGGTCCAGTTCTGGCGACCGCAGGGCTTGTTCCTAGGGTCACTAATCAACAAGGGGGCTTTCCGCAAGCGAGCGGGCGTTCACCCGTAGGAAACTGATGAACCAACCTGGAGAAAAAGTAGGAGCGGTCTCTTGTGTCGGCCAGGGACTACTTGGCTGGTTCGAAGGAGGGTTGAAGGGTTGAGGAGGAGCAGGTGGTGATCCATACTTCTCTTTGACATGTTGGTGGACGCGATCCAGGAAATCCCCGAATCGTCCCATAGTGGTGGTGGCAGCGGTGGTGTTGATGTATGTATGTTGGAACGTTCTCACGAGCGAAGCTGACACCCGACCAGCGTGTGTAATCCCCAATTCATTGATTGAGATAGAGAACAAGATCCCGCAGTCGGCAGTCTCTATCGTCGAGATACTTCACTATTATTTGTGTATGAAAGCCAAGATTCGGGGGCAGTTGATCCGAGGGTGTTTTCAATGTGGGGTAGGTAAAGAAAGACGGGTGCCTAAGGTGGTGGAAACGATATCGGTGTATGTACTGTATACATCCATAATCCTTTCCACCACCGGTGTATAACTTCGCAACAGCAACGATAAACATAATGAGGGCTTGACCTGCGGGTTCTGTTCCTCCCTTGACCAGAAGCCTTGTCAAAGCACCCTCAGCGGGCCCAGCAGGGCTCGTACTAGCCAAAGGGCTTGTTTATACAGCTGTTCAAGCACTCTTTCAAGCACCGAATGAAGCATCTGCATCGTCCTCAAGATCCCCCTCTGCTATCCGGTAGAGTGTAATTCTCGTGACTACGACTTTAATTATATAGTAGGCTTTATTTTGGCAAAAAAGTGCCAGCCAATCAGCGTCCGTTACCCTTGCTCAGAGCCTCAGGCCCTCGAGTTCAAGGTTGTAACAACTGGAAACTCGGAAGCTAACAGCGCTTCCATCTCAAATGCAAGACGTACTCAGTACCCAGTAGTTCATTTTGCACAACTGCATCGGATTGGACAATTTACAAGCTGTTATCAAAGTCATCAATGTGACAGAATGATCGGATGTGCGGGGAGTTCGTGATAAGTGACGTCACAACAGTCCTTCCTCCAATAGCTACCCTACGATGAGTATTGTGATCCATGATGGAGATGACTACTCATGCAAACGGTACGAGAATCCTAAATAGACCTATCCAAAGCTGCAAGTCTAACTACTAAGAGCTAGGAGGGAGATGTCATATTATACTCTTTGGAGATAATCCCATGGAACAAGATTCACGAGAAGTTGAACCAGACGACCTCACTGTGATGTCAGCCGCAGGCGGCGAACTCAGCATGACCATTTATCATCTACCGAGTCCCACGAAGAAGTCGGACCAGAATACAATTTCCATGACACCTGTAAACCACTGACTTACTGACTACTACATATTATTGCTCATCTGAGCTGGAACATCCCATATTCGACTCACAGCAATGGCAGCAACATCCCAGGCTGCGAACTTAGTTGAGAAGGCGGTTGGACACAGCGGCAATGCTACTGTCACCACCGATGTGAGCAATTACGCCAAGCCAGGAACTGGCCAAGAGACGGGAGAGAAGATCAAGGCCACCACCTGGCAGGGGAAAAACTCCGTCGAGGTGGTGGAAATGCCCAAGCCAAGAGTTATCGACGAGGGGGACGTGATTGTGAAGGTCACCGGTAGCACGATCTGTGGAAGCGATCTCCATCTTTATCATGGTATTATAACCCATTCCAAATTTGCTATGCCAACCGATCAAGCTGCAAAGTAATTCTGACTCGGTGCATCACAGGTGTCATTCCGCAACTCGAAAAAGGCGATGTGCTCGGCCACGAATTCTGCGGTGTTGTGGAAAGCGTCGGACCTGGAGCGAAGAATGTCAAGGTCGGAGATAGAGTCGTAGCAGCTTTCCCCATTGCCTGCGGCCAATGCACGAACTGCAAGAAAGGACTGACCTCCGTCTGTGAACGGACCAACGAAAACACTCTTACTAATGCCCTGTATGGGAAGCGCACTGCAGGTAAGTCTGTCAGAACAATCTCTCAGTGTTGTGAAGGCCGGCCTTTTAATTAGACGTTGTGCAGGCATATTCGGCTACAGCCATTTCACGGGTGGCTTCGCTGGAGGCCAAGCCGAATATGTCCGTGTGCCATATGGCGATCAAAATCTGCTAGGACTTCCCGATGATGTTCCCGATGAGAAGGGTCTGTATCTCTCTGACGTCCTTTCCACATCGTATCACTGCGTGGTCGACACCGGAGTCGACAAGGGCGACGTGGTTGCCATCTGGGGTGCAGGGCCGATTGGCCAAATGGTGGCCAACTTCAGTTTTATGCAGGGCGCCAGCCGAGTGATCCTCATTGACGGTGGCGACGCAGCGTGGCGCTTGGACTTTGTCAAGAGTAAATTGCCCAAGGTGGAAACGATCGATTTCACCAAGCTGCCTCGCGGTGAAACCATCACCTCCCAGTTGAAGAAGGTGGTCCCCGGTGGGCCAGATGTGGCGTTGGAATGTGCATCTGGAGAATTCGCAAAGGGATGGGCGCACTACTTCGAGGTTCTCCTGGGCTTGGAGACCGATACTTCGGAGATGTTGAACGAGATGATTACTTCCGTCCGGCCCTATGGACGGATCGGCGTTACTGGGGTCTACACTGGCTTTGTAAGTCTCGCCACAGGACTAACGTGAGAGCAGCGCGGTGCTGATCGATGGAACACATTTTTAGACCAACCACTTCAATATTGGTGCTTTGATGCAGACTGGCGTCCGCTTGATCGGCAACGGTCAAGCTCCCGTGCACCGATACTGGAAGCATCTGCTGGAGCTCATTCGCAAGGGAGAGCTCAACCCCTTGGACATGGTCACGCATCGAGTCCGCCTGGAAGACATGTCCAGACTGTACGAACTATTCAATAGTCGTGAGGGAGGCATCCAGAAGGCGTTTGTCGTGACCAAAAATTCATTCCCCCCAGCCGAAGGAGCACCCGCTCTGGTTGAGCTGTGATATGATGGTTCAGGGAGACTTCTTGACAGTTTTATGTTTATTGTTCTAAAACTGATGGTGTATGACCCCAAACTGTATACTGTAATGTGCAAATGAAATCAATTCCGCATGCATACGACGATCTGCCTAAAGAAGGAGAAATTTCGGACAAAGAACGGGAATCGAGAGGGTCGAGCGAGGCGAGCATCGGGGGATTCTAGTGAGTCACTAACCAGACCAGTCTTGCTTGCTAGGAGGCATGACTGCATTGAGAGCTCGACTTGCTACGCCTGAACGCCGCTAACGAGAGTAAGTTACTGGCTCCTAATTTCCCGAAGGGGGCTTTCTCAACACGTATGCACATATCCTATACATGGATATAAAGATGTGTCCAACCTCCTGCACACGGCCGCGCTGAACTGGTTTCTCGAGACTTCTGACGACAAGCCCAAAAGGAGCCGAGCCAGATCGGCCCGTTTTCGCCCTCGTCCTTCCGTTCTTCGGCATTTGACGTCGAAGTGGACTCGGGGAGGACTGGAGACGCATGCAAGGGCTTTGATTGATAAGAAGAAAGAGTTTTTCTACCGACCCTCTTCCCCTCTCTTTCATGTTGTCTCAACCATCCCTCTTCATTGAGCTAAGCTGGACCAGGTTAAGAGAAAGAGTTCTCGAGACCGATCATTTACGGTTCTGGTTGGTGCATTACGAGTCTATGACACATTTCACACACCGGGGATTGGCTGGGATTCCCGAAACGGGAAAAGTGGGATCAGATAAGATCAGGCGACGGAGGGAAAACTCCTGCCGAGGCCGTTTTCACTCTCGACTCCTTGCACTTTTGCACTTTTGCACTGCACGTTCCAAGGGTGACCTTGCGAGCTTCATTACTAACAGTATCCTCACCAGTCCCCATTTTCCCTCCGGCTAATCAATCCGCACTTTATGAGTGGAGTAACCTAGCCCGAACTGTTTCCGGCCCAAGCTCGGATCCTCCGCCGAAGTTCAGCGTTCTTATGTGTCAGACCTCGTGCACCAAATGGCGAGCATGGAATTTGGTTTTGCCCCTTGCCATATGCTAAAACGCTTGGCAAGGAAGAAGGATTGTCGCTTTCTCCATCACCGGATGTCCGCGCTCATCGCGGATAAAACTCTAGCAAAATCCATTGACCAACAGGATCGTGAACAAGGGGAAAGTAAAAGAAAAGAAAAGGACTCATGTACCCACACGGGTGGTCTTGGGAAGAGGAGCAAAATTTTTCTTTGCCATGGGTGATGAACGAGTCATGGAAGTCATGACTGTTTTTTCACTGAAGCATACGATACAGAACACAGTAGCTTCTCCGTCTGAGAATGGAACTGCTCGTAGTAGACAGAGTAGAAGGACATTACTTGCCTATAAGCTCTTTGAGTGATGCTTCTACCAATCGTGATGGGACAATGATAAAATCAAGGGTGTTTCTTCATCAGCCCTACTGAGAAGAACTCGATGCTAGGCTCAGCATACGAGCTGGATGGAGCGCCGGAGCATACCCTAAACCCCAAGTTCGAACCGGCAGGGAATTATTGATTGATAACCCGCAGTCTACCACGGGACGGACGAATGAGGGCGGGCAACGAGTGGGGGAGCCACTGGAACTCCGAAGTCGGTGAAAGCGCACGATAATCTAATCTGATCCGATCGTTCATTTTTCCCTCTCTGTTTCCCCTCCTTCTTTCCTTTTCCCTTCCTCCATTTCTTCTCAGCTTTCCTTCTTCCTCGGTCGCTTTTGGTGTCTGTCCGTCCTACTCCTCCCTCCTCCTTCGCCTTCTCCTCACCCTAAGCCTACTTGCTTCGTTTTCCTTCCACTCCTTCCCTACCCTACTCACCCAGCTGTCAATCTATCTACACAGGGTCAATTGCTGTCCCTTTCTCTCGAATCAATTGGTTTGCAGCCAGCAATTCCGTTGTCTCGCTTACCGGCTGAAGGGGCGCACTTCCGCTCTTCCGGCCGAAGCGATCCAGTGACACCACCACCACCACCACCACCGCCTTTCCTTCTGCCCCGGTTAGCCCGCCTTTCTTCCTTTCTTCTCCGAACACCTCACCAGTTACTGAACCACCCATCTCTATCTCTATCTCCATCTCCACCTCCCACCTCGGACTACCATCTCTATCTTCACCCATGATATGTCCACTGATCATACTACAGACTTCCTCTGAATCAATAGAGGATTTTTCATTACCATGGCCAGTCCGACTGCTCTCTCGATAGCCCCTGGTCCGGGTCCAGCGCCGCTGGCTCCCGCACTGGCTGCCAAGCCAGCTATCTCACCGTCTCCTGGTCCGGGCACACCCGGCTCCGTCACCTCCAAGGAATGGGTGATTCCTCCTCGCCCTAAACCTGGTCGCAAGCCGGCCACAGACACTCCACCCACCAAACGCAAGGCCCAGAATCGAGCCGCTCAGAGAGCGTTCCGCGAACGCCGAGCCGCCCGCGTCAACGAGCTCGAGGATCAGATCAAGAAAATCGAAGATGAGCACGAGATTCATATCGCTGCCTTCAAGGACCAGATTGCAAGCCTGTCCAGCGATGTCGAACAATGTCGAAGTGAGATGGCTTGGTGGCGCGACCGATGCCATGCTTTGGAGAAGGAGGTTTCGGTCGAACGGAGTGCGAAGGAGACTCTGGTGCGAGAGTTCCGGACAACTCTTACCGACAAGGGCTCCGACAAGGCTCCTCTGACCCGAATCGCTGCGAGAAACCCGACCGAAGACCGAGCGGCCAGTGATCGCGGGTTGCCGACCGGCAGGTCTACCGCCGTGGTTGAAGAACCACGGGAGGAGGTTCCGTTGGGCTGCGGAGATTGCTCCTCTGTCCACTGTCAGTGTATTGAGGATGCTTTTGCCATTCCGGGAGTTGAGACTCGGTCTTCGCTGGGCAAGCGGCCTGGCAGTCCCAGTCTCACAAGACCCGAACCCGAGATCAAACCGGAGCCTGAGGAGATGGAGATCGACTTCACCACGCGGTTCGCCGCACCGCATACTATTCAAGACGACCATAGCACCTCCGTCTCATCGCCAGCTGTAGACCCCTGCGGGTTCTGCCAGGATGGAACACCCTGTATTTGCGCCGAGATGGCGGCCCAGGAGGAAGAGCGTCGAAGGAACTCATTTGAGAACAATCGGCTGGCGCCCATTCAGAACCTTTCTCAGTTCACACCACCCCCATCAGAAGGCGACGTTCGGTCCGACGTCACGCTACCCCCAATCATTCAGGCCACAAATCCGTGTGCCAATGGGCCGGGAACATGCGCTCAATGTCAGTCCGATCCACGCCGGACCCTTTTTTGCAAGACGCTGGCGGCCTCTCGCTCCGCCAGCGCTGCCTCCTCCGGTTGCTGCGGCGGTAAGGGCGCCGATGGCGGGTGCTGCATGTCTCGCGGGGGCAACCCTTCCCAACCCACTGCCAGTTCGCGTCGCTCCAACACGCCCTCCTTAACCCTCTCCTGTGCTGATGCCTTTACCACCCTCTCCCGGCATCCTAATTTCTCTCGAGCAAGTGACGATATCTCCGCCTGGCTCCCCAAACTCCACACCCTCCCCAAACCCCAAGAGGTAGCTCCGCCCGGCTCCCGAGCGGCCCTCGAAGTCGAGGCTGCCAGCGTCATGGGCGTCTTGCGATACTTTGATCGACGGTTCGCCGATAAATAGATGGCGGACGAACCTTTTTCTTCACTTGTCTGCACTTGTCTTTTTATTCTCAGTGATACCCAACACCCGATTCATGAATGCTTGAGTTTGTATTATACAAGACTATACACTCCCGAACCTCTTACCTCTGTCTCCTCCCTCCATCCTCCTCCCTAACCAATCTCTCCCCCTGGTGTCTCCCTTCCCTGTCACCTCCTACGTCATCCCCGCCAGTCTACAGTTTTAATGTAACTCATTCAACCCATGACTCTTCACCTCTTATCAACGGGTACACTTTACCTCCTCTTCCTAACCCCCGGTTGTCAGTCCCCCTTTTATGGGTCTTCCTGACAAAACGACTCCCTTCATCCTCCCTATTCCTCTTTCCAGTCCCCTCCACACCCCATGACTGGACATGAATTCCGATCTCAAAAGCAAAAAGTCAATCTACCTGCAACCATAAACCCTGGATATTTACGATGTGCTATACAATGCTATGCTATGCTATGTTATGCTAGGCTATGATTCTATCACGAACCCCGCCCACAAACAAAAAAATCCCAAATCCAAAACCTCCACTCACCCCAGTGGTGATCCCCAACGCGTGGGCCAAGCCAAAGCGTCTAATGAGTCTAGATGGTCTGAAATGAGATGAATTGGCGTTTTGTGTTGTTATCTGCTGAGGAGTTCATGTTTCCCAACGTAATATGTGTATGACCTGGAAAGCCGTTCTTGAGATACATGTCCAACGACAATGAATGTCTTTTTGAATTGATCGAGCAAGCGGGCCCAGGAGCAACGTGTCACAATTCAAGCCTAGATTTCATTTATAGATTTGAGGAATTGCCCAGGGGTTCATCATGTAATCTGGCATGCGCCTTGCTTGCCTATATCTATACTAGATCACACCGCTCCCCTAAAAAAACTCAACGCCGTCCGTCCTTACTCCGAGCTCATTCCGCTACATTGAAGACAGGAGACAAGTTGATAGAAAGGAAGCCCAATCCGAGATACATGTGCTGGAGAGATAAAAGTACATTCCGTTGCGGCGTTAGATAGTATACTGATATTAGAAAGTACACAAGACATCGTTCCACTGGTAGATGAAGGAGCGGAGGGGAGGATAGTAGGAAGAAGAGTAAGGAGAAGTTGAGATGGTATAAAAAAACAAGTGGTAGAAGATGGTGTGTGCAGGGAGAAAAGAAACGTCGTTAAGGTGTTTTTACAGATCGTCGCCTTGTGCATGAGCGATAATGTGGGGTGTGGGGGGTCGTTGGCTTCTTTTGCTTCACCCAAAAGAAATCGTATCAAGATGAAGTTGTTGGGAGCCTGTGGAGAGGTTGGCTAGCTTGGCTTGGCTGGAATATTGCGAATCCGCTTCGTCAACCTCATGTCCTGCGGTATTCTGAGGGGTCTCGGCAAACTGTGTGGGATTATCAGCCGAGTCGGCAAGGGCACGGGCTTGGAGAGCTTTGGCTCTGCTCTTTGCATCCGACGATACTAATTTGGCTCTGTAGCTGGTTTAAAACCGACCTCCGCTCATCCTGGCATCGTCGTCGCCGGCCACGCCGACCGTACCAAGTAGGTTGGCGCCCCAGATACCAGCGATTCCCCACATGCCGATGCGCCAGCCTCGGTAGAGACCTTGAATTCCCTGGCCCTGACGTTTGCGCTGGGTGACGGGCTTCTTGAGCAGCTGGCGCGCCCGCTCAACTTCCGGTGTGACTTGCACTCCTTCCTCGTACACAATTCCCCACATAGTACCCACAATACCCCGGTAGGTCTGGGGGGTTGGGACGATCGTCTCGATCTCCGAGGCCTCTTCCTCGTTCGCGGAGGTTTCAGCACGTACTGAACGACTTGACTGCTGGCGGATGCTGGGGGAAGTGAACGTCGCAATTTGGGCGCGGCGCAGTACAGTCTCGAGCGGGAACCGGACCGCCAATTCTAGACCGGAGCTCAGGAAGGTGAACAGGCTCCAGATGGACGGATTGAGCACGGGATCGAGAGCCAGATACGATTTGAGAATTAATGGAGTCGTGTTGGTGATGAAGTTGGGCAGACTGGAGTGGAGGACGGTGATGGGCACCAGGTGGGACGGAATGGTGCAGTTGGGAGTCGGGATTTGGCGGATAGCTCGTAGCAGGGAGCGCGGGCCATGCGTAGCTGGGGTTAAGATAAGGAATGTTCGCGCGGTATCAATCGGGGAGAGGAGCATTGCCGACAATGAAGAGGAGATGAAGGACAAGAGTAGGGTCGCCATCGGGGAAGTCGACGTCAGGATGTCGGCTGTCATTGAAGAAGTCACATCCTCCTCCGGCAAGCCGACGATCGCAGAGAGCAAGCTGCGAATAAATGTATTTAGGGTGGGCAGGAGAAGGGAGTAGATGAAGGTGGCATTGGTCGCCTTCCAGGGCGAGGTCGGGCCACTGGTGGTCCAAAGTTGCGACAAGACATCCATGAGGGAGCTCGGGTTCTTAATGGTGAGGGCATGTCTCGATGAGGTCGTAGAGGGAATGTAACCGCTTCGATCGGTGATATGGCGGCGGTGAGGCTTGCGGGATCGGGGAGCTGAGGGGGAGGCTGCGGCAGGTGCTGCGGAAGTAAAGTAACTGCTTTCGTCATCCGACGACAAGGAGTCCTAGAGCCTGAAGGTGAGCTTCCAATCCTTGGAAAGAGCTGCTGAAACATACGCCTTCATCGTAAGAATCGTTACGGCTTCCGGCACCCGATGCTCGGCGATCATGCATAGCCCATTGGCCGTCTGTCGCATCGCCGGGCGCGACATATGCCTGCAGGATGGTTTTGGCGACATCGAAAGGCTGTGAGGTCAGGACACTGGTGTAGCGCCAGAGGGCTTGGTCCAGAGCATCGCGAATCCAACTGGAGACTGAGGGAGAGCTTTCGAGGTAGTCGGAATAATCAATATCGGGCAGCAGATCGCGTGCGGAACCGCCAAAAACTTGGGTGGCCGAGGATGACGCATCTGGAGGGGAAGCAGCATGACCGGTGTCCAACCCCAAAGATGGGGGGAAATAATAGGGGCGGAGGGGATTGGGCCCTTCCAGAGGAGAGGACATGATAGAGAAAAGGAGAAGCTAGGAGATAGATAGAGAAGAAAAGTGGTGGAAGAGAGAGAAATGGAGGGAGGGAAAGGGTGTGGTGGATGAGTATAGTAGTGACTTAAGTTAGTAGTAGTAGAGGATTTGAAGAGAGAAAAGAAAGTAAGGTAAGGTAAGGTAAAGCAAGGTCTGTCTCCAAAGAAGTTTAGTGAAGCCGAACTCCAGCTCAAAGAGGCAAACGCCGGCGAATGACAAGCCGCGGATTTCCCGCTGGTGTTTTTCGGGCTTTTCCACTTTTCCTCCCATTCTCCGCCATTATTGAATTCAATCCAATTCATTCGATTCATTCATTCATTCATTCATTCAGCTCCCCTTAATCTATCTGACGTCCCTCTCCACTCCTCTATATTTGCTCGAAATCTTCTTATACCCCCCACCCTTTCATCACACATTCATTCGCCATGTCCTTCCTGAGAGAAGCCGGACTTAACCTGCGCCATGTTCTGCCTCGGGCCGGCGAGAGCGTTGTTCGCGCTCCCTCTTCTCAGTTCCTTGCCAACCGATTTCCCCTTCAGTCCTCGCGGTCCATGAGCTCGGGTTGTGCTTCCCTGTCGTCCCGGCGATCTCTAATGACCCCGCGCATCCAGAACCAGCGGCTGTCCGAGCGTAGGAGCTTCTCCGTCACCGCCGGAGTACAGCACGGTCACATCACGCCTCCCAAGCCTGGAGAGGAGTGAGTCACTCTCCCTCCTCTCTCCATAAACTACAACCTTCAATAAGAATCATTGCAAAGTGCTAATTGTTCGCGCAGGATTAACATCTCTTTCATCGACAAGGACGGCGCAAAGTACGACTTCCAGGTCTCTGAGGGCGATAACTTATTGGATATTGCACAGGCTAATGATTTGGAAATGGAAGGTTCGATTAACATTGCATGTTTTATGTGATTGATCAGCAGGCTGACGGGAATGGAACACAATAGGTGCCTGTGGCGGATCGTGTGCCTGCTCGACCTGCCATGTCATTGTCGAAGATTCCGGCATGTTTGACAAGATGGAAGAGCCATCGGACGACGAGAACGACATGCTTGATCTGGCCTTTGGTTTGACGGAAACCTCCCGGCTGGGTTGTCAGGTAATCATGACCAAGGAGCTCGATGGTCTCGTGGTCCGGTTGCCGTCCATGACTCGGAACCTGCAGGCAAGCGATTTCGAGCCGAAGCACTAATTCAATATAAGCGCGATGGAAGTGATTTTTGACTAGAGAATGATGTACGATATGTCTAGCGTCTGTAACGGGGCCGGTTATGTCATGAGGTGGCAAGGGAACATGTTTCCATTGGGTATTTCCGATCTCCATTCAACATTTTGCGGCACGGAAGTTTGTAAATAGAGCATATCACTTTTAATGAAAAAGAGTTGATCAAAATAGAAAGAATAGGAACGTAGAGTAGCCCCACCCCCCAAGAACGCCATGAATATGCCAGGTATACACACACGTTAAAAGCAACTAACTTCCTTCAGCATCACTCAAGCCTCCTCGATCTGCAACGGCTTGCCCTTCTTTCCGCTGATCAGGTCCAAGAATCCCTGCTTGCTAACTTCATTCACAGCCTTCTCGCGCTCGCCCATACCAATTGTGCCCTTCTTTCGCTCCGCCTTGGCGGCTTCCTCTCCACGAACCTGAGCGGCGCGGACAGCATTGAACAGTTTGACCACACCACGCTGGGCGATCTTGCGCAACCGCTTCTCCTCCTCGGCCACTGGGCCAGCCTGGCCACGCTCCAATCCCATCACGTCGCGGATACGGCCACGATCCAACTCCTCCTTCTTCTCCGCCCGCATCTTAGCCCGCGCCTGGCGATCCAGCTTCTCTTCCGCCACTTGGGTACTCTTCTGGGCAGCGTCTCTGCTGCGGGACAGCACCGGGTCCTCGCGCATCGAGGAAGGGAGCTTGGTTGCCAAAATCTTGGCCATTGAGGTCGAGAACGCAGTAGGATCATGACGCTTAGGAACCGCCCGACCACCTGCCGTCGAGGCGGGATTGGAAGTGTCGGACTCTGCGCCCACGTCGAACTCATCGTCCTCCATTTCTTCCGAGTCGTCTGCATCCGAATCGGATGCCATATTTTCGTCGTCGGAGCTTTCCTCTTGCTTTTTCTTCAGCTGCTCCTTGGGGAGAGCCTTCTTGGTCGATTCGCCGATGGACCGGATGTGTTTCTTGGATTGCTTCACAGCTTCCTCCTCAACGTCGGAGTCTGCCAAACTGACGGCTTGGAAATCGGTGGGTTCGTCTTCGTCATCTTCGGAGCTGCTGTGGTATGCGCGCTGCTTGCGGAACTTTTTCTGGGGACGGGATGCGATCGAGTCGAGGACTTTGCGCTTTTTAACGTAGGGGGCCATGGTGAGAGAATTGACACCGTAATGTCGGTCTCTCGTGTGTATAAGATTTGGGAGGCTGTGGTGGAGATTGGGATTAAAATCGGTCGGTTGTCTTTCTTTTCTGTCGTTTTCCCGGGAAATTTTTGGAGGGTCAGTGGGCGGTGAGACGCAAAGAGACGGTGATTGGCGGGGCAGGCTCTCCGCATCGCGTTGGCCTCAAATGGCCCAGTGGAGTCAAACGCCATCCAAACTAACTTGCCTCCAGCTGTCTTCATATCTCCTTGTCGTCTCCTCAATTGTTCCTGGTTATTCTCCTGATATTTCGAAAAAGTTCAACTGTGCAACCTGCTACGAACATTCTAACCTTCACTTCCCATTGAATATCCCATCTCACCATGGTCCTTCAGGATCTTGGGCGGCGAATTAATGCCGCCGTCAATGACCTGACTCGGTCTAACAATCTGGACGAGAAGGTGTGTGGCTGTCCTGCCGTGCAACTCCTTCTTAGCTGCTGACTTCATGATTGTAGGCCTTCGATGATATGCTCAAGGAGATCTGTGCAGCTCTACTCTCAGCCGACGTCAACGTCCGCCTCGTCCAGTCGCTCCGGAAGTCCATCAAGTCCAGCGTCAACTTCGCCTCCCTGCCACCCGCCGTGAACAAAAAGCGCCTGATCCAGAAAGCCGTGTTCGATGAACTGGTAGCCTTGGTGGATCCGCACGCCGAGCCTTTCCGTCCCAAGAAGGGCCGCTCCAATGTGATCATGTTCGTGGGTTTGCAGGGTGCCGGTAAAACGACCACCTGTACCAAATTGGCTCGCCACTACCAGATGCGCGGGTTCAAGACCGCCCTTGTCTGTGCCGATACCTTCCGTGCGGGTGCCTTCGACCAGCTGAAGCAGAATGCCACCAAGGCCAAGATCCCGTACTACGGTAGTCTGACGCAGACCGACCCCGCCGTCGTGGCCGCGGAGGGTGTCGCCAAGTTCAAGAAGGAGCGCTTCGAAATCATCATTGTGGATACCAGTGGTCGTCACAAGCAGGAGGAAGAACTGTTCACCGAAATGACCCAGATCCAGACCGCCGTCACCCCCGACCAAACCATCCTCGTCCTCGACAGCACCATCGGTCAAGCTGCTGAGGCCCAGTCCTCCGCGTTCAAGGCCACCGCCGATTTCGGGGCCATCATCATCACGAAGACGGACGGCCACGCGGCGGGCGGTGGTGCCATCTCGGCCGTCGCCGCCACGCACACGCCCATCATTTACCTGGGTACCGGTGAACATTTGATGGATCTGGAGCGGTTCGAGCCGAAGGCCTTCATCCAGAAGCTGCTTGGCATGGGTGATATGGCCGGCCTGGTCGAACACGTTCAGGCTGTCACCAAGGACTCCGCCTCGGCCAAGGAGACCTACAAGCACATCGCAGAGGGTATTTACACGCTGCGCGACTTCCGGGAGAACATCACCTCGATCATGAAGATGGGTCCTCTGTCCAAGCTCTCCGGCATGATCCCGGGCCTATCCAACTTGACCGCCGGTCTGGACGACGAGGACGGCTCGCTGAAGCTGCGCCGCATGATCTACATCTTCGACAGTATGACTGCGGTCGAGCTGGACGGCGACCCAAAGGTGTTCGTCGAACAGCCCAGCCGCATGGTCCGCGTGGCTTGCGGCAGCGGTACCACCGTCCGCGAGGTCGAGGACCTTCTTTCTCAGCATCGCATGATGGCCGGCATGGCCAAGCGCGTCGGCGGGCAGAAGAAGCAGATGCAGCGCGCCCAGAATATGCTCAAGGGCGGAAACAAAGAGCAGCAGCTGGCCGCCATGCAGAAGCGCATGGCCGCCATGGGCGGGGCCGGCGGCGGCGGGTTCCCTGGTATGCCCGGCATGGGCGACATGGCCAAGATGATGCAGATGCTGCAGGGCCAGGGCGGCGGCGGCGGTGGCGGTCTCCCGGGTCTCGGTGGTATGGACTTGCAGAGCATGATGAGCCAGATGGGCGGGCTGATGGGTGGTATGGGCGGTGGTGGTGGCGGCCGAGGTCGTGGCCGGTGATCCTGCTGCAACCCCCATTCAACTTCGTCCAGCGGCCTTGCATTCTCATTCTTCGTTTTTCCCCTGGCCTCCATCCGCCCTCTCCCTCAAGTTCCTTCTATCCTCTTCGCACCTTCTTGTCTATATCTGACCTTTTCTCACTATTCTTCCTTTTCATGACTCCGGTCTTTTCCTCCGCCGGAAGCCACGGCTTACTGCTGATGTCGATGTCGATTGTATTAGCATACTATGGTGTTGGGCGTGTTCTTTTTCTTTTTTTCTTGGTTTCTCCACCGGGTTGTTGATTCATTCCTTCCCAATCCATACCAAAATAATCTGATGATAGATGAGGCTTGCTTGCATTGAACCAGATTGGCATGTAATCATCCCCTTTGAACTACGTCCGTTCCCCGAAAAAAGCGGTAGATTGCTCATTCGAATGATACCTATCAATCTATGATTTCTCAGTTCGACCCATCTTGTGGCGAATAACTAACAATTGGTGGACTAATTCCCAATTAGCATGTTTTGCCTATTATCCAAGAGATTCTTCCGCAAGATCATCGCTGCAAGAAGTAGAAAAAAAAAGAAACTTAATCCAATCGCTCTTTCTTCTGAATCACATCCAAAACATAATACACTACCTTCAGGACACCATCTCTAATCCAACCAACAGTCTCCTCGACTCGTCCGACCCACTCTTTCGCCCACGCATCCCAGCTCTGCTCCTCCCTCGTGTCCAGCAACAGCTTTCCCGGCGGCAGTCGCGGGTGTTTCCACGCCGCCACGTCCGCGACCCGGCTCTCGTACCCGGGCAGGGGGACGCTGAGCTCGTACTGCCAGACCAGCTGCGTATCGACATACATTGAGTAGGTGAGCACCGAGCTGGGCACGGTGACGGGGTGTCCGGATTGGGTGGCATCGATGACCGCGTCGCGGACCTCGATGTCCACCAGGCCGTACTTGGTGTTCCCGTCGGGGATGTACTTGATGGTGATGTCTTCGTTGTCCGTCTGCCGGTAAGTGCGCACGGGGAGGTAGAACATGCTGAGGGGGCCGACGCAGAATTCGTGCACGCCCTCCCCGGCGGTGTTCGGGGTGAGCTCGTTCGCAGGCAGATCGAGGGAGGGGTCGGGGAAGCGCGTGGCGCCGAATTCGTGGCGGTCGCCGCTGAGAAGGACGATCCGGAGGCCGAGCTCGCGCTCGGCCCGCCAGATCGCCTCGAACACGACGCGGCGCTCGTTCAGGAACCCGCCCCAGGTGTCGGTGGTGCCGACCTGCCAATTCTTTGTGAAGGGGACGCTGGAGGCAATGAGCTTCCAGCGCACTTCGCTGGGTTCGGGGCGTGCGATGTAGGCGAGGAGGGATTGAAGCTGGGCGGAGCCGAGGATCGTGGAGTTGTATTGCGACGGGGCCGATCGGTAGGTGCGGGTATCGAGCATGAAGAAGGAGGCAGGCCCGTGGATGAAGGAGAAGTAGGTCGTGTTTTCAGGGGTTGCGAAGGGAACGGGTGGGATGGGCGGATTGGGCCGGACATGGTAATGGATGTAGGGCTCGAACGCTGCGGGGTACGGTGCAGTGGTGTTGCCTTTCGACCAGTCATTCTCAATCTCGTGGTCATCGAGAGTGTGAATCCAAGGCAGGTCGATGGCAGGCGTACTGTCCTCTGGACGATTCCACGAGGGAGATGAGTAGACGCGGTGGTACTCGCTGCGATAGTGCGAGACGGATGACCCGAAGCGCTGAGGGACATCGACGTAAATGAAGTCGCCAAGGAACAGCATGAATGCTGGTCGCAGCAATGATGGCAGTCGACTAATTGTGTCCGTCATCATCTCGATCCCTGGGATGCGCAGTGGATGCGACAGCGGGTTGTAGGGGAAATTCGCCTTCATGCAGCTTGAGGTCAGGAAGCTGAGGCGGTTTGCCTGTTTGGTGCCGGGCATTGGAGCAGTGACGAATGAGCCTGTAAGGTTGTTGGACAGGGAGTAGCGATACGGTGACGACGGCTTCAAGCCTTTGATTGTCACCGTGGTCGTGTAGTCTTTTGACTCGTCTAGAGCATAGATCATGCCCTCTTCCGTCCATCGTGTCGAGTCCTCTGTATCTGTTGGCTGATAGAAGATGACAAGGGGCAACTGTGCAGGGTCTGGCTCGCGAACCAGTAAATTGGCGGTCGTTGGTGAGACATAACCGATCCGAGAGAAGGTGACATCTGCGCTGGGGTAGACAACGAGGCCACGCAGCATGAAGTCTAGAGTGAGCAATGCAAGCCCAATGTTGATGAGAACAGTCAAAAGCGTCGAGCGTGGTAAGCTGGCGGACGGCAGGCCAAAGAGCAATGTCTTGAGTACATTATCTGGATTTCGTGGTGTTGTGCGCTCTGATTGTAGGAGTTAGAAGGCCGCTGGCAATCTTAATTGGTCTGGTCACTCAACTTGTGGTTTTTGGAGTGTCTTTAGTATTGCTGTCGGTGGTACTCCGCTCAGTCGGTCGAAGGAGCGATACGACAGCAGTGAGATACACAGCCAATGCTGTAAAGATCACATGTGGGAACTGGTGTCCGGGGATCTAGAAGAATCAGATAACGCATGAGTCAGGGACTATTCTCGCAGCGAAGCCATTGCATCAACGTACCCAGCGGAGGAAGAAGAAGGCCGCAGCCCGGACCGTTGCGGAGCTCAAGGCAGCGGCAATCCGCGCGACAAACACCATGGTGCTAGGGGTGGTTTCGATGATATTCAACAGGTAGTGATCATTGCCAGGCCAGTAAGCTTTCCCAGAAGGCGAAGCTTGCTGCTGTCCAATTCACAGCTCGAAGAATAATGAATAATGAAAGGGCGTTGAGTGGTAGTTAGTAAGTTTATCGGTAAGGAGGAGGAGGAGAAGCCGGCGGCGGCGAAGTCGATGATGACGACATGCCGAAACACCTCTTTTCTCTGAGCTGACGCTCGGACACGGAGACACCGCGCATCCTTCTTTATTCCAACAGCTAGCAAAACATTTTACGTGCAGCTATAGACTTCCAGCGGAGCGATGGATACACATCCTTATAGTTATACTTTACTCTACATTTCTCCCCGTCTATCGCCGCTGCATCATGTCGCGAAGCACGTTCATCAAGCTGCTGGTCATCGGCCCTGAAGTGAGCTGGCGCGTTGCATCCACGAGATCTTTCATGTGCATGCTCAGGGACATCTCCGCTGCCCAGTACCATGGATGCTCCTGTTCCCCGGGTTCCGAGTTGAAATACTCCCAGCCCATGACGCCCCCAAAATCAGGATATTGTTCAATCAGCATGGCCAGGATAGGTCCGATTTTCTCGGGGGGCACATAGCCCTGCGACCCATTGCCTGGATTGGTCAACATCCCAAGCACCACCCGGTTTGGGGACCAGCCCTGTGCGACGATGGCAGCATACATCCGGGGATCATCCGCGGGTCCCCAACCGTTGTAGAACTGCGTGTTGTACCAACTGATCTTTGCGGCTCTCTGTTGTTCCAGCTCCCGGTAGTCGAACCCCGACAGGTTTCCCAGGCCCAGCATGGCCGCCGCAACTGGAGCTAGCGTCACAATAAACTCGTCTCCCAGATCCAGCTTGAGTCTGTCAATAAGTCGGATGATGCCTGCCAACGACATTTCCTCTTCCACATCGAGATCTAGCCCGTCCAATCCATGGCGCCGGATCATGGCCAGCAGGGGTCGGTAGTACAGTTCGAATTTCTCTGCATCTCCATCCAGGGAGCGGAACGAGCCCTGCGCAGCGCCCCCGAGCATTCCCATGATGCGTACCCCCTGTTGTTTCACGCGGGGTACCTCGGCCCATAGGGCGTCGTACATGCTGTGTTGTGGTGGATCATTGTTCAGTGTAATGTGTTCCGGGTCTGCGTTCAGGTGAAAGGCTGCGAGGATGATGTGCGTAACGCCTGTATTGTTCTGGACTAGTGGCATCATAGAGACATACTGGCCTCCATTGGGACAGAGAGTCTGATGGTACAAGATTACCCGACACCGGTCGGACGACGAAGGTACGGGAGGCATTGTCAGAGATATGGTAGAGGGAACGATGCGCAGAGTGGTATTACACAATAAAACCCAGATCTCGAGCCTGGGGATAGCAGAAGAGGAGGAGGGAGAGGGGACAAAAGGTGGAGAAGAGAGATTGCGACACAGCGAAGGTCGCCGCGATCGGTCGGGTGAGGGGGAAATGGGGGGAAGCGAGCAGTGCTGGATTCGGCCGGCGACGGTCTGGAAGAAGAATAGCCCACCTTAACAGCCCCGCCGCCGGTGTAGGTAGGCATAGCACTTCATATACAGTACTGACCTTCGTAGACCATGATTGCTGAGCAGATCGCACATTCGAACCTCGGGGTCAGAAGCTAGGGACAGGGACGAAGAGCATTACGTCGAAGAGGCTCATAAGACACCCCCAGGTTGCGCAAAAGAGCTGACACGTGACGCATTGCTCCCCATATCACTCGTAAGTTATAGTACCGTACAATACAACACTTGAGCAGATGGTTGGAGGACAATTCCATCTACGTTGATAGTTATCTGTCATGAGAGCACGATCTTTGCAGGTGTGACCCGGAGGATTCATTGTGACTCGTATAGAATCATCTGTAATTGAGGTGCAATGCGGTCAGCAGGCTCCCTGAGTGAAACTGCTGACAATGATGATGATATGCGGCCTGGATTTACAGGCAGCAAGGCCCCTGGTGCCTGACGATCGGTGTTTACCCGGCCAGTTGGTGTTTGTTATCGCATCTTCCCCGGCGATAACTCATTCATTCCTTCAACGACTCTGGCTTAAATTCTGCATTATTTGTCTATGTAGTAATTCCATCAAGCCATGATACCTCGATTACCTTGAGGCCTATTTTAGTATCTTGTCCTATATTTGGATACCTCGATATCCTTGAGGACAATCCACCCCCCAGCATGGCCGATACGACCACCCATGACACTGTGGGCGCGTCAACTCTCGCGACGCCTCTCTTCATGCCCTCGTCACCCCCCTCTCGTCGTCAAAACGCACAGAGCTACTCTCCCCTGAGCGCGAAGAGTCCTCGTACTATCGATCGCGCTGCGACCACAACCCACGCCGATGATGCCCGCTCTCCGCTAAAACAGAGCTACTCGCTGCGGTCCTCCCGAGCGTCGTCGCTCGAGCGCGCCGCGAACGACATCGACGCCCGTCTGGCGCAATACACCGTTGACTTCAGTCAGTACCCGAGTACTCAAGCGCTGGACGACCATGTGGATCCTCTTGCGGAATTCAAGTTTCCGCATGAAGACGACCTGTCGGATGTCGGAGGTCCAGCAGATTTCACTGCGAATCTGGAGAAATACCTGATGGGCGACGGAGATACTATGGAGGATAAGCACTTTATGGACTTCCGGGATGATGGACACGACTTGTCGGAGCTTGAGCCCCTATTTGATGATTTGGAGGAGCAGGAACACGATCTGCGCCACCAGGAAGACGAAAACCCCCTGCCTCCGCTACCCGAATCCCCTGCCCAGCCGCGAGGCCACAGCAGGCAAAACAGCCAACGGATGCAGCAGCGGGAGGATATGCGACCGCCACAGCGCGAGCAGAGTTCTCAGTTGCATCAGCCGGCTATCGAGGATGAGCCCGAACCTGAACCAGAGCTTGGCGAATACAGTGAATTCGGCCCACCGATCGACATGTCTACACCATCGCAATTTCTGCGCCGCGCCAGTGGCTTTAACAGGGATACCACGCATCTAGAAAATATTGAAGAGGACCCGGACGATGAGATGGAGGCAAGCACGACTACCCCGTCAGTACGGAGACACAAGACCCCTTCCCCTCACAAACAAGAACCAAGTACAGCTGGAGATCTACGGAAACAAATACTGGAACTCGAAAATAAGCTGCAAGACCGTAATGAGCAGCTGGAGAAGGGTCGTAGGCGCGTGCTAGAGGCAGCATCCGCTGGCGAGCAAATCAAACACCTTCAGGGCGAGCTGCAGAGGAAGTCGGCTTTGTTAGATGAATTCTACGCCAATCGTACTGACGAGACTATTCTGCGAGAGCAAGTCCACATGCTCCAGAAACAGAACGAAGAAAGAGAGACTTTCTTGCACAAGTCCACCATTAATGCCTCCGAGCTAAGTGCTCTTCAGAAGCAGATTAGCGATATGCAGAAGGAGCTGCAGAATCGTGGATCATCACACCCAGACCTTGATGCAGAGCGGCTCGACACCATTGCATACTTGCGACAGCAATTAGATCTGGCCCAGGAACAGCTGCGTAAGCGCGACGCAACCCTGGACGAGACGATCGCGAAGCTCAAGGAAGTCACCGATGCCAAAGAGCAGCAGCTCCGAGAGAAGAACACTGAAGTGGATGAATTAAAGGCCCAGATCAGCAGTCACCTGCTCGAAATAGAGAAGTTAGACACGGAGCTCGAGAGCGTCAATCAAGCCTACGAGACTCTGGAAGAACGAATCGTCACTCTCGAGACGAAGAATCGCCCCTTGGAGGAAAAGAACAGCACGCTCGAAGCCGACCTCACCCGCGCGCAGACGCAAGTTACTGCGCAGGAAAACGCCCTCAAGGCCATGGCCGCTGACCTTCCCCTCGAAACCGGCGGCAACACCTATACAGAAATTCTCGAACTGATCAAGGATCTGGGCCAACCCAGCCAGGGATCTCGGATTCTGAATCCAGGCTCATCAAGAAAGGACCCAGAAGAACAACGTCAAGACCAGAGCCAAGACTATGACCAGGCCCCGCACGAAGAGCTGAAACGCCTCCGAGACGAACTCTCCAAACTTCAGTCCGAACTGACCGAGGCCAACTCGGCTAAGAAAACCCTCGAACTGCAGCTCTCGCGCTCGGAGGACCAGGCCGTCGAAGCGCAAACCCTCATCCACTCCATCGAGACCGAAAGCACCCGCCTCAGCAAGCGCGCCGACGACCTTCGCTCGAACCTCACCAAGACCCAGCAGGAACTGACCCAAATGAAAGAGGAGCGCACCAAAGCCCTAGAAACCATCGACCGCCTGCAAAAGGAGCAACAACAGCAACAACAACAACAACAACAACAACAACAACAACAACAACAACAACAACAAGAGGATGAGAAGAAGAAACAAACCCGACAGCAACAGCTGCAAAACCAACAACTCAGCCCCCCTCCTTCCCCCCCCGTTTCACAACCACAACAGCAACAGCAATTACTCCAACTTCAACGTCAAAAGGAGCAAGAACTCCTCGAACAAACTCACTCTCTCCAGTCCGAACTCCGCACTCTGAAAGCGACCCATGCCGCAGAGCTCGCGAAACTCCGCGAGCTGCTGGCGGCGACGGAACACCGGGAATCCCGGTACAAGGCGCAGGCGGGCTCGCTGCGCGAGCAGCGCGAGCGGCACCAGAGTGAGAGCCGCGCCCTCCGCCTCCAGGTCGAGCATCTCGAGTCCGTGCTCGCGACGAAGGAGGAGACCGCCACCGCCGTGGACGAGCGGATTGCGCGCTCTGTGGAAAAGCGCGAGAAGGAGTGGCAGCGGCGCGTCGAGCTCCTGCTCAAGGAGCGGGAACGCATGGGTCGCGCGCTGATGTGGTCGTGGGGAGAAAAGGAAGTCGGTGGTGGTGCTAGTGGTGGCAACAGTGGCAGTGGAACAGGGAAGGGAAACCTTGCGGTGGGAGCGGACGAGAAGGGTAGGCGGAAGCAGGGGTATCGGTACAAGTATGCCGTGTCGAGTCCAGGGCAGGGGTCGGCTTCGGTCTCGTCGATGTCAAGGAGTGGTGAATCTGGGAAGAGAGCCTGAACGAATGGGACGGTACGGATTTGGGTTGGATAGGGCTGGGTTGGGTTGGGGTCCGGTTATAATGGCACTATGGGAATGGAATGCCTTTTCATCACAGGTCTGATTGACTTGAATGTTTCGGGCTGGGCGGAGCCTGTTGCTTTCTTCACGGGGTGCTTCATGGCTTGTGTTTACGGTGCTGGTTTTCTTTTCGATTTTCTTTTTTGCTTCCTGTTTCTCCTTTCCTTATGATTCCCTGCTTTCATTGTGCTCAGGATGGTTTTTACGGTGTCATGAAAAGGCAACTTACGGTCAGAAACTAAGGAAGGGAGTGGATCTCGCGTGTACAGACAAGGAGTCGCCATGTTCTCGGCTCCTGTTATCAGAGCTTGAATGCGCGCTCAGCTAAAGCAGATTACTCCGTTAATGTATTTGTTGCCATTCGTGCAAATCAAAGAATTAGGTATGGGATTTCAAAATGTCTCAGATCGTGGTACAACAAATCAGCGGCAAATACAATTGAGGGTCGTGAGCTTCAGAAGTACGAAGACGAGAAAAGGTTTGGAAAGACCGGTTGATACAAAATGTATATTGAGAATCGAAGATTAGGGAGACGGTAGCTCTTTGATGAGAATGAACAGCCTGACCCGCAGGCTCTAGTGTCCACTGACACTGTTCGTTCGAGTTGTATCGCGATACGCATTCGCCTCAGACAGGTAGCTCTCCGGGGCTTCGTCAACAGATGTGCCCGTTTCGCGGATACTGTCTAGTCTGCTAGGCGCGGAGGCGAGACCGCCATATGTGTTGCTGCGGGGACGACGCAGGTTTGAGTATGTCAGTTCAGCGTCGTTTCCACGGGTTGATGAAGACATGCGGCGGTTGTGCTCCTGATACCATCGACGACCGTAGTGATTGTGATGAGGCTGGTGCTGGCTTTGAGTATGCCGCGGAATTTGGGAGGATTCAAACTGATACACCTGACTCTGTCGTCGGTTGCTGCGCCTGGAATTCTGCCGGCTGGCCACCTCACGATCAATCGGTACACCTCTGTAGCTAGAGGCCTGGGCAAGGCTCGGGCGCGCTGCCGGGAGCGGAGGGGTTGCGGTGAAAGCTCCCTGGTACGGTATATATGCGCTCCTGGGAACAGGAGCCGTATGCGCAGTGTTGGACCGGCGTACATTCAAGGGTTCCGGCACGAGGACTTCGGGTGCATCGGCTGAATTCATGGTCACAGATCGTGTGAGGGCTCTTGCTCGCAGCTGATTTGCTTCGAATGTGAGAGCTTCGGCTGTAATGGCTGGCAAAGGTTTTTCCACAGGAGCTGAAGCCAGTGGATGCCCAGGAGCATACTCTTTCTTCGGGGTTGGTGGGCGTTCAGCCACTAAGGCTCCTTTTTCGACATCTGCTTCAGTCGTCGAGTCGGCAAGGGCACGTATTTGAGGGTCTGCTGACAATGGTTGTAAAAATAACTTGGGCAGCAGCCGTCGCAAAGACGACGCGGAGGATTTTTGTCGTTTGTGTCCGGAAGTGAAAGGCGATGCCCCTGGTAACTCTATCGGAGCCATTTGCTTAGAATGGTCACCATAAGAGCTAAATGTCGCCGCGGTGGGCGTGCGCGAAACGCACGAAAGAAGATCCGAGCTAGTCATCACGACCGGCAACTTCCTTGTAGAAGTTTCCTGCGGTGAAAGGGTGGTACCCGATAGCATATCCGTTGTGTCCGAGTCATATTCAGCCTCGAACCCTCGGTGGGATTTGTGGTGGACAATGTTCGGGTATTCAATGCTTGTGGACATTGGGATGGTGTTATCACTTGATGACATATAGAGCCCTCGGCCATATGTGATGTCGGGACGCCGACACACATAGTAGATGTCATTCTTTAGGCTGTTGTCACTTTCCGTGCTCCAGCTGCTGAGAATGCTGTCATCGCAGATTGAAAATGAAGGCTGGCGTGTATACATGCCCATTAATGAGACATCATAAGGGCGTCCGCAGAGTTGTCTGAAGCCAAAGAAGAGAAACAACGTTATGCTGCATCTTAATCAGTAAACGTAACCACGCAGCGAAGTCGGAGCATAGCATACACTGAAACAATCGAATCTATGATGGATGCACGATAAAGTGTACAGCTGACGCCCGTCTTCCAGAAGCTGTCGTTGCCTTCCTCGGCAAGACACAGTAGATGTTGCGAAATAACCACCAGGCCTGTAGCACCGGCGGCTATCGAGATGACAATTGCAACCCCTAACACACAGCTACAAACAATCCGCAGCATGGCCTTTTGGCTTGTAAACCGTGCTACTTTGTTGTACTGCCAGGCAAGAAAACTGTGTAGGACGACAAGCGGCACAATGAAGAAGGACTAATTCCCAATTTTAGCGTTTGATATTGAGGAGAGTGCTTCACGACTTACTGCTGCTAGAGCGAGAATCAGACTAGGGGTCATTTTCGCATCCACGTGTCGTTCAACATAAAGGCAGATCACAATCCCCCATTCGATGAGAGACTCGAGCAGTAAGGCGTACAGAGAGACGAAGATCGCGCGTTTCACCCACGCGCCTTCTGCGCTGGCAGACACATAGTGGCTAGACATGGCTGGGTTCGTGGTTAGAGCAGCAGCAGGCTGCAATGCACAGCTTCAACACGTCGAGGCAATCAAGCTTGGACATCCACGCGTTGATAGGCACCCACGAGGCAATGCGATCAGATCAACTCTAGCAGCACATCAGGCGACTGGTGCCGAAAGGTGTAAAAGAAAATCGACCACCAAACGAAGGTCCACTTAAGATATTAAGATAGGGCTACGGCGAACTAAATGGGGAGAAGATGGTAAACATCTGGCGCGTCGACGCGCGAAGAGGGGTCGGAATGGATGGGCAGCGGTATGCCCATCTCCGATCAGATGGAGGGGAGCAGCTAGATTGCAAGAAGGCTGTCTCTAGCTTCTCTTTGGGTAGAAGAGACAATAGTCTCATCGTGTGGAATGTAGACTAAGAAGAGTCCGGCCGAGAAGGGAGGGCGACTTCCTGGACTGTACTGCAGTAGAAGCTGACCATGATTAGTCATTCCATTTTTCAGGGGCTTCAGAGTCTATCGTGAGTTAGTTCAATGAAGGTTACAAGTCATCAAGATTCAGGATCGAGCGTAGACATCGGCAGCCCTTCGTATGCGCAGAATTGCATCACCTGGCTCTACTCAGACACCCCTGCGAGGGATACGCCGTCATCGTGTGCAAGCTAAGTGATTGTTTGGTGAAAATTGATACACATTGAGACAGGAGCAGTGAGACAACTTCAGTTCTTTGAATGAAGGATGAGAAGTAGAATCTAGGGCTATTTACCGGGGATGTTCTAGGGATGAGGGGATGAGAAAAAGAGGGAGAGGCAGAGGCAGCGGAGGAAAGAAAGGGCTCGGGACGTGATGGGTAAGAAAGGGGAGGGCAAGGGCTTGCTTGTGCTGCTGCTCAGGCACTCAGGCCATCCATTCATCTGTTTCTTTTTCTTTACATTGATTTGCCATCCATGCAATTTATCAAAAAATTGAGAAAGGGGTTGGGAGGATGGATGGCTGCAAGGGCAATCGGAATTCCATGCCACCACCAGCTTGCTGAAGAACTATGGATGTTTTCTCGCGTAGAATGAGGTCCCTTGAGTTGTCGCATTGGTGTTAAATCATCACTATCATCGATTAAGCGATTCGTCTATGAATCTCGAATAACAAGCGAGCTGGATAGATACTTTCTATTGTGAATGTATGACTCGAGAGTAGCAGGGAACTACTCCGTTTGTCTCTTCCATTCTCCGGATTCTTTATCTTATCGCATCGGACAACAGCAGTAAACCAGCCAGACCATTCATTTATGTACACCTTCTTGCAACAGGTACCCGAATTTCAAAGCTGAATTAACCACCGTCGGGACGCGGTCAATTCCTGCGGGGCTCAAGACAATTTGCAAGGTGGAGCTCAGAATGAGGGGTAATTTACTCCAAGCTCCAAGGTTACAACTGTACACTACGGACCAGGCTCAGGTTGCTCCCGATAAGATCTAAGATAATGAGGTTCGAGGCCGATAACAACGACAGATAATCCAGCCATCATCCGCAATCATTACGAAAGAGGCTCGACAATTCAAATAGCTCCACAAACTCTTCAGAAAGCTTTGGGTGCGATTATCAATCTATCAGACACGGCAAGATAGTGGATTATTGATCACATCCCGCTACAAGTGTGCCATGCATTCGATCTCCACGTCTGCTTTCAAAAGCTCGGCCTTAAAGAGCCACGCAGCTGTGTTGTTGAGTTGTCTCTATTAGCCACCAGCTCGCAGCTCAAGGGAGTAGTTGAAGCGATAAGGCACATTCGACAAGGCTTCACGTCGCTGTATGGTTTTTTTTTTTTGGCAAAATCGACCATGCTGGAGAGGAAGACGGTTGGGTTGGCCTTGAGCACCTTGGGGTGAACAGCTGGCTCGTATCAGCGAGGAGAGAAACCCTGATAAACCGGCTTGTGTTCTCACCCCCGCTCTGCTCTACTCCTCTCTTGCTCCCTTGCGTTTGAAAATGCAACCTTCATGCAACCACGGGCTTGCTGCCCATCAAGATAAACGGAAGCATTGAGTATTTATAAACTTCGTCTTGTTCCCCGCCAACTTCCACGCGTCTAGTGCACGTACCCTTTTCCCAAGCATTCATCATAACGTATTCACAATGTCCATCAGTCATAGCCCGGCCGACCAACCACCCTACCCTCTTCACCCCTCCGTGGTCAACAAGCTCGACCCAGAATATGTGGATTTCTATAATACGCATGTAATCGACAAACAACAAGTTCATCTCCAGCCGGTGGAGGCTTCCCGTACAAGCGGGGTCCTGATCCCCGGCGGAGGTCCTCTGCTCCCCGTTGGGAGAACAGTCGACCTGCGCATTGGTCGCCGTGTCACAGGGGGACCTGAGATTCCTTTGCGCGCTTTTATCCCGGAAGGCACAGCACCAGCGAGCGGATGGCCACTGATGTTGTATTTCCACGGAGGCGGATGGGTGTTGGGCAACATCGATACGGAGAATCCGGTGTGCACAAATCTCTGTAACCGAGGTCGCTGCGTAGTAGTGACTGTCGACTATCGGTATGCATCAATCCAGCTCACCGATGCGAAGAGAGTCGCACCCTGATTGACCCTCTAGTCTCGCTCCCGAGCATCGCTGGCCCGCCGCCGTCCATGATTGCTGGGAAGCCCTTCTCTGGCTGCTGGCCGACGGTCCGACACAGCTCCCCATTGACACGAAGATTCTCGCAACAGGGGGCTCCTCCGCAGGCGGAAACCTAGCCTGCATCATTACCCAAAAGGCCCTCACTCTCTCGCCGCCCGTTCATTTCAAGGCCCAGTTACTGTCCGTGCCGGTGACCGACAACACCGCCTCGGTATCTACCAACGACGCCTACCGCGAGTACGAACACACCCCAGCTCTACCAGCGAGCAAGATGCTCTGGTACCGCGAGCATTACCTGCCTGACCAGAAGGATTGGGCGAACCCGGAGGCCAGTCCTCTGTTCTACACTGGAGATTGGTCTGCTCTGCCGAGAGCCTTGGTCATGGTGGGGGAATTGGATGTGCTAAGGACGGAGGGAGAGCAGTATGCGCAGAAGCTACAGAAGGCAGGCGTACCAGTGGATTTGCAAATAATGAGGGGCATGCCCCATCCGTTTTTGGCAATGGACGCTGTTCTGAAAGAAGGGAAAAGGTCCATTACATTGATGTGCGACCTGTTGAAGGAGGTTTTCTGGAATGAGCACAAGTAAGCATTGGCTGGTCTTGCTGTAGCCCCGTCTCAGTATCAAATAGACTGTTCAAATTAGAGATTTCCGTCAAGATCCAGCATTAATAAATGGAGATGTTCACGCCGCGAGTCTTCTGCATCACACAGGGTGGTAACCACATGAGACAATATGAGATATATTGGGCACACTTACATGTTTTTGCGTGTAGGTTACTAAGATCACCAGAGACTAGATATCCGTCAGAACATAAGTACCACACTTACCTTTGAGAATTCGTGTCGCCTGTCCCAGGCCCGATCAGTCACCCAAATAGCATTCGTGTCCCACACAATCTTATTTCGCAGTCTAAAGCTCTTTCCAAGCGGCGCGATAGGGATTACTCCAAGCCCTTTTGCGCGTATCATCAGCATCGCTTGTGCTAACGTGGGAACAGGGGGGACTTCCCGATTTTCAGCTACATTTGATATCCTTGAATGCAGGTTCTGTCCCACCCACGAAATGCGTGGACCAGGCCAATCTCGGGACCAGGGTCCTTGATTTCTCGGACATTTGGGATCATCAAACCTGAGGTTACATCTGGAAGGTATGGGTGGTGTTTGTTATATGGTGTGACCGGTATGTCTGAACAAAGAATGCTGGGAATACCCGCTAGATGCTTCAAGTACGGACATGTAAGAACAACCTCTGGGATCGACATGAACATCGATCAGCAGAAGTCGTGTTTATTCCTCAGGATCAGCTACACGTAATGAGAAATTGGGGAGACCTTGGAGCACAATTGGATCCCACTGTTTCCGAAGTTGAAGACAGTTCAAATTCCAAAGTCATATCTGTACCTTCTCATTGACGACAAGGCACACAAGCACGAGTATCCCTCGAATACTGGTGCGAACATCTGCGGGCTTGGCTATGGCACATCAGAACGCTGACATACCGTGCCTCTATAACTACTCAAGCACCCGTCGGATCTTTCAGTGCTTGTTCGATCTCATTTCAGTCTCCAGTCCCCTTGTTCTGCACCGCAACCCCCCGTGAGCGGGCGCTTCTTCGCTTCCATTAATGATGCCGACCCCGGCATACCGGCAAGTGGAAGTGCTGCGGCCAGTGAAGCAACCTAGTACTCACCCTTTTACTCTTTTCGTATGGTGCTAGAGAGCACAATTGGGCTCAAATTTTAGTATCCCCACTCAGTAAATATGATGTAGGAAATGGCAGCGGAAACTGCTCCCCGGCAGCCACAGTGGCTTCGGTTGTTGCACCCGAATCCAGTTCTGTCCAACGTAGACTAGTACACTTCCAGTCCGGCGTCTAATTTCCGGTCCCTTTTGCTATTGTGCTAGAGCAAATAGTATGACGCTGCGACTCCTGGGGTGAATGAGAGGCTTCGGCTGTGGAGCCTCAGCGTTTGTGTAAGGGGAATGAGGGTCTCCTGGATCACAAAGAAGCAAAAGCCCCCTCCAAACCGGTGAATATGATTACAAGCGCATCGAAGGGGGCAAATGTACATGCTCCAGGCTTGGTGGCACAACTTCACGGACGAAGGTGCTCAGCATACAGAGTCGGCGGGAGTAGCGGTCATATCGGCCGTGTCAGTCCATCGCTGCTGGGAGTGACACTGCAGGCTATGGTGAAAGCTTCTTTAGGGGCACTGGTCAACTGATTCTTCGGCATGGTGCCAGGCAATAATATATTTTGGATGTGTGTCTGTGCAGGCGTAATTTCCTCATCGATGCAGCCACCACAACAAGTGAGTGCGACTGGATATCACGGCGCGAGGTCGGGTATTTCGCAGGAATCAGTCGAGGTTAGCGCTGGGTCTTGATTGCACTAGTTTCTTGCACTATCCGCCGCACGCTCCAGTAGGGCTGGGCGAGGAGGACCCTCTCTAATTAATCTGGAATGAGGGTCTGTGTGAAAGCCTGAAAGTGAAAGGCGATTGATTGTTAGTGACTTAGTGTAGGTCCGTGAGCGGTGTTCGTTCGGTGCCCTCTCTGGATCAGGGACTAGCGCCGCTGGTTCTGGTTAAGCTAACATAGCCGAAGTATGACTAGTAAAGTTAGACAGAAGGAGGCGAGGAGGGGCCAAGTCACTTCCTGCTCATGTCTCCGGTTCGGGATACGCGCATGTTGAATCACCTTGATCGTTTCAACTCGAGTGCTTGTCAAGATGAGAACTTTCTAGTCTCTTTCTGCATGTTGTTGATCGAAGTTTGTCTTTCTCTGACAGCGAAAATCAACGGCCTCAAAAGGTGGTGTCGATCGGATGATCCGGTGATCTCCGGACAGTGTCCGGCTCAGGGGCAGATCGTTTCCACGGATCACGTTAGGACCGAGCTTTTAGGCAAAAGTCAACAATATGTTACCTAGGTCGTTACTGCTTACAGTATCTGGTATGGGGTCTTCGTATAAATCGCTCTTCTAACTAAATCTCTAAGCCTCTCAGAGACGGTGGACATGACGGTGGACACCAAACCGGATGCGGCGGAGGGTCCGCGAAATTTTGCACGGATGGAGGCTGACTACTAGACTACTAGTAGCTTAGCATTCTGGTATCTATTATCGAACCGCTGTCATTGGTGTGCCTGAGTCAGAAATGGCCGACCTCCCTTCCCTCACTAGTCCTATTCCAGTAACTGCCACATGGACCCGTGACCCCGGCTAGTCCTGTTTTGAAAGTACTCTCACCAGGCTAGTATTCATCTGGACTCCTGGAGACTTGAGATCAAGACTTCTTTCCAACCTCCATCCATCCTATACGCTAAGACTGCCACTACCCAAAGGGTCCATACCCCACCTACCCTCGTTTGCTCTCGCCTTCCAAAAACCGATTTCCCTTGTCATCCCAGGTCATTTTTAGCCGGCAATACAACTATCCGCCGCTCGCAAGAGCCACTCCTTTTCTCATACGTACAGTTGACTACGAGCTATGACTGAACCCATCACGGGCTACTCCAACTACAACTGGATCTCAGCGACACTATGGTGGCGCTAGATACAGTGGAACACTGGAAACCCTCGGCTCTTACCCATCTGCCCCTCCTTGGGCTCTTACAAAGAGATTGAGATGATGGAAACTCTCCGCTTGAGGCTTGCAAAAATGGTAAGACGGCATTGCTTGGCTCTCCTCGCCCACTTTTTCAGAGGCTAATATGGCCAAAAAAGTTAGCCACCTATGCGGCTCTACAGGCAGGTACTGCGGAAGAGCAGTCTGCTGCCTGCTGCTGCCTTGAGGCTACACCACGGCATCCATCCGTTTTCCCCGATGGAGTATGCCTGGGTCAAGATTTATTTGATTTGATTTATTTTATTCTCCTACAAAAGGACCTAGGGGTCAAGCGTCACCGTTAGTCTCCCAAAGAAGGTGCTAAATAGCATAGCCCACAAGCACTGAAGACCGAACTAGGAACTTTCAAGCTGGCGGTCCAGGCATGTGGTTGCACCCGCCAAGGCGTTGACTCCGCATGCTAATTTCGGCTGTATTCGTGCGATGAACGGTTTACCAGCATCGTGGCCAATGGTGAGCCAGACATGGCATGGAAAGCTATCCCAGGAGGCTAAGGTCCAGAGCAAGCTCGCGCTTATAACTCTACTTCGTCTTGCCCTTTCCCCCTTCTCGAGATGTTCTTCGTGTCATCCCTCTCTATCTGCTTTGCGGGGACCATCCAAGCAAGCGGACTTGTGTCTGCGTCCTTTCTTTGAACCAATCCGACCTTCGTTTTCACTGGTTTGAGCGGCTCTCTTGTCTCCACCAGTCGACATTCTTTTACCATGGTGTTCCAACTTGTCACCGTCCTCGCTGCTCTATCAGCTGTCACTCCTTTGGTCTCTGCTTTCGATCCTCAATCGAAGTCGAATGTTGCTGTCTACTATGTATGTGCTTCTTCGTGATTGGAAATGGTACATCTTCCTTACCGCTTGAAAATAGGGCCAAGGAACCGATCAGCAACGTCTGAGCCATTTCTGCGAAGATACCTCCTTGGATATCATCAACCTTGGTTTCGTCAATATCTTTCCTGACCAAGGCGTTGCCGGTTGGCCAGGAAGCAATTTCGGCAATCAGTGCGATGGTACCTACTACACGGTTGGCAACCTAACAACGGAGCTGCTCAAAGGTTGCCACCAGCTAGTGGAAGACATTCCTATCTGCCAGGCTGCGGGCAAGAAAGTGTTCCTGTCTCTGGGTGGTGCTTATCCCGCCACTCAGCAAATCTTATCGGAGGACTCTGCCAATAATTTTGCCGACTTCCTATGGGGTGCCTTTGGTCCCAAGACCGACGATTGGGTGTCCAACAATGGTCCTCGCCCTTTTGGTGATGTTGTCGTGGATGGTTTCGACTTTGACATTGAGCATAATGGCAATTACGGTAGGTTTCTTAAGGCTCCGCAATCTTCAAAGCTCACTTCTAATGTTTCAAGGTTACGCAACAATGGTCAACCGACTGAGATATCACTACTCCTTACAGCAAGGTCGTACCTTCTACATTTCGGGTGCGCCTCAATGCTCGATACCTGACCTGCAACTTGACAACGCGATTGCCAACTCCCACTTCGACTTCATTTGGGTGCAGTTCTATAACACTCAAGGCTGCTCCGCCCGTGACTATGTCGAAGGCACGGTAGATGGTTTCAACTTTGACAAATGGGTGGATGTCATCAAAGCAGGAGGTAACCCGGACGCTAAGCTCTATGTCGGATTGCCTGCCAGCTCGAGTGCCGCCGCCAGCCCTGATTATTACATCACCCCCGTGGAGGCCTATTTGCTGGTTGCCGAGTATATGGCGCGCTTTCCCGATACGTTTGGTGGAATCATGGTTTGGGAAGCGACGTATTCGGACGAGAATAAATTCGGCGACGAATCTTTCGCCGACGTGATGAAGCAAATTCTCGTGGCTCTCGACCCTGCTCCTCCTCAGACAAGCACTGTTCTGCCCTCTAGCAGTGCGCCTACGCCATCACCCTCCTATACTGCCACAAGTACGCCCGCGGTGCCCACTCTTTCTGTCTCGTCTACTGCTTCCACGGTGCCTACTTTGTCGGCTGTGTCGACTCCTTCGGCTGTGTCGACTCCTTCGGCTGTGTCGACTCCTTCGGCTGTGTCGACTCCTTCGGCTGTGTCGACTCCTTCGGCTGTGTCGACTCCTTCGGCTGTGTCGACTCCTTCGGCTGTGTCGACTCCTTCGGCTGTGTCGACTCCTTCGGCTGTGTCGACTCCTTCGGCTGTGTCGACTCCTTCGGCTGTGTCGACTCCTTCGGCTGTGCCTACTTCCACCGTGGTCTCTAGCCCGTCTACGATTTCTAGCCAGTCTGCGATCTCAAGCCCTCCTGCGGTGTCTACTCCTTCTGTGGTGTCTAGTGCCCCCGTGGTTTCTAACTCTGTTGGCTCGGGATCTTCTGCCCCGTCGAGCATTACTTCCGTTGTTTCGAGCTCATCTGCCGTGTCCAGCAGCCATGTGGTGTCCAGTGCTTCTGTGATAACAAGCAGCTCTGTTGTTGCTAGCATAGGCGTGAGCACTCCTGTGGTGTCGGTCAGTTCTGTGGTGCCTAGCTCTTCCGTGGTCTCTGCTCCACCTACAGTATCAGGTTCTTCCGGTTCAGCCAGCTCCCCTGTGGTGCCCAACACTCCCTTGGCACCTAGCTCTTCTGTGGCTACCAGCTTCCCTGTGGTCTCCAGCTCCCCGATCACCTCTATGACACCCGTTATTACCACCAAGTCTGTGCTCTCTAGCTCGCCCGTGATTCTTAGCTCCTCTGTTGTTCTAAGCTCGTCTCCGGCTTCTAGCCCTCTTATTGTGACAGGCCGTCCTGTCATTTCCACCCTGCCTGACGCGTCCAGCGCGCCCGCCAGCTCGACTTTGGTCTCTGGTCCCGTTGTCGCCACATCGTCTTTGGCTACCAGCTCTCATGAGGCTCATAGTTCCTCTGTGCTGAGTCCTCCTGCGGTGTCTAGTTTCTCTGTGGTCACGAGCAGACCTGTCATTCCAGGGCCATCCACTTCAACCGTTGCTACTCCAGGAATCTCCGAGACATTGGGCTCTTCCATCATTCCTGGTGCATCCAGCCAGGTGTCCCCCAGTGCGTCACAGCTGTCTACTACTTCGCTCATCTCGAGCTCCGTGGTTTCTTCGGCAGGCTCACCTGTCACCTCGGGGGTGTCTGTGCCTTCGAGCTTGGTTATTGGAGCTTCCAGCATTGTGGCTTCGGCTTCCTCTAGTGTGGAGACTTCTAATTTCAATAGTCAATCTCACTTTTCGGGCTCCGCTAAAGGTTCCGCCACGTCGGCTATTTCAGTCGTCGCTTCTGAAACCGGCACCTTCACAGGCCCGTCCATTGAATCTAGCACAACTGCTTCGACAGTTGCAACAGTGCAGCCCGGTGGCTCTGTTCTGTCGGTCTCAGGAACGATCCCAAGCTCCGCTCTCTCTAACACTCAATCGGTGTCGACCGCTACGCACGCCGGCACTACGTCGGGCACGGAGTCTTCCTCGAGCGCAGGTGCAACCACTGTTCCTATTTCCGGTAGCGATGCGTCCTCTTCCGCAAACTCAGGAAACCCTCATGGGTCTGGTGTTAAGAGTTCCACGGCGAGCTCAAGCACTTTGACGGTTTCAAGTCAGCCTGACCATGGAAGCACGGCTTCTTTGTCGAGCACAACTCACGCTGTCAGTAGTTTGTCAGACCAGGCAGGCAAGCCAACAACAGTGCCTATTAGTGCTACATCCACCGATAGTGCTGCTTTTACTGTCATTACCCCGGGTATCACATCTGGCCCTGTGGCCACTTCTGTATCGCCCGCCGGATCTGCGCTGGAACCAGCAACCACGACCACAATCATTGTGACCTCGTACATTGATATCTGTCCCGAGGGTTTCACGACCATCACTACAACTTACACGACCACCTACTGTCCTGTCACGGCTGCTGCCGCTGCAGCTGCCACTGCTACTGCCCCCGCCACAATCCCTGGCGTCGCAGGTTCCCCAGGTGTTGACACAGCCATTTTCCCCGCCAGGGTGACGGGCGCTTCAGCCTCCCAGGCTTCTACCACGACTGCTGAAATTCCCGAGGGATGGACTACGACGGTCACGGTCTGCACACACTGTGCTGCAACACCGACTACAGTTACTCTGACTCGGCCAGCTATCACCTCTTCATCGGAGCCGACATCACCGACTGCGGTCTCAGGCCCCCTGTCTGGCTGGACAACCACGGTTTCTGTCTGTACCGAGTGTGGGCCGACGCCGACTACGGTGACCGTCACGGTGCCTGTAAGCACTGTGGCAGCGGCGACAGGCATTCACCCTGGCAATCCTGCAGGTGTCGATGCTGTCCATGGAGGGTCAACAGGGCTCGGTACATCTTCGACCTCGGTGAATGTAATCCCTCACTTCACATCCACTGCTCTTGTATCCCCGAGTCAGGCACCTCTCAGCCAACCTGGAACCGCGGGAGCCGGAGATGTTCGCCCTTCGTCGACACTTCTCATTCAGCCCTCTACGAGTGGCCTCCCAGGATCGGTGGTACCTAGCAGTACACAAGGAAGTGTGTCGCCAGTATTCACTGGTGCAGCTCCTCGACTGGCTGCCTTCAAGCATGGGGCTGGGGCTCTCGGCACCATTGCCTTCCTTCTGCTGACTACCTTGTAAAGAACTCTTTCCTCTGACTCTCTACTTCTTTCTCTTCTCATGTCCTGTATAACCTCCCACCTCATGGTGAGGTATACAGCTTCACTTTACCCATTATCGGTTTGAAATGAATGACCAATGATGTCCGATGGACCAACGTTTAATATTGTCGCATCAGCGCAAATATCTCTTGGGCGCGTCTTCTGCTCTTTCTTGTTCCATACGCAATTGACCTAGTCAAAATATATTATGAACCTGCAACCAACATAACCAAATCCGTCCCCTACCACCTATAGAAGAGGCGCCAAGCAGTGAGCCAAGACGGATCAACCCGGACATGCGGGCCTGATTTCATTGGCCTGGGAGCCTACGGTCGACTGATACGTAGTCAACAGGGCGATTGTAGCATGATTTCCATGTTGGTCTCACTCTCGCGTGGTCTGACCGTGGGGGAGGTGGAGGGGTTGGATTGGAAAATGAACGGAGATGGTTCCAAAGTTTGCCAGACTAGCTTGAAGAAACACCCAGCACGGTTCTCCACGGTTAGCGGTAGTGGGCCGCTTACTTGCATTAACGTGCTGCCGAGGTACTTTTGGCCCCTCGAGGCATGCTCAAATGATAGGCGACGGAAGGCTGGCCCGAGTTGGTCGGTGCTAGTGAGTGGGTGGCTGCTTACTGGATATGGTTCGATCTGCCTGGTAATACGGGAAACTATGATCGAACTGTGTCGCGTACTGTCAATACGTATGAGAGTTTGTTTGTTTTTTAGGGTAATGGATTGACTGGAGATGGTGTGGCTTCTTGATCGCGGTGGGATAGTATCCTAGTATGAAGTCTACACCGTAGAGTACGGGATATATAGCCATGAGCGGGTAGTTGGCCATGACCCCCATCCACTGCAAGGGCTTGAATAAATTATGTAGCAGTATGCAAGAAAGCGAGAGCGATAAAAGCCATATCGAAACACGCCTGTCTGATTTGAAGATGATGATCAAATAGTTGAAAGCAGACAAGTTGAGGGATACAAAGAGGGTAGGCAAAAATAAACAAAAAAGAAATTCTAGCATGTCCTGGTTTCGATCCAGGGTCCTCCGGGTTATGAGCCCGGCGCTCTTCCCCTGAGCTAACATGCTTAGTGGATGACATCAGATTTTTTAATAAAAATCATCAGGCATCCAAAACAAACAGCCATCTATAGGTTACGCATACTCGCCTCCTCTTTAACTACTCCCTTCTCTGTTCTCTCCTCTTCCCCACCTCCCGGACCTCGGCCTCGGCTGTGGAGACGATGTAATGAATGGCTCTCCATCAGTGCTTGCTAGCTACATCTTACATTCCATATCTGGCCGAAATCACTAGGTGTATATCTCGCCTGAGTCCTCTCGAATTCGAAGTCCAACGCGATCAAATAGAAGAATAACTCCAAGAGTTGCTGCTGTCTTACCATGTCCGCATCCTCATCTGCGCCGCTGGCGGGAATCCGGGTGGTCGAGCTTGCGGGCCTAGCTCCTGGTTCGTCCTCATACCATATCTCTATCTCGGTCCCTCCCTTCTGCCCACTGACCCTCAAACATCAGGTCCATTCGCCGGTCTACTCCTCGCCGACTACGGCGCATCTGTCTTGCGGATTGACCGACCCCAGGCTCCGAGCCCGGATCAATTGACCCGCCACAAGACGTCCATACCCTTGGACCTCCGCGATGCTGCCTCCCATAGAGTTCTCCTCTCCATTCTGACCACGGCGGACGTTCTAATCGACCCTTTCCGCCCGGGAGTTTTGGAGCGCCTTGGCCTTGACCCCTCGGGCGTCCTGCTGAAACACAACCCGCGTTTGATCGTAGCACGGTTGACGGGGTTCCGGCGCGATGGGAAATATAAGGACATGGCTGGACATGACATTAATTACATTGCCGTTTCCGGGGTGTTGTCCATGCTTGGCCGGTCCAATGAGCGACCCCATGCCCCCGGTAACCTTGTAGGTGACTTTGCGGGCGGCGGGGCTACCTGTTTCCAGGGTATACTTCTGGCGCTGTTGTCGCGGGAGCGGACCGGCCGCGGTCAAATCGTCGAGGCTAACATGGTCGATGGCTCCGCGTATCTGGCCTCGTTCCCTCGACTGGGTCGCCAAACGCCCATCTGGAATGCCCCGCGCGGCCAGAATATACTGGATGGGGGGAGTCCATTCTACGACACCTACGAAACCAAGGACGCGGGCCAGTTTTTCGCGGTGGGGGCTCTCGAGCCACAATTCTATGAGGCGCTCCTGAAAGGGCTCGGGTTCAATCCCAAGGAGCTGCCATCGCGAGAAAACAAGGACAATTGGCCGGCACTGCGTGCTGCGTTTGCCAAGCGTTTCCAGGAAAAGACGCGCGCTGAGTGGGAGACCGTATTCGATGGGACTGATGCCTGCGCCACGCCCGTGTTGGACCCGGATGAGCTGCAGGCGGGTGGCTACGAGCTACGCCCCGTGGTGCATCTCGCTGATACCCCGGGACTACCCATCCCGACCGACGACGGAGGGTGGACAGGTGGTGGTCTGATACCCGGGACCGGAGGACAAGAGACCTTGAAGACATGGTTGGGTTGGGAACAAGGCCGGGATTATGATGTCAGGCCCGATGGGGCTTTTGTGCGGCTTGAAGATGGAGAATCGAAGCTGTGAGTGTGGAATGAGGTATTTTAGGATGTCCTATCAATTGTTACTCAGGAGGGATGTGGTATTGATAATCGATGATGCGTTGATCTATTGTAAGGATCAGATTGTGTTTTGTTTTTGTTTTGTGTGTTTTTTTTTCCCTCTCCAAAGGTGGGGTTGTACGCCAGATAAAATTGAGTGAGCGTAGGGCTGACCATCGGCTTCCCCGGCGATAATCGCATTGTTGGCTGTCGCAGCAGCTTCGTTCCGTTGTACTCGGTAGTAAGGTAACCATGGGGCGTGGAAAAAGTCTCTCCCTCGTTCGATATGCGATTTGAGTCAGTCAAATCATCAGTCCCGTAGCGGGTATGTCCGATCGAGAAGGCCGCATCATAGAATTCGTTGTGATGAATTTCTACTTCGTCTTGAATCAACAAATCGATGACTGCTGCCGGGCTGTTGTCGCGTGGCTCCATTGCCGGATGCGATTGAGAGCAATGTAGCAAAGATACGGTTCACTGGTTTAGTGGCTAGCTGAATGTGACCCTCCGTACGGAGTAGATAGACCGAGAGACTGACTTATGTAACTAATTAGGCTACTAACTCACCGGGATGTAACGCCGGTGGGGTCAACACACTCAAGAGAAGAAGGACACTTTCTGTTTCCATCGACTTGACCTCTGACTTTACCTCTGGACAGAGTCCGGAGCAACTAGTGGTCACTATCCCGGGGTTTCTTTTGGCCTCTCCTGTTGACAAACAATTAGACAATCAATGATTCCACCCATTGGAAAGAATGATCCAGTAATTGCAGGCTATATGAAAAGAGTATGCCTTCCGGATGATTGTTCGAGTTGCCAAAGAATGACGGCATATCACGACTTTGCTCCTCATGGTCTGTTAGTAGTTAAGAGAGGTAGTAAAGAAAAAGTCAACTACTGGTGGTCATGAATGAGGCTACACAAGTCAATCAGATTAACATGGTTGACAAGTGTTGATCAGGGCGATCCGAATAATCCCATCGTAGATTTCCCCGCCTGGTGCAACCTTACTCGCAGTACCCAACTAAATAACTACGGTGAATGAGTACTGTACAAAGTAGCTGATTAGTTATAGTCATAGTCACGTCACCATTTTAATACACAATTACACTGCGGAACTCGTCTCCGACCCAAATCCTAGCAGCCTTGTGTACGGTACCTTTCTTTACCGGTATTCTGGATGAAACAGGTTGAGAGTTAAGGTCACAACGGTGAGTGGGAATGGGAATGAATGAATGAATTGATGGATGGATGGATTAAAAAAGTGGGCACCTGAAAAACTGGAGAGAAAAGAGAACAAACATGGACCATTTGTAGCATTATTAGTCAATTGATTATGACTTCTAGTTTCCTACTCTAGTTACAGTAAGCAAGTAAGTATTCATAAGTGCTCCCAGCCTACTTCTGGATGTCCATGCGAGAGCGCCTACATGGATGTAACCATAAGTGTTGTCTATCTGTCTGTCTGACATACTGACGGTCTGTCGGTTATCCTGCAGCATTGATCCATGACTAACTGAGATGCAGAGAGTCTGAGTAGGACTGACTCTCTCCGTGAAACCCCTCTCTCCATATCCAGTCAACCATGGGGAAGAAATCTTCATTCCCGGCCTTCCGAGTGTTTCAGTAGTGGAGTCAGGGACGTCATTCATTTGCCTCGAATCTGGGTAGTTGTGCAACTGAAGCTTGGGTCGACCATCCGGTTCCTAGCATTGACTACTACCGTACATGTACTTTACGGGCAAAAGCGACGGTATCTTCCGTAGATTGCCAGGTCAGGTATCCTGCCCGGTATGTCTTGTACTGCGGATGTACCGTACGATAGTTGCATGGAGTACGAAGTACACAAAAGTCAAGATGGAATCCCGCTTGCGTCCCCACGTGCGGGTTGTGGCGCAGTCGAATTTTCTTTACACTCTCTTAGAACTCTTCAATCTCGTTTGTCGTCATCTGAAACAATATGGAGACAGGAAGAAAGAGGATCTATAACACGGCAAGGCGAATGAAAGAGATTCAGCCAAGGTCCCATCTCCGTAAAGAATGAAAGAAAGAGCAACTTGCCCAAAGACAGCCGTGGTTTGATCTGTGGCTGTGTGTCTAAAGCTGGTTGACTTTCGTCGGTACTTATCAGCAGAAACTAGGAAATTACGAGGTACGAAGATGCTCAGGTATCGAGTCGTATTCGGTACCGCCGTCACACCGGGGCTTTTCTCTCTTTTCCTCTGTTTCTCTCATCTTCCCGATCGATCATCGCCTCTTTCCCCCCCCCCTCTCTCACCATCGTCCTGTTATTATTCACTCGCTTTTACTCTACTCGTTTCCCATCCAATCTTTCGGGGCCTTTCTTTTTCCTCTGGCTTTTCATTTCTCGACTCTCACTCTCCCTCCCCGGTCTCTATATTTCATTTCGACTTCCATCTCTCCCCCTCCCGTGCTGCCCCTGGCTGATCCTCGCCTACTTCGGATCCATTGGACTTCCCCTCGCCCTTTCGTGTGTGTTGCAATTGTTGGCGTTCGTAAGGATTGACTTTCTTTGCTCTCACTATCATCAAAACATCAACTAGTGTTGTCGAAGTTCAATCGATGTCCCCTGCAGGTGTGACTTGGTGAAATTGGGTACCCGCCAGGCCTCGTGTGCACGAAGTGGCGGAAGGAAAGCCAGCTTGTCTGTCTGGCTTGTCTGTTTGGTTGCTTAAGCACCGCTCTTTTTGTCAAACCCATCTTCTTCATTCATCCTTCGCACACACACACTCTCACCACTTCTCCTCCCCAAGCGCCTCTCGAGTCTTGGTAGATTTACTCGAAGGCCTATCACCGATACCGCATCCTACTGTATCGGGTCAGCCGCTCTGCCTCCCTCCATCGCGTCCCCTCCCGGAATCCGTTGCCTGTCCGGTACAACGACGGAGCCGCCGGTCGCCGCACTTCGAATCTTCGCCGGCAGATCGAACTTTTCGGCTGTGTCACTCTTCGTCCTCACAAGACTGTTCTTCACTCCGACTCTGCCTTGTTTATCGGTGTGGTGGATCGTTTCTTTTCCACCACCCGCCTGGCTCGTGTCTTGAGTAACAATACCAACCCTTCGCTCCGATCGCGGATACCGTCCGACAGGAGTCGCCAGATGGCCGGTGTGCAGCTTCAACAACCCAGCATGACTGATTACCGTCTGCCGATCCATCAACCCCCCCCGGCTCGGAAGCCGGTCGCGGGGATGCAATCTGGATTTCCCTACCAGTCCTACGAAGGGGCCCACCACCACCAGCTTGCCCCTCACCCGTCTACCGCCGCCCTCGCGCACAACCGTCGACGAACATCCTCCTCTCACGTTATACCCTACATGGGCCAGCAACAGCAGCATTCTACCGGTCCCTCCCCACACCATTCCATGACGGCCGCGGCCCCCTATCCACCTTCGAGACGCCTATCCAGCGCAACCACCTCCACTAGCTCCACCGGCAATAATCCGAATATGTACTATAGTGGTAATGTTTCGGATATTCGTCGAAGCACATCGTCGCGCTCAGCCAACGCCCAGCTGGGATACGTCGCCTTGATGCGAAGGCAGAAGGCGACTGTTTGGTGTGACCGGGCCCAGCCAGAAGATCCGCGACTGCGGGCTCAGAAATTGGTGGATAAGAAGCGGGCATACCTGGAAGTCCATGGCGCAGGCGCCGGGCGTACGGGTACCCTGGGAAGCGGCAAAAACAAGCACGGCGCTAAAGGGGGTACTGACTTTTCACCCTCGGCGCTTGTCGGTGCAACGGTTCCAGTTCGCCTGAGTGCCAACGAAGTGGGCGATGCCGACGAGGATGCCCACAGCGATCGTGGATTCCCGTATCGCCGCACCGGCAGTGGCCGCAGTTCGCTCGGAAGCAACTCGCGCTATCCGAGTGGGTATCAGCGAAGCACTGTGGGTAGCAGTGGCTCTCCATCGAACGAGATGAGCGACTTGCCCGACGTTTCCGAGCACCCTCGAGCAGAAACCGCCGAAGCCGAGGCAGAACATGCTTCCATCAAGGATAACGCCTCTCTGAATAGCTTAGGCAGTGAACCGGAAGACAAATTCGGCACTCTGGCAGATATGGCTGCCCCCAGCGCTGCACAAGCCGCCATCGAGAAGGCCAAGAAGGCGGATGAGCTGAGGCGCCGGGGCAGCGTGGACGATAGGACCACATCAATGACCAATGTCCGACTCTTTGTTGCGAACCCGGATTTGAGTGATTAAGATGCATTTTAGCCGCGCGCTTGGCATATTCTTGGATTTACCATGCCACGTCTCCGCCTATCTTCGAACTCAACGTTTTTCCTTTTTGATATCTGTTGAACCTCTTTTCTTCCTGCAGTCCTGCCTCGCATTTCATGGCCGGTGTCTAGGCTTCATGCCAGAGCCTTGGGCCCAAATGTTATAATGGCTGGGTCACAATTCTGATTGTTCTGTTTCAAGTTGACTTTTGTATTGCACACTTGTTCTATTCCCCTGACAGCATGTTATTGGCGCTTTTGTCTCCCTCTCTCTCTCTTTTTGTGTCGTACGGATTGCGTACGGCAGATGAGTGTGATTGGTCCGCACCCATGTGGCTGATGGATTTATGAGTAATCATAGTAATAAATAATACTCATGTACATATGGCAGCCGTTGTTTGTAGTTAGAGTGGCATATACTTGGAACGGGTCTTCCTGCTACCCTACTATCGAGACACCGCAGTGACGATTTTCCCGTAAGGTAGTGTATAATCACAATGCCTAGACCGAGTGAGAGCCAACATACGGCATCAAGGTGATGAAAGTGAGGTTTCGATGACGGTTGATGATGTTGGTGATTAGGGGCTTACATAAGCACTTACACGTGCCGAACGCGAATATCCGTCGCGCAACATCAATTAACGCGTTTCAGGCAACCTGGTCAGGACGGGACACTCGCCAAGCTTCCCACTCCTCTGGCTCGATTTTTGCACAGGACAGAGACAGTCTGTGAGTGTAAGAGAGAGGGAGAGGTTCATCTTGCCTCGTTCTATTCGAGGCAAATCTCCCCCGTGTGTGTGTTACAACTCCCATCCCTTTCACCCCCCACCTTATACCAACCTCACACCGACTGCAACCCCATGAGCCCTGGCCCTGGCTCTGCTGGCATATTGCAGCTGTAATCTCCACCTTTAAACCGGTGAGTCAGGCCACAAATCCAATTGCAAAGGACCTATGAGAGGAAGGAAGGATATCAACTAACAACATCTGAGGATATGTCCTTTGGTCGCGTCGCCTAGTGATGTTCACGTTCTTTCCATATTAACCGATTGTTGCACCCCGACTGGACGACACGATTCCTCATACCCTTTTCACACATTCGCACCTGCGCGGTCAGATAATCAAACCACAACTCACATTGACCTCCGCATAAGCTTAGCCAAGAATTACACATTGTTACTATAAGGGTCTCGCAAGAAGCGATGTCGACCACCACAATGGATGCCTCCAGCCCGGTGCCACCGAGCCTCAAGCCGACTCCCATTCCGCCTTCCGCACTTGCCTCGACTCCTGCTACCAGCAAGACCGCCGCAATAAATAGCCACAGTCACCGCTCGCCGTTACCTCCGAACACATACCCTTCGATCATGTCCACATCTCCCAGCAGCACGCGCAAACGTTCAATACAAGATGATGAGATGGGCGGGATGGACTCAGAAAATGACGGGATGGTCGTCCATGAATCGACCATGGACATCGATACCGAGACGACCGAAGATATCGCAGGGGATCATCCCGGCGTCTCCGTGCAACAGCCTCCGGCCACAGGTACTTCGACTACATCTACACCCGACGATGATAAAGAGAATCAGGATGCCCTGCGGGCTCACCTGCAAAAGTTGGCTGGCTCGGACGGCGAGATCGGTGCTGCTCTGCCTTCCCCTGACGGCGATGGCAACTCGAGTACCCGGTCTGCACGGACTGCTGCTGTTTCCCCCGCCCCGCCATCGGATAGTGCGCATGCTGGCTTGTCTGCATCAGGCGACGGAACTGGGTCTTTTACGGTGCCAGCGGCCAAGAAGAGGAAGCTTTCTCCCACCAGCAAGGAGACCAAGCAACAAGAGAAGGAGGCCAAGGAGCGGCAGAAGCAGCAAGAGAAGGCGCGAAAGGTGGAGGAGAAGGAAGTCAAGGAGCGGCAGAGAATAGAAGAAAAGGCGAAGAAGGACGAGGAAAAGCGCAAACGCGAGGCCGAACGGGAAGAAGAGAAGCGGGCCAAAGAGGAAGAACGCAAGAAGCGAGACGCCGAGAAGGAGGAGGAGCGAAAGCGAAAGGAGGAAAAGCGAAAGGTGAAGGAGGAGGAAAAGGCCGCAAAGGAGGAAGAGAAGAGGAAGAAAGAGGAGGAGAAGTCGAAGAAGGAGAGAGTGAGTAATTGCTACGCCGCCCTTTCGGAGCAAGGTTTACGCCCAAGACCTCACTTCTAACCACAGTGACAGTCACAAACGAAGCTGAATTCTTTCTTTGCCAAACCCAAACCCGTCATTGCCTCCTCGACTCCCAATTCGACCACCAACAAAACCATCTTACTCTCACCCCAGAGAACGACCGGCGCTGGCGCTGCACCCGAATCCTTCCATGACCCGGCTCCCTCCGCTGTATCCGACTACCAGCGCGATTTCCCTGATTTCTTCTTGCAGTCGCACACCAAAGTTGCGCCGCCCCATCAGTTCCAGCGTGATGCCAAAGCTCTTCATCATACCCAAGAAAAGGTCGATGTCTACCTGAAATCCAACTCCACCGCCCCGCCTTCCGCATTTCTTCCCTCCGAGCTATTCAACCTCATCCCATACAGACGCCGGTGTGGGAGGTTGCCTGCTTCGGTAAAGGAAATCCTACTTCAGATGCAGAATCTGGCCGACCAGCCCGGACCTTCCGAGGATGCCCAGAGAAAGCCGCGGGAGCTGCTGCGGCAAGTAACAATGAAATCTTTCAGGTTTGGGGAGGATGTGCGTCCACCCTATCAGGGCACATTTACCAGGCGTCTACCAGAGGCAGCTGCCTATCGACTGATGCGCAACCCTTTCCGCCGAGGATTACCAGAGATCAATTACGACTATGACTCGGAGGCCGAATGGGAGGAGCCCGAAGAAGGCGAGGAGCTCGACTCGGAGGAAGAGGACGAGATGAGCGAGGATGGCGAGGACGACATGGATGGTTTCCTAGATGACGAGGATGACCACCTTGTTGACGGCAAACGACGCCTCATCGTGGGCGACCTAGAACCTGTCAGCACCGGCATCCGGTGGCAGGAACAAGGCGTGGACTCTGAGCTGCAGATGTACAAATTGGAAACGATTTCCGACTCGGTGCCTTTCCCCATCGATCCGTTCTCCACCGTGTATTGGCAAAAATCTAAGCCTGCAGATTCCGTGCCGGGCGCTGCGGGTCTGGGGCGGTCGACGCTGCATACCTTCATGGGCCAGGCTGTCCCTGGCTCCCACAAGGGCTCCCCTGGAGGAGGATCGACGGCGGACGGGGGCGCTTTAGCGGTGGTGACAGCGGGACGAACGAAACAGCGGACGTTTCCGGCCGAGCAGCTGGGTGAGTTCAAGCAGGTGGTGGATGGCAGTGATCTGACCAAGCTGGGGTTGCTTGAAATCTTGAAGAAACGGTAAGACGTGGGCCCACATGTTTACTTGTCTCAGGAAAACGAAAGGCTAATCTCCATGGTTTCGCTTGCGATAGGTTCCCAAAGGTCTCGAAGGACGTCCTGAAAGATACGCTGAACAGCGTGGCCACGCGAGTAGGACAGAAGGAGGCTGACAAGAAATGGGTCTGTAAATAGATGCAGACGAGGCAAAGCAGCGAGTTGGTGGGGGAACAACGCATTCAACTTGAAGGGCGCCATCATTCCCCTTACCCCAGGGACAGGGTCCAACCAATTGAGCTAATCTATTGGCCATCGGCAAGGACCTGCGGCCCTCTTCTACATATCAATATTTATATTTATATTCATCATTCTTTCTATTTTGCCTCGTGTCGTGTCATTCTTATCATGCTCCCCCTGCTATTGTGTCTCAAGTGTCAAACATGACTGTGGCTGTGTTCATCCGAGGCTGCCATGGTGGAGAGAGAAATGGATGATAGTGTTTTCGAACGATACCTGAGTTGAAGTACGAGGATTCTTAATGCAATCTGTGCTCTTTTTGATCTGGCCTTTTCTTTTTTTTTCAAATCATATTTTCTGCCCTCCAATATAGTCTAGTATCTATAGAGAAGGGAGGGATTTTAGTTGCGGACGAGATTGCTTGACATTTGATGTCCTGTACGCCGGAAAAGTACATGTACTGGATGTATGTGGTGCAGTCCGTACAGCATGTATGTACACAGTACCCAGGTGGGGGGGAAGAGGATATCCACTCCACTTTTAGCTCCAATCGTTGTGGTGGTTTGCCAGCGAAGCTAGTGGCATAACCTAAATCTGTTTGACAGCCGGCGGTGCAGTACATACATACACAAAAATGGGAATTGGCCGTGGTATTGTGCAATATGGTCCATTGAGGCTTGAAACATACGACGTAAAGATCTGCTGGATGTTGAATGATTTGGAGTGGTAGGCGCCAGGGTAGCCTGAGTACAACTTGTATGTACCTGTACCTGCTTGGTAGGTAGTACAAGTGATAAATTATACCCAAGTAAGGTAGTGGTACCAGCAGTCTTGAATTCTGGAGGTCAATGACAACACATCACTCAGTGAACCCACTATGTCTGACTAACCCGAGCAGAGGTCAGCCAAACTGGGCAGTGGTGGTTGAACACGTGCAAAGAGTGGGGATCATTACTCATGTACTTGTGGTTACTACTGTAGCACTAACGGGATCCGGCTAAGCGCAGTCACCATGCCAGCTGAACAGTTCTTTCTTGTAGTCTCCCTTGCCTTCTCGACTGTCTTCCCGTCTTGTCTGGTCTCTGTCTGACTGACTTGCAAGTTGCAGTACGCACACACACAGACATACACACCAATCAACCACCTATCAAAATAATTAGCTGATCGGTTTCAGCTCCGATCTTCCCCTCCCTCCCTCAAAATCTGCAATACTTGCCAACGCAGTAAGGGGGAGGGGAGAGGGGGTTGACCAACAAATCACAGTAGCAAAGAAGAGCGAGGATGGGGGAGGTTTTAGGCGGGTTTTACCCCCTCCATGCATGCATGCATGCATGCGTTGCCAACACATCAAGAAATGGATCTCTCTCTCTTTCTCTCTCTCTCTCTCTCCTGCCCCCTCATCATCCCCCCTCCCCTCCCCACCTATCTAGCCTTAGGTATGCTGTTCATGCTTGGATCCTTGACTTCTCGTGTGTTCGTTCGCTCGGGACTTGGCCCTAGTGAGCGGAGGACAGGGAGAAATCTTGGTCTTGAGGGGGGCAAAAAGAGAGCAGTAGGCTGGAATGAATCGTTTCTGGTTCAATCATTGTTGTATCAAACCTGTATCAAACCACCCTCGAGGACTAGCGGACTAGCGAGGGGGGTATGGATCAGACGGACAAATTACCTGCAAGACCGACCACATCCAACCCTTTACTTAGGGAGGGTGAGATGACGCTGATATATGTGTGTAGTTATTCTACGGAGTGGCTGATAAGACTGCTGCGAAGGAAGCAGAGTACTGTACGCGGAGTAGAGAATAGAGTATAAGTTACTTAGTAGAATAGTCTGGGACAGGTACCCGGGAGGTACCGCTTGCCCGCCTGGACTCCCGGCAAGGTACCGTGTCTGGACTCCCACCGGGCCCTACTAATGTTCTTTATTTCTGATTTTTTTTTTTCTAAGTTCATTATTGTCTTTGCACTTTTTATTTGTCTGCATCATCATCAGCAAGTAAGTTAGCTGGGAAGTTCATGATTAGTTGTTCTCTATTCTCCTGCCCCTCCCCTCCTCTCTAGGTTGCTGCTGCATGTGTCCGATTCGAGTCACCACCCGCCGTCTTTGGCTATTCTCCGTGTGATGTATAGTACTGCCCGTACCTCGAAGGGACAACGAAATTGACGAAGAAAGACAGAGAGGAAGGAAGGAAGAAGAAGGATTTACTGTTGGATCATCGAGGAGGAGTACTCCTGTAGTTATTATTTGCTAGTCTGCCAGAAGTTAGCTTGACGTACTCCGTGGTTAGTCCTCGTCTGTGGTTGAGAATATCCCCACACATGGTTAATATTATTCATTACGGAGTAGTAAGTCAGTTGTTAATCTCTTCTTCTTTCTTCTTCATCCCCTTCTTCATCCTCATCAGCTGCTACTGTGTGACTTCTTATCTTCTACCGTACCTACACCTGACTAGTAGTCTAAACTAATTCCGGGTTTGCTCGATTTGCTGGCATCCACTAACCCACTAAACTTTGCTGCTGCTGCTGCTGCTGCTGCCGCCGCCGCTGTTATTGTTGTTGTCGTTGTTGTCTCTGCTTCTTCCACTTATTCCACTTCTTTTGCTTTTCCTTCCTCTCTCTGCCTTCTTTCCCTCTTCTTCTTCTTTTTCTTCCTCCTCTCCCCCCTTCTGGCTACGGCTGGTCTTCGCTGCAAGTCATACCTCATTTTCCCGCCCACAGCCCGGTCGGCCAGTTGTCCCTCTCCTCCCCCGCTCCTTTCGTTTATCGTCCGGACCAAGTCGGAGTTTATTATCCTGTCCATCGCCACTTCACCCTTTCAGTCGATACTAAGAACAGCATCTCACACTGCGACTTTGCGCCATTCGATAGATATATCTACGCTTCTCTTACCTGGATTCCGCTTCCGCATTCCTCGATCGCAGATTTGTGGATCCGACACAGAAGAATCCTCCGTCATTATTGGAATATACTCTACCTTACCCGCTGGTTAATTGATCTTCGATACACTAATTAACTGAACTCGGTCAATTGTTTTTTGACTGATTGAACGAGCACGGCCATCTTGATCTTACTAGCTTCCAGCCATAACAATTGACCTACCCTGCCTTGCGCACATCCACTGGTTCTTACACTCGGTTGAGATCCCATACCTACATCATATTGCTACCCTGAACCAACGACCTCTTCACTTCCCTCCTCCATCACTCTCCTTCCATCTTTTCCCCTCTTCCTTTCCAATCTTTTCCAGCTCAGTCTGGAGCGCGACGTCGTGTCCACCATTCAGCAGCTAGAGCTTCCACACTCAACCCATGAGGACCATCGTCCGCCTTCCACCACAAATCTAGGGAAATCATGCGATAGGAAGGAAGACATCCACGCCAAAGGCGCCTTGCGACCTCGACCGTCTTCCTTGTGGCTATCTGGCCGGGAACCTGCCCATGGCAACACCACAATGTCCGATGCCCAAGTCGATGGTCGTCCATCAACCCTGGCTTATGTGACCTGTAAGTCCGCAGGTTGCTTTTTTTCCTTCCGCCCCTTCTGTGAAAATTCCCACAAACTCGTCCAGTCGCTCGAGTCGCTCAGGTTAATGCGATCAATCTGCCTCTGAAACCATAAGACTAGTTACCAGTGTTTTTTTTATCATTGGCTGACAACTCTTCCTTGCCCTTCGTGCCCCAGGCTTGATTCCTTCGTCCATTCAAGCAACCTCGCCATGTGAGGCTGCGCCTCAATCTTCCACTCCCGCTGTGACTGCAACCACGCCCCCCTTGCGGGCTTCTTCAGACTCGATGACGCATTGTATCGTAGGTGAGTCTGGCAATTTGAGCTGCTCAAGCTCGCAACGCCTTGCCCCGGCCAATTGCACCCTGGATGGACCTCAGGACACCCAGCGCTCTACCCAAGCCGTGGAACAATCCAAGATTACCTTTGAGGACCTGGCCAGTCAATACCGTCAGAATCAGCACAGACAAGCCAGTCGAAAGCGGCTGGAAGGCCACTTACATGCCACTAAAGTCGCTGTGGGTGTTTCCGCTCGCTTGATCCGTGTCGGAGCTGCTGCCCAAAGAGCTTTGGTCGACCGGCTCCGCCACGATGACAAGGGAAATTTCATTACTATTTATCAAACTCTCGTTGATCTTCAGGAGTCGTGCGATGCGACATTTCAGCGCCATTTCCAGCGGCAGGATCCGCTGGACGGATGGCCGCATACTCGGTCGTCGGTTGTCGACCGTCCTTCGGACTTCTTCCGCCAGCTGAGCCCCCAATCCAGGACTGATTTGCTTGACATTCTACATTTGGTCCGCACCGATCCACAATTTGTGTTTGAAAAACTGCGGGTATTGACTCCGACCCAACGGGCAGCCCTTGTCTCGTCCACTGGTGCCCCTTGGGAATCTGGCAGTGATCTATCGTCCTCGGCAGCATCCCGGTCCCGGTCCCATGGGATGAAGCGCAGCTCAGCCGCTTCCCTTCCGTACAAGGACCGTACGCTGGCATTTGAACGCAAAGATGCCCTCTCAATATTGCTGTTCAATGTCTTTGCAACCCCTCTGGATACCGATGCCGCGGAAGCACGATTACGTTTGGATGTCTGGTCTTCCGTCTGTGCGAAGCTTCTGACCCAGGACGGGAATAGGCATGGTGCTCTTATTCCCTACATCTTGACTGCCTGGGCCACGGGAAGTGAGTGGAAAGCGAAGCCGAAGTTCGAACTCTATCTCATGGATATGCTGCAAGCCGGCGCATTCCTTCTGGAGCATGTAGAACCCCCGCCAGGCTTGGATGTGGATGTGGAACCGCCTGATCCTTTACGAACAGATGTGGCCGAGGAGTTTTTTGCTTCTGCAGTAGATGCGTTGTTCAAACTCCTGGATGATCCAGATGGAGGGTTTCCACAAGCCGTGATGCAACTAAGCTGCGCTATATTACAGAAACTAGAGCATCAGGTTGACCGTAACCGATTTCTCGAATTGTTATTCGTTCAATGGTTCTTCGCCAAGTTCTTATACGGCGCTTTCACTTTCCCAGAGGTACGAAGACACCCCGAGCAAGCATGAGACAGAACCCCGCTGACTGGTGTCCAGGCACATGGTCTTCTCCTTGACTTTCATGTGCGTAATGATGCCCGCGAGAAACTTCTCGGTCAGGTGGGCCTTCGTGCGTATTCTCAAGTCTACGCCATACTACGCTCAATGTTAGTATCCAGCCTTTACGGTAGTCAAACTCAAAGCTTTTGATAATCATATCTAACCAGTCTTTGTTCAACAGGCACCACTATTTGATGGTCCGCTTGACTGTAAGACGTCGGGTGGAAAGCATGCTCAGCCGCTTTCAACCTGAATTCCTGGGCAAGGACTCCGACCCAGCAGGATCGACTCACAAGTACTCGAGTGGGCAGCAATCACCTGCCGGGTCTATAATGCTTTCTGGTACAGATATTCTTACATTACTCAATACGCTTTACCCTAGGTCATCCGCCTCAATGGGCGGCTCTTCAATGTCGTCTTCCGGGGTCTCTGCCTCTCCAAGTGTTCCCTCTGGCTTCTTAGAAAGACCGATGACTGCTGTGGCGGAGCCCGGGTTTTTCAAACCCTTCGTCGAACCCTTTTCCAGGCATGCGACCCAGGGCCAGGGTCTGCTTGCCTCCTCCATCGGCTTCCTCTCGAATGCCGAGGAAAGCATTAACCGCAATGCCGACCGGATTCGGTTTGAGCTGTTAGAAATGTGTGGGCCCGATGGTCGGGCTATTCTGGATCCTCCGGCCGCGGAAGAATGGGCTGTTTTTTCAATCTCCAAGCAGGGCAAATTGACATGGGGACTATTCGCTGACGACTGCCAGACTTCACTCTTGGATAGTACCTTTGCTGAAGATGCTCAATCCGCCGCCCTAGAGTCGGAGGACAACCTTGAAGCTCTACAGACGGCCATTGTGAAGTTGATTCAGGAAAGTCCTGCCGACGACGGTGCTGATGTCGACTTGCGGCATTTCAAAAGTCTTTCCATGGCAGATAGTGCATCGCTCAAGCAACGCTTCAACAAAGCGATGCAGCACTGCCACCACGAATCCGACTTCATTGGTGCCCATTATTGGTGGAATGCGGGCCGCCAGCTTCTTCGCAGCGTCGCAAGTTCTTCTACCAGACTTGCAGATGACACATGGATCCTTGAGCCAATGCACACTTCCTGCGCCCGCTCCCTCCAGATGTCACGGGCCGTGATCGAGCGTTGCGAAACCGAGTTTGCGGCACTCCACAGACAGACTCGGCGATTGCAGAAACTGGTCAAGGATATGATGGCCACCATGGCTGGTCTTCGCAACAAGATGTGGTACATGACGGATGTGAAAAATTCGATGAGGTATGAAGATGCCAAAAACGTTGCTTTGGCTCTGAAGACGATGATCTATTCCGCTCGTCCGCATAAGCAAACGCCATATGAGGGCCGTTCTCGTGGTAACGCGAGATCATTTGGCAGCTCGTTTCTCCAGAAGCCGGAGCTGCAGGTCATGAATATCATGAAAGCGCCGAGCAGTCAAGGTGGCCCTAACAAGCTCTCAGATGAGCAGGTGGATTTGATCCGCAAATGGCTATCTCATAACAATATAGACAACTTCTGCAAAGGCGAAGAGCGCATCCACAGATTCTGTTATGAAGTCCAAGCTAGTATCAATCGGCTTGTTGGAGAGAGCATGGGAGAGACCCCCGTGTTGTGGGCCAGCGAGCTCTACCACAAGGAGCGAGCGATGTACGAAGGATCGTCCCAGAGAAACTTCCTCGGTCTCTCTTCAATTCGCCCGTTCAACGCCCCTAGCGATGAGTCCACAAACCCCTCGCAGGGATATGGCAATCAGTTCCGTCCAGCTGACTCTATCTCGCGGTATTCTTCCGATGCGTCGTCCTTGAACCACAAAGCTTCCAATCAGAGTCTGCTGTCCGACAAGTGGAGAGGTCCTCGAGATCCCTCACTTGCAGATACCTCCTCCATTGGGGGATCGCCAAGAAGAGCGGCATCAACCGCCACGGGCGACTCATACAGCACCTTCTGGTCGACGCCACATCAATCAGCGCAGTATGCTCCTAGCTCGTCTAGTATTTTTTCTCGACCTCCATCGATGTTCAGTGATAATAGTGCACCACCCCCACGCCGAGATGACCGCAAGACGCATGGAAAAGCGGCTTTCATAGATGATCTCAAACAGACTCTCACGAGCTTGCTTCTCAGTGATCTGGGTTCTCCCGTGTGGAGTTGTGGCAGTGAAACTGATGCTTGGTTCACTAATGCACTGAACCAGCAACGCATCCAGGTGCAGATGAAGAAGCGCGCTCGTATTCAAAGATTCTACACCGAATGTGATGAGCGGCTTGTCCGCGATGTGTTGCACCGTGCACCATCCAATCGTACGCGAAGCCAATCCCTTGGATCGTCAGAACGCCCACTGCTCGGGGACACCGAAACCCCTTTGAATTCTCGCTGCAAAAATAGCACTGAGAATGGAAAAGATGTACCGCAATTCTCGTACAGCGCCATCTTCCATCGTCTGATCGAGGTCTTTTCTCGACATGGAAACCCCTTCGTCAAGCTCAAGGCACTGCGCGATCTACGAGCATTGGTGGTCGCTTCCCTCAATACAACCAACGAGGAGCTGGGTTCATTTACTCCCTCCCAAGATCTCAAATGCCAGCGAGGACGCAGCGCCGGAATGCAGGGAAAGAGAAGTGCCCGACACAGCTTTTCAGAGTCCCAGGCGAAGCGTGTGCATGACAAAGCCGCTCTTCACACGCCTACTTCCGCCGTCGCTGAGTCTGTCCTCTTTGACTGCCGCCCTTCAGACTACAGTGCCCCCAGTGAGAACCAAATAGTCGACGCACTGCGAAGCTTGCTGCTTGAGGTGAAGCCCAAGACTCTTTTCCGAGATCTTCAGTTCATCGCGGCCTTTGTTCCGAGCGAGACGCTGAACCAGACCGATTATGGGACCGCCTTCTTGCAATTTGGCCTGGCAGCATTGAGCCTCAAGGATGAAGTATGCAACAGCATGGTTGAGATTGCCGACAATATCGTATCTCAAGAGCTCAGCCGGCGCCATCCTGCTGGAAATGAACCCCATCCCCGAGCTGGACATGCCATTGAAGATGCTGCTGGCATGTGGATCATTACAGCCAAGGAGGGCAATCCAATTGCCCAGCGGGAGCTGGCGATCCTCTACCTCACCCATCCCGAGCTCCTGCCGCGGGTGACACTCCCGCTCACTTTGCTCCGTGACACCTTCAAGGCGGAGATGATGTATCGCCGCGACAAGGACTCGAAATCCGACCCTCAGAGCATGTGTCTGGCGCTGCACTGGATGCAGCTGTCGGCCACCGGTGGAGATGAGCTTGCACGGAATCGACTTCGTGAGCGCGAGGAGTTCGAGTCCATCGCATAGATGTTTCTGCCCTCTTCAACAATTCTTCCAACACTTCTGCGCCTGTGCTTTGAGCCATATTTATGTTCTCCTGCTTGCTCCACTTATAGTCTCTTCTCTGCTCGGATTGCCCTGGTTCTTCTTCTGATTTTCTTTTTGGATCGTTTTACTTTCCGTTCACATCTTATGACTTGATACCATTGATGACTTATTGCTTTTGACCGAAGACTTCGGTTCGCGTAACGCGACTGATCCCTGTGCATGTAGATGTGCAGCTTTCTTGATATCCTTTGTTCTGGGGTGAATGGGTCTAGGTGCCTGTGGCGCGTGATGTTTTTATTTCTGGTTTGTGGCTCCTCTCCTGGGGAGCATGGCAGGGTCATGAGATTCCCCTATACATCTACCCACTGCTTTTTTTTTGGGCGGCTCTCTGCTATTTTTGTGGTATTTGGATTAGTTGCTTACTGATACACTCTCGCTTCTATTATACTCTTCACTTCCCTTCTTTTCTTTCTTTCTTGCTTTCTTTCTTGCTTTCTTTCTTTCTTTCTTTTCCCTCTTTCTAGATGTGCTCTAGGAGGGATGAGCTGTGCAAGCACCAAATGTAGAGTTATAGTGTTGAACAGGAGTGGCAGCCTCAGCGTCAGGTGATGGCAGAAGACGAGACCTCTAAGTAATCTACGTATAAATACTTTCATTCTCTGCGTATATTCCTGCCAATACCTGCATAGGTCTTCAAACTGATGAGTTATATAGATCTGCCATAACTATGACGAATTCAAGGCTCGGGCCCTTTCCAGGATTGACAGAGATGACAAGGATAGCTCTTGAATTGGTAAAGCTGGCAGTGAGTAGGAAACAGCTTAGTGAGTAGCTACTAGCCATCAAAGACAAGGATAGGCAGGGTGAGTAGCCAGTTACTTGGAAGTAGTCGCCCCCTTAGGTGCTCAGGTAGCAAAAGTGGTTGTTAGGTAGTGTTGTGTGTCGCTCCCGACGTCATCATCGGAGGAGGCAGTTTTAGCCAGTCAGCCCCACGTGCCACTTTCTCTCTCTCTTCGACTTCTACTCCGTACATTTCCATCTTTTTCCCCTCCCCCTCCCCCTCCCCCTCCCCCCTCTCTCTCCCACATTCTCCCTCCTCCCACCTCCCTCTGCCTCATCTGCTTGGCTGTCATTTGCAGTCCTCCTTCCTTACAATTCCACTTATCGCGTTGTGGTCCCTTTTTGACACGAAAGAAGCTTGGGACTCAGCTTCTGAACAGTTTCTGTACAGTACAGCCCGTACTGTACATTTAGTTGTACGTGAGACTTCTGTCACCGCTCGACCGCAGGCTGAGGTCTTTGGTCAGCTCAGCTCAGCCTCAGTTGCTGGCCTTGCATTTGTGATATTCAATAGCAGCTGACTCGTCTGATCTCTGTCAGATCTAACCTCAAGATACATCTTCCCATCTTGATTCTCTCCATTTTGTCTAGTGTTCTGCCTTCCTTCGATCGTCCTTAATATAGCTGGACTCCTTCATCAACTGCCTCGCTGCTCAAATCTCTCGATTTCAATCAGAGATCCGTTCACAATACCTTTCTCGAAGCAATATACTTCTCTTTCTCCGACTACAATGACCACTATTTCGCACCACATTATGGAGGACTCCCAGAAGAGGCCGAAGGGTACGTGATCCTGTTTGTCGCCCATGACTAGGGATGTTTCGATCTAATTCCTTGGGTACCAGGTATCCTCAAGAATTCTAGTGGCTCGATTCCGCAGATCGCACAAGTTCATGACACCTTGACCGTTCCGCAGAACGACCCCGACGGGGTGGACACCAAGGAGCTGACGCTGCAAAACACTCTACAAAATGCCGGTCGCCGTCGCTCTACCTCGAACACGCGCCCGGGATCATCGTCTCGGCGACAATCATTGGCGCACATCCACGGTCAACCGGAAGAGAACTCGCCGCGCTTGAAATGGGACGAGGCCAACTTGTACCTGACCGAACAGGAGAAGACGGCCAAGATGAAGATCGACGAGCCCAAAACTCCGTTTGCACCCCACTACGACCCTGCTGAGGACGAGGAGGAGCTCGAGGCCGAGAATACCCTGATTGATGCGCAAGAGGTGGTGGTGGATGAATTGGACAAGACCATGAAAGCACCCAAGAAAGGAGTGGCCGAGGATGAAATCCCTGACCTGGAGTTGGGCGAGCCGGAAGACTCATTTGCTGGGGATGCGCACGCTGGGGCTGATGACCGAATTGTGCGCGAGCGGAGCCTGAGCAACGAGTCACACCGAAGCAACAAGCATGTGGTGATGGGTGCGGGCGAGGCGAACGGGGAATTTCAGACCGGGCCCGATGGGTTGATCACGTCGCAAGAGGCCGCAGAGAAACATCGTCAGTTTGAGCAGCACCGCAAGAAGCACTATGAGATGCGCAATATCAAAGAACTCCTGGCGTAGGTTCTCTTCTTTCACACACACCTCCTTCCAGATTGGGTGAGTAACTAACGAATTTTTTGCAGCCATCCCGAGGTGGATGAGATGGATGAGGACGAGGACGAAACGGAGGAGGCTTCTTCAGCCGCCGCGGCGCCACCGCCCATGCCCCAGATCCCAACGCAGTTTCTTAACGGCACCAGATCTGATTAGCCCAAGCAACCAGAGGGTTCTCTGCTGTGCTGATCATTTCATCTTCATTACCTGCTGCATTCATTTCTTAGCTGTATATTCCCAAGCGTTGGCTTCTGGTCCAGACGGGCCTATATGTGTTCTATGAACTGTAAATCCTTCACTGTACTTTTCTTCTTTCCCCTTCCATTCCCCCTTTATTCTTTCTACTCCTGAGGTTGGATTGAGCTGGCTAGTCTGATAGATGAAATGGACATAGCTACCTGACCGCATGCATGAATCCGAATGAACTTGTTTCTTGCCTGTCTATCTGTAGAATCTCTCTCGTGGTCAAAGCAGGGAAGGATTCCTGCAAGGGGACTCGTGATTCACCTCGTTGAATCCAGATGCACCAGGGAGTGACCAGGAAGGATTGTACTTGAATGAAAAGGCGTAGGAAGAGGATAAAAATAGCCGTAGGGCATCCCATCCGGACCCAGAGCCGAGAATAGCAGCAACACCGATTGATGTATCAGATGGTCAGGCCATAGTTACGAGTCTTTTCTCTCTCAAAAGCCGGTCTTTCTGCATTCTGTCAGGGGCAGCAGAACTGATGGCCGTGCTGTGAAATGAGTTGTCATTTCTCTGCCTTTTGTTTCTTTTCTTCCTTCTGTTATTGCTTTCCCCCCTTCTCCCTTCTCTCTGTCTTCTTTTCCAGCTTCATCTCAACCTGGGCTCATTCTGAAACACCCTTGCAGCAGGATTGAAATTAGCTAGCGACCGTTGGGGTTTAGTGAGTTGGTCTCCGAGGCTGTTATCATTTATCAATCGTCCGTCCAGCGCGGAGCCATGGCAGCTCCACAGTCTAGACCCCCAGACCCAATAGACAGTTTCAGGTTGAATAATCTCAATGTGAAGTTACTTTCGGAGTACGTAGTAGTCTGAACCAATGTTTCGTAGTACTAGGTACAGTAAATAGTAACTTTACTCCGTAGTTTGTGTGGCCAGTGGCCTAGCTGCTACATGGTTAATCTGTTGTTGTTATTGTTATTATTGTTTCTGTTGTCCCTCCCTGTAATTAGAGCCTACCTAGTATTCTCTCTCTCTCTCTCTCTCTCTCTCCGCTTTCGCCCTTCTTGTCTTTCTCTCATTCCCTCGTTCCGTCTCTCCCTCGCTTCCATCTCCTCTGAATTCCTCCTTCATCCCTTGATTTCTTCATTGATCACCTATTCGTTTCTGTGGTCAGTCACTCGACCACGTTGCGACCTGACAGAAATCCTACATTTCTTAGCGAACCACTCCTTAGCATCCCTGTCCACCATGTCCGATCACCAGGAGAAGACGACGACTCCGGTCGTTCCTGAGACACAGCCTGCTACCACCATTACTCCTGAGGCCCCTCAGCCCGCGTCTGCTGAGTCTGCTACCGCTGCTGCTGCTGCTGCTGCTACTACTACCACCACCACCACTGACGCTATCGCTGAACCTCAGCCGGAGATGACGACCGAGGAGAAGACGGCCGCGGAACCTGCTCAAATACCCGCCGCCGCTACCGCTGCTGCTCCTTCTATTCCCGCCACCACCGAAGCTCCCGTTACCGAGACTGCTCCCGCTCTGGAGGCAAAGAATGAGGAGGAAGTAGCGAAGGAAGGACCTTCAAAGGATGGTGTCAAAGAGGAAGAACCCAAGGAAGAACCTAAGGAGGAGGCCAAGGAGGAGCAGCCTGCTCAACCGGAATATCTGGTTAAAACCCCCGCTCTCGCCGAATTCTTCGATCGCCTGCCTGCCATTCTCTCTGCGACCGGCCATGCTGAGATGTGGGGAGTGACCTTGAAGGACTTCAACGATATCCCCACGGTCAACGTACTCATTAAATTCTTGCGCGCCAACGAGGGCAATGTCAAGCTGGCTGAGGAGCAGCTCACCAAGGCCCTGCAATGGCGCAAGGAGATGAACCCCATCGCGCTGACTGAAGGTCAATACAATGCTGAGAAGTTCAGTGGTCTTGGCTATGTGACCAAATACACCGAGGCGAACGGACAGGAGATTATTGTTACGTGGAATATTTATGGAAGTGTCAAGAACGTGGAAGCTACGTTTGGTGACTCAGATGAGTATGTGACCCCCCTTTGAGAATATGCTGTTAATGCGAAGCTAAAACCGAGTTCAGGTTCATCCGGTGGCGTGTGGCACTCATGGAGCTGGCAGTCAAGGATATGAAGCTCGCCGAGGCTACGACCGTGATTGACTATGAGGGAGAGGATCCCTACCAGATGCTCCAGGTCCACGACTACTTGAACGTCAGCTTCCTCCGCTTGAACCCCAACATCCGCGCAGCCACCAAGAAGACAATTGAGGTCTTCGCCACCGCCTACCCCGAACTGCTGCGCGAGAAGTTCTTCGTCAATGTTCCTGCCATCATGGGCTGGATGTTCGCCGCGATGAAGGTTTTCCTCAGCAAGAACACTACGCGCAAATTCCACCCCATCTCCAACGGCGCCAATCTGGCTCGGGAGTTCCCTGCTCTGAAGGATCAATTTCCTCACTCTTACGGCGGCACCGGTCCCGCCTTGCACGAAGGCGGCTATACCGTCAAGTTGGAACAGAGTGCTCCTGTTCCCGCCGCGGCTCCCGAGCCGACGCCGGACGCCGAGGGCTCAAAGGAAATTGCAACCCCGGCTGAAGAAGTGCCAGTTGAGGCGCCCAAACAGGAGTCCTCGACCGCGGAGCCTGTCAAGGCGGACCCTACGGTGACGGCTCAGGAGACGTCCGCTGTGGGGGTGGCCAGATGAATTGAGGTGATCGAGAAGTTTATGGTTATGGAAGGATAGAGCAGGATTGATACCCGGAGGACTTGGTAGATTGATTTTGTCGTGTTGTTGTCGTTGTGGTTGTTTTTGCATACTTGATACCTCAGAACCATTGGGCTTGCGAGCCCTGGATTGGAGATGTTGTCCTCCAGATCAGTAGTAATCTTTAATCAGGACCTGATGTCTCTTGCCAGAGGAATGTTGGGGACGTTGAGGACGTTAGGGATGATTCATAATAGTACCTGAGCTATGTGACTGTTCTTTCTATCTGTTATCCTGTTATCCTGTCTAGTTACATGTGATATGTCGGATTTAAGTGCGTAATACCGGCATGTCTTGATTAGGCAACCAGCCCCCCCCTGATGGGTGACTAAGCGGGTAGCTCCGTCGATCAAGAATGTGTGTTGATTTGATTTACCTCAACTACAACTAACTACTACTAATTAACTTATCTTGAAAAGCGTTTAGGTCAGGTTGCGAGACCCCCCGTAGAACGCAGGGAGCTTCAATTGCTTTTGGTCAATGCCTCTCTGCCTGTCTAGTGCCTAGCTTCAAGACTATTATTTTGTGCCATTGACCTGTTTCGCTTCGTATCGATCTCCCTCCCCATTCCATAGCAGCAGCCATGTCGGGAACACATATCGCTCCGTGGAGAACCCCGGCCCAGGGCCATTTGACTTCCGATGACCATGGAGATGCCAAAACGGACTACACTCGCTGGCGACTACGGGATGATCGCGGTCGCCAAACGTGGCACTATCTCGAATCGGATGAGGAGTGTGAGAAGTGGCCGCAGACGGTGGCCGATAAGTACTTTCTGGGTTTACCCACGGTATATCTATCTTCCCTGGTGCTCTTCGTTGGCTTAGGCTATTTTCTCTAATCGGGCTGAGCTCTAGGGTCTTCCCGAACTTCCAACGCCCAAGACTCCGCTTCAATGTGCAGAAAACGGCCTGGAGTTCTTCTCAAAGCTACAGCTCGAGCCGGGCAATTGGGCCTGCGAGTACGGTGGGCCTATGTTCCTGCTACCGGGCCTGATTATCACCTACTATGTCACGCACACGCCCATCCCCCCGGAATATGCGACCGAGATCAAGAGATACCTCTTTGCTCGGCAGCATCCGGAGGATGGTGGCTGGGGTCTTCATATCGAAGCTCATAGCTCCGTCTTTGGGACGTGTATGAACTACGTCGCGCTGCGGCTGGTTGGGGTGAATGAAGACGACCCCCGCATGGTCAAGGCCCGCGGACTGCTTCATAAATTTGGAGGCGCCCTCTATGGACCTCACTGGGCGAAATTCTTCCTCAGTGTGCTGGGTGTGATGGAATGGGATTGCGTGAATCCTGTTCCGCCAGAGATCTGGTATGTTGGCTTGCTGTTATCGGTGTGAGGTAGGGAATGCTGACTTGGGCTTTAGGTTGCTTCCGGACTGGGTGCCATTTGCCCCTTGGCGGTGGTGGATTCACATTCGGCAGGTCTTCCTGCCCATGTCTTATCTGTGGTCTAAGAAGTTCGCCCATCCGTTGGACCCTCTCACCAAGCAGCTTCGGCAAGAGCTGTATACGCAACCATATGATTCGATCGATTTTGCCGGTCACCGCAACTCAATCCACGCAGCGGACAATTACTATCCGAAGACGTGGCTACTGAACACGCTGAACTCGGTTCTCGTCAATTTCTGGAATCCCTATTTCCGGGTCTCCGCGGTGACCCGCCGCGCGGAAGACTGGACTTGGGAGCTGATCCGGATGGAAGATGAGAACACGGATTACGCTGGCTTAGGGCCGGTCAGCAACCCTATGAACATGATCGCGTGCTATGAACATGACGGCCCCGATAGCTACTCGGTACGCCGGCACCGTGAGCGCTTGAATGACTACATGTGGATGAAGAATGAGGGCATGTTGATGAACGGCACCAACGGAGTGCAGGTCTGGGATACCACCTTCATCATCCAGGCTGTTGTTGTGGCTGGTTTCGCGGCGGACCCGAAGTGGCGGCCGATGTTGACCAAGGCGCTGGAATTCGTGGAAGACCACCAGATGCGCGAGAACGTCCCGGATCAGGAGAAGTGTTATCGCCAGCATCGGAAGGGCGCGTGGCCGTTCAGCACCAAGACGCAGGGCTACACGGTGAGCGACTGCACTGCTGAGGGGCTGCGGGCTACGATCCAGCTACAAGAGATGCACGATTTCCCGAATTTGATCTCGACGCAGCGACTAAAAGATAGTGTGGACTGTTTGCTGCTTATGCAAAATCCATCCGGGGGATTCACTGAATACGAGAACACGCGCGGGTCAACCAAGCTGGAGTGGCTCAACGCGGCGGAGGTCTTCGGTGGCATCATGATAGGCTACGACTACCCGGAGTGTACGACGGCCTCCGTGACTGCCCTCTCACTCTTCAGCAAGTACTTCCCTGACTACCGCGCGGATGAGATTCGAGCCGCCAAGGAGCGGGCAGTCAAGTATATCAAGCGGGTGCAACGGGCTGATGGCAGTTGGTATGGATCGTGGGGGATTTGTTTCACCTACGCGGCCATGTTTGCGTTGGAAAGTCTGGCGAGCATCGGTGAGACGTACGAGACCAGCGCGGACTCCCGCCGCGGCTGCGAGTTCCTGCTGTCGAAGCAGAAAGAAGACGGTGGCTGGGGTGAGTCGTATCTCAGCAGTGAAAAACACGTGTATGTGCAACATGAGACGTCACAGGTGGTACAGACGGCATGGGCCTGTCTAGCCCTGATGGAGGCGGACTATCCTCACAAGGAACCATTGGAGCGGGCGATGAAGCTGCTGATGTCACGACAGCAAGCCAACGGCGAGTGGCTGCAGGAGTCCATCGAAGGGGTTTTCAATCAATCTTGGTAAGTTGTTCCCTCCCAGAAATCTATAGGTTGGCTACTAATGTGAATGGGTCAGTATGATCTCCTATCCGAACTACAAGCTCTACTGGCCGATCCGGGCTCTGGGATTGTATGCACGCAAATTCGGCAATGATTCCTTGTTGTGAGATAGAGATAGATCGGCTGTGTTCATCTATCTATCTGTACAGTACATTCAAGACCTACATTATACTATGTAATCAGAATAATCATTTGTAATGTTCAAATACTGGATATGAAAGCAGGGTAACTTACTTCGTACGGATCTCCAAGTATGGATCACGTGGCTGTGTTTTGTTTCTTTCCCCGCAGGTCGATTTCTCCAACTTTCTACTTCCTTCCCTTGCCTTGCTGTTGTTCCGCGCTTCACTTCTCTTCTCTTCATACTCCTTACCCTTGCTTGCGCTCGCGTCCTCTTACAAGAGATGTGTATCGAAGCTCTCCAGTGTTTGTACTTCTAGTGGATCTGCCTTTGCTAGCTAGCGCTGACACAATCCCAGAGCTCAACCGACTACCCCACCAGTGATCCGACACCAAGTCCTCAACCCGACCTCGTCAGTTTACAGATTCCCCCGAATTCTACTTCCTACTCCGGAAGGAGTTCAAGACGAAAAGCAAGACAAAAACATACACATACACTCACACACCTCCCTACTCACACACGCAAAATGGACGCCGCATCCCAAGGCGACGCCGCCTGCACCCAGTCCGACTACCCCCGCGCCCTCCTCCACTACACCACCGCCCTTCTCGCCTCCCCTCGTGCCCCGGCCTACTACATCAAACGCTCGACCGCCTTCTCGCGGCTGAAACCCGCCAACTCGCTCGCGGCGTTGCGGGATGCCGAGGTCGCGGTGCTCCTGGCCCGGGAACGCGGCAAGCGGGAGTTGATCCTCGCGGCGCAGATGCGACGCGCGGTGGCGCTGTTCCAGCTGGGGCGGTTCGGGGATGCGGGGTTCGTGTTCGAATTGGTTGACGAGAAGGTGAACGGCCCTGCGGACAAGGCGAAGGCTGCGGACGGGGAGGGCACGGGGGTTGAGGACAAGCTCGTGAGTGCGATGTCGGTGGCGAACAAGCCTGCGGGCTCGAAGAATGGGTTCGAGCAGGAGTTGCCGATCTGGTTGCTTAAGGTTAAGGGACGGTTGGGGAAGTTGGCCCATGAGGGGTGTGTGGATGAAAAGGTTGTTGGGGTGACGGTTGGCGAGGTGCCCGAGGGGGTCCAGGTGCCTACTGAGGGGGAGTTAAGAGGGCAATTGGAGAGTTTGAAGGGGGGCGAAGCTGTGGGAAGCCAGGACGAGATTGTTGCTGGTGGGAAAGAGAGTGCTGCTGCTGCTGCTGCTGCTGCTGCTGCTGCTGCGAAGACGCCTGCTCCTGCTCCTGCTCCTGCGCCGGTGACCACTGCTGCTGAAAAGGTCCGCCATGAGTGGTATCAATCGCAAGACCAGGTGGTCGTGACGCTCTATATCAAGGGTGTTCCCAAGGATCGATTGGATGTGGATCTCAAGAGTGACTCGGTATGTGCATTTCTTGCATAACTTGTGGGTAATAACGTTGATCGTCGCTCCTAACCTCCGACGAACAGGCCTCTTTGCAGTTTCCCCTCGCCTCCGGTGCTCAATACGATTTCACTCTCGACCCTCTCTTCGCTCCGATCGACCCCTCCACCTCCAAGGCGACCGTCATGTCCACCAAAATCGAACTCGTCCTCCGCAAACAGACCCCCGGCCAGAAATGGGGTGCTCTCGAATCCACCCCGTCGACGATTAAGCTCGCGGATCGCCAGGCTGCGACAGTTGCCGCCGCCTCCTCAACGGCCGCCGGCAACCCCAACAAAGCATCTGGCCCAGCATACCCGACTTCCTCCCGCCATGGCGCCAAAGACTGGGACAAGCTCGCCTCCACCCTCACCGCCAAGGCCCCCAAGGATTCTCAACCCGACGACAAGTCTGTGGGTGACGGTGACGGTGACGATGAAGGGAATGACTCCGATGGCGGCGACGCGGTCGATTCGTTCTTCAAGAAACTGTACGCCAATGCTGACCCGGATACCCGGCGCGCTATGATGAAGAGTTACATTGAAAGCCAAGGCACATCGTTGAGTACGAATTGGGAGGAGGTCAGACAGGGGCCAGTGAAGGTAAGCCCGCCGAGTGACTGAGTCAAGTTCTCTGACTTGATGAGGGACATCGTCTCCCAAGGCCATGAACCTCCAGTCTATAAGGGAGTGTAAAGCCTGGAGTCTGGTCTGTGAGGGAGCCGCATATCTTTTGTCTGGATGGAAACTTTCCTTTTCGGCGGTAATCATGGAGTTTTGCGGGAGGTTCTGCGTTGAAGAAAAAAAATTGTCCTTTGGGAAATCGATTACCAGCGGGTGTTTTCAAGGTGCATCTTGCTTTTCCTTGCGTGTTGCGTGAAGTAGGGAGCCTAAGGGGATGGATGTACGTTAGCTGATGGCTGATGGATCTGGTCATGTTCGCTTTCCGGCTCCCAGGTGAAACTGGCTGCGGGCGGGCAAGAAGGTGTTGTAACTGCCAATCCTCGTCTTAAACCATTTATCTAAATTTGACAAATTGAGAGACAAGATACAATGTCTATTATCTCTGCTCTAAGCTTCTGGGTCCGTATAAGTATATATAGATACAGTGGAGAACGAAGATGATCGCTGGCCGAGGCGCATTAGGCAGAACTCGCGAACACCACATACCAAGTTGACCAAAGATATGCCACACAATATACCAATAATTCCACAGCGTAATAAAGATTTTTTTTTCCAAAAAAAAGGAACTTTTTCTTTCAAAACCACCAACTCCGTAGCCAAAAGTAGGACTCCTAACCCAAAACGATAAGATATTTTCATGTTCATCATCATCATCATAATAATCAACATCATCAGCTTCTTCGGCGTCGGCTTCATCATCGCCGTCATCCGCGAACGGTCTCATCTTCGTCTACACTGACATCCGTCGAGACCTCCTCGCTCGTGTTTTCTTGGTATAAGAAGAATTGAACGAAGATGCACATATCCAGCAGCAATGTGCCGAAGCTCCCAATCAACCAGGACAGGTTGACGAGGATGTATCGACCGTACTTGGTGGAGAGCTCGGCCGGGGAGCACCGTCTCGGATCATGGGAGGGTTGGAGCGGAGAGCCAGCGCGCGAGCTGCTGGCATCTGCGGCGCAGACGGGCGAGTACGCCAGAATGGACAGCACGTAGGTCAGGTTGCCGATACATGCAAATAGGAAAAACAGAAGGGAGACGCCGTCCGTCGATTTTCGGCGGTAGTTGAGGAGGATCTGTGGGAGGCGCGAGCCCAGGTACAACGCAGCGCAGAGATAGCCGAAGACTTGGCCCAAGGGGTCCATTTCGAGCGACGCATCCGAGGCGGGAGAGGTGTCATGGTGGTCGTCGTCGCCGCCGGAGGGCTGGGCGGTGCGTTGGCTGATGTACCAGCCTAGAACGCCGGCGGCACAGACGAGGGTGATGGCCGAGGCGTGGAAGAGGGTGGATTGCAAGGTGGTCAGCGTGCGCGGGGGCCGAGGTTCCTTGACGGGCTCGATGAAGGGCGTGACCGGCGACAGATGGGTGCCGTCGATGGAGGGGTGGAGGAACGATGCGGATGAGTGCCGACGACTACTTGTGAGCGGGGCCGGTCGTTGGTGGTGGTCTTGCGGGTGATGGGGGGTGATGGTTACGGAGGATGCCGAGCTGGTGGTGTTGCTGGCCTGGTAGGACGGGCCGCCGCCGCGCCGTTTGGGAGAGCCAAGGAGCGCGGTCTGCTCCGTCGGCTTGCGGGCCATCACCGGGGAAGGCACTTCTGTATCCTCATCGTAGGCTTCTTCCTCGTCGTGGATGGAGGAAGCTGCCGAGGCACGCTGCCGCGGGGATGGCTCCTCGTCTCGGAGGGTGAATCCCCGGTAGTAGAAGCATTGGGCGAGAAGGACGACGTCGGCGAGGGTGTAGTAAACGGCGAGAATTATCATAGTCGGCAGGACACCCTGTAGCACGGCGCCGAGGATGTTGAAGACATCACCGGCAAGCCAGACGATCAGGAAGAGCAGTGAAAGGCCGTCGGCGGATCCACGGCGGAAATTCTCAATGATTTGAGGCGAAAAAACGACCACCCAGCAGGCAATTGAGATCGATCTGGTCTTTGCGTCAGTATAGAAGAAAGAGAAACACGAATTGATCTACCGTATCCGATGGGAACTTGGTAGAGCTTGGTGAGCGGCCACCTACCCGCATATTCCACTCAGGGCTTCTAGATTGATGTTGCCGGTCTGTGCGGGAAACATGACCGGTTTTTGTTGTTGTTGTCGTTGTGGTGTATTGCTGTAGATTTGACTAGAGCGTGATAGAGATCGGCTCCCTATTGACGCTCAATTACCTCTGCTTGAATGGTGGGAATTGAGAGAAAATGCAAGCAGGAATTGAGCTGACAAGAACCAGAAATGACGTCCGCAGACTCTGCCGAGGAGGAGAAGGAAATGACGATCACGTGATACAATCCGGGGTAAATCAGGGATCTTCCTCTGGAGTTCGTTGACTTGGTTCAGTACTACTATATGTACTATACTTACCGTACAGGTAAGTACCTTCCCAGCCCAATATAGTACGAGTCGGCTAGTCTGGACCCCCGGGACTGGTCACTGGGTACTCTGCTCCGAACAGGGGCTGAATTGCTCTTAATAAGCTACCGAGGTACTGTAGTTACAGTACTTGTACAGTAATAAACAACCGATTGAGTACGAGTTGGAAAGTTAACCAAGTCAACTTAACTACGGAATACTGACAACATTGACGGGATACAATGATTGATTATTACTAAGAACTGTACATTCGTTCATTGACTCCAGTTAAGTATTCCTGCTGCCCACTCCGCCTCGCCTCACTCCCCATTTTCCATTTTCCCAATATGAGGCTTCTCAATGACTGCACCTTCGATTAGGATCCCCTTTACCGGGCCCTTACCTCCTCCTATCATTGTTCCTTCGTCAGCTCGTACAGTTGCGGGTGCCATTGATGCCCTCCGATCATTTCTGACAGCCTCGCCCTCCCCCTACCTGCGTGGCGTGGACGTCGGTAGACATGCCCAGACTGTGCTCCTAACGGGCGCAGGCATCTCGGTCGCATCCGGGTTGTCCGACTATCGAGGGGAGAATGGCACTTATCGAACCAACAAAGCATATAGACCGGTTTACTACCACGAATTCGTCACACGCCACGAGTCCCGTAAACGATACTGGGCTCGCAGTTTCATCGGGTGGCCGGGCCTTTTGAAGTCGAAGCCCAATTCAACGCATTTGGCCATCCGGGACATCGGCGCCAAGGGCTATATCAGTTCAGTGATAACTCAGAACGTGGACTCCTTCCATTCCATCGCCCATCCCGAGCTGCCTACCCTGGAGCTGCATGGCTACTTAAGATCGGTGGTTTGCGTCAACTGCCGAAACCAGGTGCCTCGAGATGATTTCCAGAGATCGCTCGAAAGACTCAACCCGGCTTGGGCCGAGTTTCTGGCAAAGATGACTGATCTGGGCGCCTTGGATACCAATAACCGGGAGGAGCAACGGCGGAGGGGTTTGAAAATCAACCCTGATGGTGACGTCGATCTGCCGGAGGCGCCATACTCGACGTTCCGATACCCTTCCTGTCCGACCTGCCTGGAGAAGCCTCCGCGTTTGCACGATGGTACATTAGCAAGGGTGGAAATTGAAGCGGACGGGGCCTGGCTTCCCACATCCACTGCCGGGATTCTGAAACCCGGCGTCATCATGTTTGGCGAGAACATCGATCCTGCCGTGAAGGCGGCGGCAGAAGAAGCGATCGACGACGCTGGAAGACTACTAGTCTTAGGAAGCAGTCTCGCAACGTATTCAGCCTGGCGCTTAGTGGAACGAGCCTATAAAAGAGGCATGCCTATCGGGATTATCAATATTGGAGGCGTTCGGAATGAAGCGGTTCTCTTTGGAGGAGATCGCGAAGCCGTCTCGCGATTTATTCGCTTTAGTCTACCTTCGGAGTCAGTTCTAGCTCCGGTGGCTACTCAACTCCCTATTCTGGTTCATTGAGATTCCATCAGAAGTCGTGTGGTGTGCATAGAACGATAGAAAGAGAGTGTGGGAGAGAGAAAGAGGACAGAGATTCATCGTGAACGGTGATAATCGCCAGCATGTACAGTACAATACTTCGTAGTATAGACATAAAATGGCTCTTTCTCTTCCTCAATCTTGAATTTAGAAAAAAAAAAAAAAAGAAAAAGAAAAAGAAAATAGAACAGAAAAGAACAGAAACGGAGCAGTTTCTGTTAGAGGATTGACTGCATCTAGAAAATACTACAATTATAGTCACCTACCTACCCACGAAGTCCAATGCCTGCCGGTGACTGGCCGTAGCGGAGGACAAGCCGGGCGGCAAAGTCAAAGGAAGGGTAACCTGGAACGTACTGGGCTAAGTCTGCTGCCTCCTGCTGTCTGGTTCTCTCTCCGCCTGTCCATCTCCGACCCAGGCGCGGGGCTCAGTTGGTTGACTTAACCGTTGTTGCCCGCCCTTCTAGCATCAATCATTTCCATGGACAGTCGCAACAGTTCACGACCTGCTTCCAACCCTTCCTTGCAGCGTACCGCCTATCTGGACCTCATCTCCACCCTCGTTTCGCCCAAGTCATTTCTCACTCCCTCGCAGCGGCCTAAACCGCCATCATTTCACCCCCAACCATCGGTCGCACAGGAAACCTTCACCACCGCGTCGCCAGCAATGGACAAGCAACAGCCCAGCTCTTTCCAGCAGCTGGAGAAGGTAAGAGCCTTAATCTTCGACGCCTTATACACTCTCGATATCCTTACTAACTCTGGCTTGGTCGATTCTAGCTTGGAGAGGGTACCTATGCTACCGTATGTGATTTCCCCCTTTCTAGCCTTCGCTGCTGCGCGTGATGACGGCCCACACTATAACTCGATCTAAATACTTATCCGATGGTTATCCTAGGTTTTCAAAGGACGGAATCGCCAAACTGGTGAGCTGGTTGCACTAAAAGAGATCCATCTAGACTCCGAAGAAGGAACGCCATCGACCGCGATTCGCGAAATCTCTTTGATGAAGGAGCTCAAACATGAAAGTATTGTTTCGCTATACGATGTGATCCACACAGAGAACAAGCTGATGCTTGTCTTCGAATATATGGATAAGGATCTCAAGAAGTACATGGATACCCGGGGCGATCGGGGTCAACTGGACCAGGCAACCATCAAGTCATTCATGCATCAGCTCTTGAAAGGCATTGCTTTCTGCCATGAAAATCGGGTTCTGCATCGTGATCTCAAACCCCAGAACCTTCTTATCAACAAGAAAGGACAGTTGAAACTCGGGGACTTTGGTCTGGCCCGTGCCTTCGGTATTCCCGTCAACACTTTTTCCAACGAGGTTGTGACGCTGTGGTACCGTGCCCCAGACGTCTTGCTAGGCAGCAGAACCTACAACACGAGTATTGATATCTGGTCGGCTGGCTGTATCATGGCAGAACTCTACACCGGTCGTCCCCTATTCCCTGGCACTACCAATGAAGATCAACTCCAGAAGATTTTCCGTCTTATGGGCACACCTTCGGAACGCTCATGGCCCGGCATCTCTCAACTGCCGGAGTATAAGTCGAATTTCCACGTGTATGCAACCCAAGATCTTGGCCTGATTCTCCCCCAGATCGATCCTCTGGGACTGGATCTATTGAATCGGATGCTCCAGCTTCGTCCCGAGATGCGCATCAGTGCCCACGACGCCCTGCAGCATCCTTGGTTCCACGATCTCCCTCAGTTGCAGGCGCAGCTGCAGCAACAGCAACAGCAACAGATGTCCGGGGCATATGGCGGGATGGTTCCTCCCCAGCAAGCGTATTAGCCATCAGCAGTCGAGAATTATCACTTTCTATTATCGCAACTCGTGTTCTGATTTGTGCTCTGCGGTTATATCTTACCTTTGCACCTTATTGACTTTTTTCATGAGATGAAGGACATGATGAAGCACTTGGATTGGTTCTAGAACGGAGAGCGTGGCGTTATACTTGAAGAAGGGCTCGATGTGGTGTTCTCTTGTTTGTCCTTGGTTCTCGCAGATTCCCGTCTTTCTTCCAGCTTATATTAGCGTATGCGAGATGATAGCGCCAGTAGATAATCACAATCTACACTTTGATTATCATTTCGTGCCTGCTCCATCCGCTACCACCCCGTACAGGTACTCGTGGTTTCTTAGATCGTAATGTGCCAGGCGCCTGAATGAGCATATAGCGTCAGCCTTGTCGCATGCGATGCAGGGCATCGGTTCCAATCAGGCGGCCATGCATATCCACAGCAAGGGCTCAGGAGGCATGCATGTTCTGATCAGTGATCCCTGAGGTTATAACCCAGTAAGCAATCTTTCTCTCCGTACTTTATTATTTCATTAGGATTGACAACCATGCTTTCTGGACCGATGATGAAGAATTAAGTGGGGGTGGGACCTGTAGTTGTGACAGCACATATTCGGAATGTACTCGTATGAATTCTAGATTTTTTTTCTTCCTTGCTTCCACTCCAGACTGACTAGTGCCCACTCCTAATCCGAAAATTAATGATCGACATTGCATCCTCAGATAGGGCTCCGCCGCCAATCCAACTTGTTACACCAGCTGTTTCTTTATGCAGGTGCTAAGAGCATCATGATCCTCTAAGTTCCTGCTCTGCTGACCTGGTGTTATTGCCTATTCCCCAATACCAATCATTTAATTCCCTATCCACCCCCCCTTTTATTGTTTTTTTAGAAACAAGGTTCATTCGCCCTTGAACATCAACACCTACCACCATTTCCTCCTGCTGTAAGGCTCGTTGCATGAATCTGTCTATTGACATGCCACATATGGATAGAGAGACGATTTGAGGAATTGATGAGGGTAAGATCGTCCTATCCATGGCTCTGGGACAATCGTTTGGGACATGAAGACAGATCTCACCACTTGCGATCCTTTGAACAGGGGCTCTGCCTCCTATCATTCAATCGATAACAATAAGAATAACGTATGAAGTAGTCTCATTTGGTGTCTTGAGTCCTGAAAAGCTCACGACGGCGTATGAAAGTTCACCACCGTGTTTCTTTTCAGACTCTCTCGCAATGTTGGTTTGCATCCAGAAGCGATTGGCTCTTCTACTTCTGAAGGTTGAACCCCGACATTATCGGTAGTGCCGAGACTATAGGGGCTTGGATCATGTCCTTGAATTGGCATTAGAGTCCCGACCATTGTCGATTTGTAGGAGAAACCTTGGGGATATCTGATATATCTAACCAGGGCCTCTGCGAATTTTAGGATGGGGATGAAGATTCGTTCTGTGGCTATTTGCATCAGCTTTGCCTCGTCGTGAGACAATGTCGCTATCGCGATCACAACTACAAGCCATCTCGATAACAGAGCGTGTTTGTTCGGCTGTGTCTCTCCTGGGAACTTTCATCATTGTCATTTCTTTCCTTTCCTCTTCTTCGTTCCGCAAGCCCATCAATCGCCTAGTGTTCTATGCATCATGGGGTAACATGATGGCCAATGTCGCGACACTGATGTCTCAGTCAGGAGTTCGGTTGGGAACTGCAAGCAGCCTCTGCCAGTTCCAGGGCTTCCTTATCCAATGGTTTGCTTTTTATATGTCTCTATTGTCGCATGGCAGCCATCACTAACTTGAAACAATAGGTTTATGCCCGCTGATGCCCTGTGGACATTTGCTATGGCCTGCAATGTCTGGCTCACCTTCTTCCACAAGTATGACTCTGAACAGTTGCGACGGCTGGAGGTAAAGTATCTAGTGGCTTGTTACGGGTTGCCTTTCATTCCTGCATTTGTATATTTCTTCATTGAGACAAAGACACGGGGCAAGATCTACGGCGCGGCCACGGTAAGTGTACCCGCAGTATCTGGACAATCCCACCAGACTCCTTCATACTGAGACGATCTTGTAGCTTTGGTGTTGGGTCTCGACCCCTTGGGACTTTCTACGCATTGCCCTGTTTTACGGACCAGTGTGGTTGATTATGTGCTTGACCATTTTTATCTATGTGCGCACAGGCAGTGTTATTTATCAGAAGCGGCAGCAACTGAACCGTGCTGGAAATACAGACTCTTCCAGCACCACAGCTAGCTTGAAAAACATCCAACTTTCCAAAGTGACCGAGTTTTCCATAACTCGGGAGATTGTGCATACTGTGCAAGTGCCGCTAGAGGGGAATGAAGACCCCATATCGACCAAGAGTCTGCACACATTCTACTGCCCATATTCAGTCACCATCCAGGCTGGAAGCGATCTCAAGGACAGCGAGAAGACTGCAGAGCAATCTTACGTACATGACCAGGTCAGCGCCGGCATTCAACGCCGTGCGACCGTGTTGGAAACGAATTCGGCAGCATGGGCTTACAGCAAATATGCGATCCTCTTCTTCATTGCTCTGTTGATCACATGGGTAAATATTCGCTGCCCCTCCCGATCTGGACCGCGATTGCTGATATTGCACAGGTGCCATCAACGGCCAATCGAGTCTATTCACTGGTGCTCCCGCATAAGGTCGACTTTGAGTTGAATTACATCTCGGGTTTAGTGCTACCATTGCAGGGATTCTGGAATAGTATCATATATGTGTCAATCTCATGGCCAGCATTTGAAGAACTCTTGTTCTCGAATAGGAAGGTTGGCGTTCAAGCTAGAGACCAGGCAGGGTCAATTGAGTCCGAGCGCGAGCGCCCACAGTGAGGTTGCACTGCGAACTGCAAAGCTTTCTTGACTCACTGAAGACAAGCCTACCACTGACGGGGCTTCCAGCCACATTGGGTAGATAATCCAAAACTTACTTTCGTGCTTGTATAATAGATCATTTTGATTTCTCTTCTATGTATTCCAGTTTCTGAGTCTACAGCGTTTTCTTGTCTAATCAGACTTACTATGACTATCTAGCTAAGTATGATCTCACAATCACACCTTTTTATATTAGTTCTCAAGCCTCCGTGATCAGCATTATCATCATCGTTGTATGTATGGAGTAGTGGAATCTCTAGTATAAAGAATCACGTGATGGGGCGCGTCTTCCGGCGCGTCTCGCCCATGCATCCATCCATCGCAATTTCCCCAACCCATCTCCACTCCAGAGCATCTTCAGCCACAATCGATCGAAGAAACCCTGCCTAACAACTTAATCGCAGGCGAAAGAAAAAGATTACACAGGTACAAAAAGAAAGAAGGATTACAGCAAAAGAGAAAAGAAAAAGAATAGAAAGCACCCCGACTTACAGCCTCCTCTATCACCTGGTTGAACACATTCCACCCCAAAATGACCGAAGATACCAATCCCGCGAACAGCACCACCACCCGAGCCGCTGCCTCCCCCTCTCCTCCCCCTCCTGCCCCTGTCGCATTAACCCCCGGCCCACGCGTTGCCAAATTGCAAGAGATCTTCGACAAAGCACTTGCGCGTACCTTGCGCGCAAACTCATATGCGAACTTCTCGAGCTGTTTCCCCACCCCCGCCAAGCATGTCCCCGCCAGCTTGGAGTCGGTTTGGCGGCAGTTGAATGCGAAGTTGGAGGAGAGTGCGAAAGCGGAGTTTGAGGACATCTTGACGGAGCGGGATGCTGTCCGGCAGTTGAACGAGCTGGATCGGTTGGTCGGGGAGGCGAAGTATAGGAAGGATCATGGGGTTGGACAGGAAACCGTTGCGTAAGTTCTTATTTTCTCCCTTCGCTCTTTTATTGTTCCTGGTTGTTTTTTTGGGGGGTTGGGGGGGGGGGGGAGTGTCCTGTTCGTAACGGCGATTGATGGACTGACCGAGTGTCTCTACAAATAGTCCGCATACCTTGCCTCCTGATGAACTATTTCGATCCCATCTCCTGCCATATATGCGTGAAACGCAGTCATCTCTGAACCACAAGATCGAATCGGTTCAAGATGAGAATTCAGAGCTGGCGCAACGGGTCCAAGCGCAAAGGAGGGAGATTCAGGACCTGCTCGTAGGCTTGGAGTCTGTTGTTGCGGACTTGGAGGTCGCTGCTGCCGCTGCGACGCAGTTCGGCAGCGATAACAATCTACGACAAGAGGCTGCAGAGATGGATGAGGAAATCAGAGCTCGGTCTGAGCTATGATTGAATTTTCGTACCCACACGATATCATATTACGGGCAGCTTCTGGAATTCGAAAAACGGCGGATTGTACATTACGCCCCGTGGTATGTCTATGACAGAAGCACCTCCATATCACCAGGGCTCATCCATCCATCGTCGACGACATCTTCGGCCACCATCATCAGTTCCTTTGGCGCGGCTCTCCTGAGCTCCTCCAGTTTCTGCTTCTGTCCTTCCAGGGCCGCTGCAATGGCTTCTTTACACGATCCGTCTCGCGACTCCTCTGAGGCTCCGTCTCTCCTGGCTAGTGCCGCGGCGCCTCGGTAGTATGTCTGCGCGTTGCGCAGCAGTGTGGCTCCATATTGCTGAGCCATGACATAGTTCCAGGGAGGCATGCCAAGCCTCCACCTAGCTATCTCCACATCTCCCCTGGCTAAGTGGATCTTGGGCAAGTCATCTGCCTCGGGATGCTTAGATGCTTTTGTGAGAGCGTCCAGTGCCGCAGAAAGCGCCTGCCACCGCAATGACAACGCTCTCGTGAACGCTTCAGGCTCGTAAGGAGGAATATCGATGAGGGCAGTGTTGAACGACGTCAGCGCATCTGCTTTGCTGCAGAGACCACCTGGATCGGAAGAGACATCTAAACCCGCGCCAAAAGCTTGCGAGACCTCACTGGAATACGTTTCAGCCTCGATTTGGCCGCTTCGATAGAGCAGTTCGTTCAGCCCGCAGGTAAATTTGGCTCTGGCCAAAGCTGCCTCATAATGTCTGCTCGATCCCTCCACATAAGCGGAGATGCGCTTCTGCAGTAGGTCTGATGAAGAATCCTCCACCCATCCCAGGCCGACCCCAGGGTTGAATGTAAGCAGGTTGCAGAGGGTTGTCAATGTATCAAGTTGTGCTACTGCCGTGTCCACCAATGTATCCTTGGTCACTGGCTCTATAATTGCAGCCCATTGTTCTTGCTCGTCCGTTGGTTTCGACTCCGATGGTTGCATGGGAGTCTTCTGTGTGTTCTGCGTCTCCACCTCTGGTTGTCCGGCGTCCGCAGATTCCATTTGTTTGATTTGTTCCTGCATTTCCGTAAACTTCAGCTCCTGTAGAAGCAGGCAACGCTGGAAGAGCTCGATCGCTTCCTGCAGAAGCTTCACAGCCTGCGATAGGCGCTCGTCGGATGGGTGCTTCGAATCGGTCAAAATCTCAGCGATGCTCGTAAGCACCTGGCCTGTGTTGAAGAGTGCGTCAGGATTATCTTGCTCTAGAGCAAGCGCCACTCTATGGGAGTCCAGTGCCTCTTGCAGGACATCAGCCAATGGGGCCGACAACTGGGCTTTCAATTTCGGATGCTGTGTGATTTCATATTGAACTCGAGCTCTACTGTATGTCAAACAGGCATTCAAAGTAACAATCACAACATTCGGTGAATCAACAACGCAGGCTGAGGATGATTTGCGACTCACTTGTTATAGGCCAAGTCAAATGCACCTGGGTGCTTGATCAAGCCTTCATCGTAGGTATTAATAGCACGCATGAAGAAGCGCAGCGATTTGGCAGCGTCTCCAGCCCGCCATTTTTCTCCGGCTTCTTCTTGTTCGACACCGACTAATGGGGCTCCGTCAGTCTCGTACCTTAGCACCCGACCTACGCAACGGCGTCTATAGGAGTAGAGTCTTGTGACATACGTGCAAGGTATTCATCAGAGGTTTCGGGGGCCTGAGATGAACCATTAGTATTGCAAGAAGCAAACAGCCGGTTTGGATCCATACTCGTTGTGCCGCTTTCTTTTTGGCTTTCGCTTCCTTGAGGAAGGCCTTTGGCTTCGGCATTTCTTTTTTTTTTTTGTAACTGTCCTTTCTTGTTTTCCTTTTGATTGTCTGTTTGGAACAATATTGTTAGACGCTTCCCAGGTTGAGTCTACTATTGCATGGGTTTGCCCATGAGACTCAGCGTAGTGTACAATATAATACAAGACGAGATGATAGTATAAGCTAAACTCGACTACTAGATGAAAGTCTCTTTTGAGAGCCGAGGACTTAGTGGAACGCCCGGCGGCGTACGTACTTTTCCGTCTTCAGATCTCTTTTCCCCCGCATCAGGTGACGGAGCCATGTCGGAGACACCGCCTTCTTTGTTAAGTGAAAGTCAATGCTTGAATCTACAATGACAATAACCATAGATCATAGATGGAACGTTCACTATTCCCTCGACAACTACAGCATACTCCGTGGCCACCAATTTCACAATTCCCCGATGTTGATATGCAGCCACATTCAGATAGTGCCTTTTAAAGAACCTGTAGTCTAAATACAGTCTGCATCTTAAGCGATGTTCCTTATATATATTCTACATGTAATATGACGTTTATAGTACTTAATTACAGCCAGATCTACTTATTGCTTCCACCAGTGGAGCGCGGAGAATTGTGAAATTCGTGGCCACGGAGGGTATGTACTATGTACAATACGCTGCAACTCCTATCCGTAGTCCGGGCAGGGATCGCCGAACAACAACCCTCATTTGGGTTCAATTGGAGCTTTAGTAGGTACTATACATGCAGTACCTAGCTTATGCGTTGTGACAACCCTGTCTAAGACTCATTATTGAACCTGCAAAGTCTACATGTGATTTTCCTGTGTAGGTCGCACTTGCGAGTTGAGTTCAGAAAGCATAATGTCTCTTCAAGAAAGTGTTAGCCGGTTGTCTTGCGAATGTTGAACAAGCCTCTGACACAAGGATGGTGATCCGCTTGTCTATCCCAGCAGGTCGCACACCTCGCAATTGAACTTACAGAGTACTGTACTTGATTCCTACAGAACAGGTCGCTCTAGGTGCCTTGACAATAACCAATAAAGACTTCAACTCTTACGGGCATGATAGCTTTAAAGGTAAAGGTAGGTATGCAACGCCATACCATGCTATGTCCAATAAATTGATTGATATCTGATTGAAAGGAGATAAAGAGTACGAGCAACCTTGAATATGCCGAATTCTCCCCCTCCCTCGGGTAAGACCGATTGAGTTCAATGTGCAGGCCACCTTTCCCTCCCCTCCACCCCCGTCCTCTTCCTTCCTCCCATGCTTTGTCACAAGCTATGAGATCAGCTCGCGTGGCGATATGGCAATCCCTGGCACGTGGCAGACAACGGGCTGGTTCTGGCTTTAATCTATTATGGTGCTGATGGAGGGCCGCCTCATGCTCTGATTCCCTCTTATCGCTGCTCTTAGATCGTCTTGGATCTCGATAACCACACCAGCCCGCAGAGACAAAGAAAGCACTTTTTTCCCTCTAGGCGATCCCGATCAATGAATAACCAGGAATAACTAATCAACTTTGTTCCTCTATACGTTCCGTAAAAATCGATCACCTTCCTTCTGTGAGTAGCTATCGGGAAGCCAGGGCAATTAGTGGTCGCAGTGTTCAGCCAAACCGATCGTCATGAATTGTTCCTAATCTAGGATCAGAAGCCGGGTGATATGACACTCCGCCCCAGCCCGTAGTATGAGTAGTAACTTAGTCTGTCTAAGTTGTATTCCAACACAGCAGAGAACCCCTGTCTGATGATCAAGCTGCTATCCGTCCGATGTCTCATAATACTTACCCGAGCCGACCGACCATCTCGGAGACTCTGACATGGTGTGGCATGCTGCATAATCGGTTCTTTTTTCACTTCGGAAATAAAAAAGGACCAGAGTATGCACTGTACTGTACTAGGTTCAGTGCTACTGTGCAAGGCTGTGTTACCAGAGGGCAAAAGAAATAGGTTGACTACGAGCCACTGACAGGGCTAGACCCCGAGTACGGACATGGCCACCTAACTCCATCCCGGGTTGTCGCTTGTAAGTTAAGTTGCAAGTTAACCAGGGGTATGAGTAGGAATTGAATTGCCAATGCCAACAATGACAAAAGAGGATGAGAGGGAGAGTAGAAGAGAAGAAAAGGAAAAAGTGAAACTTCAGATAGACAAGGTTAGAGCTAAAATTCCTTTGTAAATCCTTGACTTTTTTAGGATTCGTGGCCATGGGCATTTTACTTGAGTATATCTATTACTTCAGGGTTTTTTTTTCCCATTTCTATCCTCTTATTACATAGAGTCAAAAAAATTTACCGCTCCTACTGCGGGCGACCCACTGACATCTCCCCTCCCACCCCCTCCCAAATCCACCCCCCGAATCCTCGAACAAACGCTCAACGCATGTGCGCACGTACACACCTCACCTCACCTCACCTACGCCGCCCACCTCCGGTTTCCTGCTTACTACCTTTACTTTACCCTTTTCCTCCTCTTCCTTTTTTCTTCTATAACATCCTTCTCTCTTGCGCTTTCTCACACACATACTCTATCTCTCCATCTTCCTCTAATCCTTACGCAACTGTTCCCCTATTCCTCATCGTTCCTCCGGTGGAAGAACAGACAATAGTGTCGCGTCGCCCCTTTCCGACTGTGACCCCTTAAGAGGTATGCATACTTGCGCAAGCCCTATTTCGTCCGTCCGAGTTTCTTTTAGCGTGGGTGCCAGTGCTAGATTACATCCCCGGTGTCTTGTTAATTTTCCATATGAAAGGAGAGATCGCATTGACCTCCTTAGTATTATAACATTCTCTATCCTCATGCCCCTATGCATCACTGCAGTGAACCGATCAATCGCTAATCATGGTTAATTCAACCCACGTCTAGTCACAATAACCTCATTGCGCAACTGCCAGCAGCAGAATTCCACTCAACTTTCACTCCCCACTCCTTCCTTGGAGATTCTCCCTATCCAGTCATGGCCAGACACACCTCGCTCGACTCCGAAAGACCAATCATGGCTCAATCTGTAAGCCTATTACTCCCAGGACATGGTGCTTGGATTTTGACCGGAGGCTTTAGAACCGGACGTCGAAGAGATTCTCGACTGTGAGCGGGAGCCCCTCGGTTGCGTCATCGGATCTCTCGAGTCTGCCCAGTGGGGATCCCCGACTGGCCGACTTTCACCATCTGCGGGACGGCTTGGAGCGATTGGAGAACAAGCCCCTGCTGAAGCAGCGCTTCGTTCCCACGCCCGAGAAGAGCGACAACCTCAGCAAATTGGCGCTGGGAGCGAAAGTCGAGCGCGCCCTCGACCGAAGAATGACAGGCCAGGATGCCATCATGCGCGAGCCCACCTTGAATGAGAAGGCCGTTGTCGACTCGACTGCGTCCCCTTGATATGAATCTCAATGCCTTTTTTGAGATGTCGACTGGTTACCGTGCATGACTCTTATGGTTTTTGTGATCGGAACCCTCGCACCCTGGGACCCAAAGTCACTTCTTCCCTCCGCCTGTCGGTATCCGGTGCGACGAAACCCTTTGAAACGCGTCTGATAATTATCACTTTCTGGATGAGAAGCCTGTCTAATATCTGTTTTCATACCCCTGCCTCGAGCTAGCTGTTCTGTTTCTGCGAATTCAATGCCTCTTGTGGCTGCCATTACATATTCCATGAATCTACTTGTTCGTTATATCTGACTTCTGTGAAATATCCTTGGAGTACTTGATGTCATACTTGAAAAGCAGTGCTTGTGTTTCTTCAGATGTATAGCCGAGTGAACAGATCACTGCCATACGTACTTACCTCTAGAATGGGGATCGAAGTGGTGGTCAATTATCATTAGTCGTACAGTTGCTCTCAGCCAAGCCAATACACGTAGATACGCCTGGAAATACCATTCCCCGATGAGATTTTCTTCCAATCCACGGCAAACGATCACACCTCCAGGCTGTCAAATGAGTCTGCCTGGACGGTTGATTGGTGGGTAGCAATACCCCAGAATGGTTCCTCCCGACGTGGGGATGAGCTCTTGCAACACCTTAAATATTTGATTAGGACCTGGCCACCACTGATTCACGACCTCATAAAGTATATATCATCCATGATTCGAAAGCAATCTCAAGACATAAAGTTATTGTTCGGGACTATTTCTTGCCTCGGGTGTCAACTGGCCTGGATTCGACAGGCGGTGAGCATACTGCCGAGCGGGCTTTTCTGGGTTCGATGCTCCCAGCGCCAGCAGGCCTTTCCATCCACTAACTTACCAACCAACCTCTTATATTCACCACTTCCTCAAACCATCTCCGTCGACCACTAACAGCTTGCTCCTCACTCAAATCTCTCCCGCTTCTCAAATTCTTCTTCCAGCCATTTGACGCCTAAGTTCTCGCCTCAATTTTCTTTCTTATCCACTTCTTCCTCAGGCTTTCCTTTCGCACCGCACTTTGTCTAATTCCGAATCGCACAAGACTTCCTCTTCTATTTCACACATCGACGACTTCGACCCGCAAACATCTTGAACATAATTGTTCTTTCTGTCCTTCTTGTCTAGCTTGTTGCATATCTAGTGAGCAGCTCCCTCGTTTCTAACATCGCACATTCATGAATTACTTTTTCTGTGCTTCCGCCTTTTTCCTATCGTCCCTCATCTGACGCCATATCTCCAAAGCACGTTGATTATTAACAAAGAGCTTCATAGACGGGTGAAAAGCGTCTCCTCGATAGAGCTCCACTGCCACTATTTTCTTCCTGTCACACAAAGCTCGGTTCTGATAGCCTATAAACCCTTGAGCTCTTGCGATTTACGCCTCCCTCGTCCTTCACCCTCATCGTTTCCCAATCCTCAAATTCTGATTCAACACACAATGGCCGACACGACCCAGGCTCCTTTGAACGGCTACCCTGCGCAACATGCGTACCCCGATTCCTACAACCACACCCATGCCAATATGAATAGCGCTGCCAACTTCCAGCCTGCGCAGTCTACCACTTCCTCGAACGCGCCCTCGACCGACCAGAAGAATGGCATTGCTAAGGATGAGGTTGGTTGGTACTTTGTCGAGCAGTACTATACCAACATGAGCCGTAGTCCGGAGAAGCTCCAATTCTTCTATTCTAAACGCTCCCAATTCGTCTTTGGAACGGAGGCGGAGAGCGTCCCAGTTGCAGTGGGTCAGAAGGCAGGTGCACTCCAATTGAGCGAGTCATCGCATCCGCGCTATCGAGGATGAGCAATTGCTGACGTTAGATGTATTTTCAGGCTATCAATGAAAAGATCAAGCAGTTGGACTTCCAAGACTGCAAAGTCCGTGTCCTGAACGTTGATTCGCAGGCGTCGTTCGACAACATCCTCGTCTCCGTCATCGGCGAAATTTCCAACAAATTGGAGCCTTCTCGCAAGTTCGTGCAGAGTTTCGTCCTGGCCGAGCAGCCCAATGGTTACTATGTCCTGAACGATATCTTCCGTTACCTGGTTGATGTTGAAGAGGAGCTGGAGACCGAAGAGGCTGCCCCCGCTGCCGCTCCCACCGCTCCAGCTGATGAGCCTACTGCTGAAGAGCCCGCCCAACCTGAGGCTGAGCCTGAGGCTGTTCCTGCCCCGGCTGCGGAAGAGCCCCAGGTTGAGGAGTCTCAGGTCGACAATGAGACAGCTGCTGCTGAGGTTGATCAGAAGCTTGAGCAAGCCGAGCAAAATGTCGAGGAAGTACCTGCTGAGCAGTCGGCTCCCAAGACCAATGGCGCCGAGGCTCAGGAGGCCCCAGTTGAGGCTGCTCCGGAGGCTGTTGAGCCCGCCGCTGCTGCTGAAGCGCCCAAGGTTGAGGAACCCGCGACCCCCGAGCCCACTCCTGCTCCCGAGCCGAAGGAGGCCCCTGCCCCCGCTAAGGAGAGCGCCCCCGCGGCCAAGGCTCTTCCCAAGACTTGGGCCAACATCGCATCCAAGTCCGGCGCCACCGTGCCCGTGGTTCCCGCCATTCCTATCGCTCCAGTGAAGGCTGCAGCTGCCCCTGCTGCTGCCCCTGCTGCTGCTTCTGCCAGCTCGTCCCAAGCCGCAGCTCCCGTTCCCGCCGCAGCTCCCGTTCCCGCCGCAGCTCCCGTTCCCGCTCCCGCTGCTGAGTCCGCTCCCAGCCAGCCCTCCTCTAATGATGGAGCCGGTTGGCAAACCGCTGGTCACGACCACAAGAAGTCCCAGTCTCGCGCGGCTGATGAGCAGAATGTTCTTGCTTACATCAAGAACGTCACGGAGAAGGTCGATGCCAGTTTGCTCAAGCAGACTCTATCTCGCTTTGGGAAGCTCAAGCACTTCGATGTGAGCCGCCAAAAGGTATGCAATTACTCTCGACTGGCCCCTATGTTTTTGTGTGATTGTCGACGCTAACCTTCTCTGTCTCCCATGTAGAACTGCGCCTTTGTTGAATTCGGCGATGCGGCCGGCTACAACGCCGCTGTTGCTGCCAATCCCCACCAGATTGGAACCGAGCAGATTTACGTTGAGGAGCGCCGTGCTCGCACTAATGCCTACGGTGGTAACGGTAGCTATGCTGGCCGTGGTGGCGCTGGCCGTGGTCGTGGAGACCGTGTCGGCAGCCAGGGTCGCGGCGGCTTCCAGCGTGATGGGCGCGGAGGCTTTGCTCCTCGCGGCCGTGGCGGCAATGTCAATGCCAAGGGTCGCAACCAAACCCAGACTGCTTAAAGCTACAGCAACGTACTGACGAACAAAGAAACCGAGAAAAAAATATGAATTCTTCTTCAAAATCTCAACAACCTTCACGAATCCAGGTTTCTTGCCTGAGGAATGACGGAAAGTATTTCAGTGAGGTCAAAACTGTCTATGGCCTTCTCCTTCTCTCCTGTATCTCTTTATCTGGTCATCAACGATTTTCTCTAGCCCTTCCATCCTGGTTTCGGACCATCCTAAGTTTTTAGATGCTCACGGCGATCCAGGTCATGTATTACTTCCCCTCTCCTTTCCCATTTACTGAATAACGACATGTGTTATGTGGCCCTGCTCTGGCACGATGCATATTAGCGGTTGGAAAAGTTGTCTTATCATTTCCTAACTGGGCAGTTCTTGGTCGTCTATCTGACTCTGGTTTTCTACTGATTTATTGTGTTGTCATGACCTTTGTGAATGCGTCCTACCTCTTCCAGCATAGCGAGCTTATTGCCCGTCATGATATGGTCCATGTTTTTCAGCTTCTTGAACTAGACGGTGTCCCGAAGTGTGTCTCTTCCCTTGCCGACGATGAGTTGCGGGTAATTGCTATGGTGAGTGCCGTGGCTTGAAGTAGGACTGGTAAGCTTTTTTGAGAATGAATCATGGGTGAGACCATCTTCTTGAACTTCGAGTGGATTTGCTCTACGACGCCCACAGGTGCACAAAATCATGGTGGCCAGGACAAGTAAATGAAGTTGAATAAAAGCAGTTTCAGTATGTCCTCACTGCCAATTAAAGGAAAAGAAAGACCTGGAAATTGACGGCAATGGATGATTCCAAACAATGACCTTGAACTATTTACAAAAAAAGGTCTGGTGAACGAGAGCCAAAAAGGTGGTGGCGGCGGCGGCGGCGGCGGGCGAGGCAAGGCCCATTGACTGATTGATCTTGACATGAAAGAGGCGACTGGGCGGGTATGAGTAAGGTAACCTATCATGGATGAGGAGTGAGTGTACCGTATTAGGTACCTCCGCTCTAGTACAGTACGGTAGTAACTTTCTGTCCTGGGAAAAGACGGATTATTGCCAGTGGAGGTAACTACGGAGTACTGTATCTAGTACATACCACTACCCTGGGGGGTGAGAACAGTAGTGGTGGAGTAGAGCGGAACGTTCTAGATTAAGCGCCTCGGTTCTCAGGCAGCAGTCTGAGTCATCCGTTTGTCCCTCAACTCACGTAACTACAGCAATGGATACACAGACAGAGCAAGTCCAGCGTACGGAGTAGGGGTAAGCACACATAGTTAGTATGAGTGTATGAGTATGTAGATTGACAACAAGAGATCGAACCGTCTAGATCGGTCATTCAGGAACACAATCTGAACGTGTGGAACGGACTGGAAGATCCTGGGGAAGTCAAAGAGCGCCAGAGACCGCCAGAGACCGCCAGAGACCAGCGGAGACCACTGTAGAAGTCCATAGAATAGAATCGAGCCAAATTTTTGTGTCCCGCCGCCGCAAGCATAAGGTGCCGCTGTCCGCCTGGAAACTGCCAACCATCTTTTCACCCCCTCTCCCAAGCTTGCTATTTTTTCCCTCTTCTACCAACTCACCTCTCGATCTCTCTTTCTCTCTACATCCTACAACCCTCTACCCTCTATACCTCTCTTCCATTACAAAATCCATCTTTCTATTTCCCCCTCCTCCCGCCATCTCTCTTCTTCAATTCTGATAGAAAGAACTTTGTGATACCTCTTCACCTTCGTACTACGTCTTCTTGTGAGTTTATCCTTTTCCTTCCACGCCTCACCATCAACTCATCTCTCACTCAATCTGGCGGAAGTGACGAACTAATACACTCTTTCACTAGAATCTCGTCCGCTTTCTCTCCTTACCATCATCATGTCTGCCGAAACCTTCGAGTTCCAGGCTGAGATCTCTCAGCTCTTGTCGCTGATCATCAACACTGTCTACTCCAACAAGGAGATCTTCCTCCGTGAATTGATCTCCAATGCCTCCGATGCTTTGGACAAGATCCGCTATGAGTCCCTGTCGGACCCCTCCAAGCTCGACTCGGGCAAGGACCTCCGTATCGACATCATCCCCGACAAGGAGGCCAAGACCCTGACCATCCGTGATACCGGTATTGGTATGACCAAGGCTGTAAGTTCGATCCCGTTGGTCAACTCTTCGGAGTAACACACAGCTAACCATGCCATTCTAGGACTTGATCAACAACCTCGGTACCATCGCTCGCTCCGGTACCAAGCAGTTCATGGAAGCCCTCTCCGCTGGTGCTGATATCTCCATGATCGGTCAGTTCGGTGTCGGTTTCTACTCTGCTTACCTGGTTGCCGACCGCGTCACTGTCGTCTCTAAGAACAACGATGACGAGCAGTACATCTGGGAGTCCGCTGCCGGTGGTACCTTCACTCTCACCCAGGACACCGAGGGTGAGCAGCTTGGCCGTGGTACCAAGATCATCCTCCACCTGAAGGATGAGCAGACCGACTACCTCAACGAGAGCCGCATCAAGGAGGTTGTCCGCAAGCACTCCGAGTTCATCTCCTACCCCATCTACCTCCACGTCCTGAAGGAGACCGAGAAGGAGGTCCCCGATGAGGAGGCTGAGTCCAAGGAGGAAGAGGGGGACGAGAAGAAGCCCAAGATCGAGGAGGTCGATGACGAGGAAGAAGAGAAGAAGGAGAAGAAGACCAAGACCGTCAAGGAGAGCAAGATCGAGGAGGAGGAGCTCAACAAGACCAAGCCTATCTGGACTCGCAACCCCGCCGACATCACTCAGGAAGAGTATGCTGCTTTCTACAAGTCCCTCTCCAATGACTGGGAGGATCACCTTGCTGTCAAGCACTTCTCTGTTGAGGGTCAGCTTGAGTTCCGTGCCATCCTCTACGTTCCCAAGCGTGCTCCCTTCGACCTGTTCGAGACCAAGAAGACCAAGAACAACATTAAGCTCTACGTTCGCCGTGTCTTCATCACCGATGATGCTACTGACCTCATCCCCGAGTGGCTCAGCTTCGTCAAGGGTGTTGTCGACTCTGAGGACCTTCCTCTCAACCTGTCCCGTGAGACTCTCCAGCAGAACAAGATCATGAAGGTCATCAAGAAGAACATCGTCAAGAAGACCCTCGAGCTTTTCACTGAGATCGCTGAGGACCGCGAGCAGTTCGACAAGTTCTACTCTGCTTTCAGCAAGAACATCAAGCTTGGTATCCACGAGGATGCTCAGAACCGTCAGACTCTCGCTAAGCTCCTTCGCTACCAGTCCACCAAGTCTGGTGATGAGTCCACCTCCCTTGCCGACTACGTCACTCGCATGCCCGAGCACCAGAAGCAGATCTACTACATCACTGGCGAGTCCATCAAGGCCGTTGCCAAGTCTCCCTTCTTGGATAGCCTCAAGCAGAAGAACTTCGAGGTTCTCTTCCTGGTTGACCCCATTGATGAGTACGCCTTCACCCAGCTGAAGGAGTTCGATGGTAAGAAGCTCGTCGACATCACCAAGGACTTCGAGCTCGAGGAGACCGAGGAGGAGAAGGCCGAGCGTGAGAAGGAGGAGAAGGAGTACGAGTCTCTTGCCAAGAGCCTCAAGAACATCCTCGGCGACAAGGTCGAGAAGGTCGTTGTCTCCCACAAGCTCGTTGGTGCTCCCTGCGCCATCCGTACGGGTCAATTCGGTTGGTCCGCCAACATGGAGCGTATCATGAAGGCCCAGGCTCTCCGTGACACCTCCATGAGCTCTTACATGTCCTCTAAGAAGACCTTTGAGATCTCTCCCAAGTCCTCCATCGTCAAGGAGCTCAAGAAGAAGGTCGAGACTGATGGTGAGAGCGACCGCACTGTCAAGTCCATCACTCAGCTGCTCTTCGAGACCTCCCTTCTTGTGTCCGGTTTCACCATTGAGGAGCCCGCCAGCTTCGCTGAGCGTATCCACAAGCTCGTCTCCCTCGGTCTGAACATCGATGAGGAGGCCGAGGCCACCGAGGAGACGGCCACCGAGGAGGCTGCTCCTGCCGCCGCCGCCGGCGAGTCCTCCATGGAGGAGGTCGACTAAATGTCGTGCGCAAAGCTTAACTCCTTCACGAAGCTCATATGCGTTTTGATGACCCTCACTAGTTCCAGCGGTATTAGCCTCAGGGATCTATATGTTAATCACTGAACCAATATTGCTTTCTAATAGGAACAGCAAAGGATCCCTTTGTTTATTCTCTTCATTTATTACCCCACCTCCCTGATTCACTATGTGAATTCCTTATGGCGTTTTGAGCGTTTCTTTCTTCACTTCAGTTTTATCAAATCAAAATATGTCTGTTCTGATCAAATCACTTACACTACTTGTTCATTCAGGTAGGGGAATCCTCAGATCAGTAGATTCATATTGGAGAAATAAAAGCTTCTCTTGTGTAATGATGCATCTCCTCGTAGACTGTGTCTTGTTCTTTGCAGCCCGGCGCTATGATAACCCGTACGTCTGGTATATAATCTAAGAAAGGGCCTAGCTTTATGGTGCATGAAGCTTGGGCAGAAAGTCAAAGGTATTATTGGAATCCTCAAGTCACCTAGCCACGTGATCTTCCCTGGTTCATCCGCACGAGTTCAGAGATGGAGATATTTCCATACAGTTTCAGCACCTGCAGAGTAAGACATTGTTCAAGATGGCCAATACTTCCGCTATGCCAAGTAGACCGCCAAGCGGTTGGTCGGTGCCTTGTACTTTCTACTCCGGAGACGATATATCTCCTTCAGCCATATTGGGTTTGATCACAAAGGTACTATTCAGGAAGAGGGAGTTTGAGACTAGATGATACAAGAGGTTGCCCGAAGCCGGGTGCGTAAACATCCTACGGAGTTATATATCTGGACGAATAGACATGTCATCAAGGGGCATGAAATGCGGTATTGAGCGAGAGATTGGGGGGGGGGGGGGTGGATAGTGCAGTGAACAAATATATGCTAGAGCGAATTGATAACACGGGCCGATAACCTTGAAGCGCCGAAGACAAAGTGAGGTGAATGGTATTGGGTTAATGGGACATGAGGACATGAGGACAATGAGCCCCCCTTGGCAGCAGCATATGTAGATGGGTAATAGGGGGAGGGGCATGAAGGCAGCACGCTTCTTGAGAACTGCAATAGTCCAGCGAAGTCTAGAGCGAAGATAAAGCCAGGATGTTGGAGCTGTGATGCGGGAATGAGTTATAAGGGTGGGACTCGTTCATCAGTATGAACTGAAAGGCTGAAGCGGGAAGGTACGGACGGCATTATCCTTAGTTGCTGGTGTTGTACCAGTCCAGGTGCCATTCGCACAGGTTGCGTGAGGGAAACCCACAGGCCTTGGCCAAACAAAATGCGAGCCCGCCAATTACCCCGAAGCTCCCTACAACCTGGACGACGGTCCACCCACGTCGCCGGAGGTCCTCGTACCATCGTACGAGGCCTAGCGGGTCTTGGGGGCTGAGGCGAGCGACCTGATACCCCACGTTGTGTCCGTTAACAGTCCGGCGGACTACCCCACCGCCACCAGCTTTCTCGGTAGGCCTGTGGAGGCCGCAGAAGCCCGGGGTTTGTGTGATTGGAATCAACGATCCCTCAACGACACACTCCCCGATACGTTCCGTGAGCCAGATGGCGCGTTCGCCCTGGGCCATCGCGGCGTATCTGTCTCGTTCGTTCTGAAGGCTTTGCTGCAAATCCGAAGCCCACCTGGCCAGCTGCACACGAGCCAAGCGCTCCTCCTGACGGGTGTGGTCCGCGAGCCGAGCCATGGTGTATGTGGCAGAGCCGCGGTGAACACTGTGTGCGAGTGTGAGAGCGCTCAGAGGGAGATGACTCTGCTCCTCCTGCTGCAGCTGCTCCTGCGAAAATCTTTTCTGCTGTTGAAGGGCTAGCTTCTTTGCAGCTGAATGGCGCATCCAGGCAACGTTCTCCCTATCAAAGACTCGTCGAACCAGCAACATGAGTTCCGAGGGTACCAGAGGTTGGACATAGTCTGGGCTCATAAGGGTGCTGGCATCCATTACATCGTCGTTACTGGCTTTGGCGGAAGATACCGCGAAAGGTAGGTGACCATGGATGTCTTCCGTGTCTGTGCTGGAGTCGCCGAGAAGAAAAGGCTTGATGGACAATTTCTGAGCGTGCTTCCGGAATGAAGACTTTAAAGCGAAGATATTCTCGTCGGTCAAAAGGTCTGATTTAGCGATGAGGGGAATGACATTGGTCCAATCACAGAGCCTTTGAATGCACTCCATATCGGCGAGGAGGGTTTCTAAGAAAGTGTTGGCTGTTATCACGGCCGTTGAAGACCTGGAAAAGTTCGAACTACTCACCTTCGGAGATGAGGTAAAGAACAGCATCCACTTGGGTCCCACCGTTGCCAGCAAGTAAATTCTGGAAATCATGGTTCAGGGCATCGATGGCGGTGGTTGCTCGAGACAGTTGCTGGCGGATATATTGTATGACCGAATCGGTCTGCTCCGATCGACCCATAGACGTGGCTGAAGTATCTACAAAGCAAATGTTGCGCTCCAGAACAACATCGCCTGTGCTTTTCCTCCGCCGGAGCACACGCGAGTCCTCCAAATCCGACCACCACGACGGATAGGGCTTGGTACTAGCGTATATTTCCGTGATGGCCACTTGTGGAGACCTGAAGTTGTGGGACGTCCGAGAAGATTTAATGGATGGCCGTGATATTTTAGTAGGGGAGGCCGAGGCAAAATCGTCCATGTGCACAATGTCATCGCAGGCCTGAACTATAGACTGGATGAGAGACGACTTTCCCAACCCTTGTAACCTTTTATCAGCATCCCTTTCTCAGTGGTAGCATTGACGGTTCCCAGCCTACCAGATGAACCTGCAATCAAAACCTTCAATCGACCTAGAGCCTTCCCACGATCTGTGAAGGGTTTCCGACTGGGCATCTTGATGCTTGGCATGATCAGTTGGGAGGTGTTGTCTGAAACAGGATAATGCGCTATGCGATAGTCGTCATCACCATCATCTTCTTCTTTCTCTTCTTCTTCTTCTTCTTCTCCGGAGGCCACAGCCTGACTACTCAAATCATCGTTGATTGAAATATCATCAAGATGGCGCATGGAATGATTAGAAATGGATCGGGGACTACTTGGCAGGGATGAGTGGTCATCCGGGTTATCGAAAGTCAAAGGGGTCAACGGTCGCGAGGAAAGTTCCTCAGGAGAAGGCCGAAAGGGTTTTACTGAGCTGGTAGTAAGCATATCTGAAGGCTTCAAGGTCGACCTGCGACGGATTGTCTGGCGGGCTTCACGCTCCTCTTCCTCATCTCGAACCAGAGGCTTATGAGTGCGGGTGACAGACTCCTCCAGGTCAGGCTGGCGGTTGCAAGACAAATTCGAAATAATGTCTTTTGAAATATCCGTTTCCTCCAGACTCTGTACCCCATATAGATTCTCCGCGGGACGTTCAACTTGGTCGGGGAAAAGCTCCCTATCGATATCGGTGGTATGACTGCTGCTGCGGGCCAGGAAGAAGGTAGCGGGGGCGGTACTGCGGGGATCGGACCACTGCTGATCAAGCGAGGCTTTGCGGGATCGCGGTACCGCAAGGTCCGGCACCGGTGGCCTCATCGTGGGGCAAAGCAATAGTTGTGAATCACCAGATAAAAAGAGTAAATGCCCAAGTAGAATATATACCCATACCGTCGTGGTGGTGGTGGTGGTGGTGGGGCGGGGGGTGGAGTGGGGGGAGGGAAGGGCGGGGGAGGGCGGTGTTTTGATGGTAGCACCTGGATATTGTTGTTAGGTTGTCTTCACTCTTACATTAATCGTTGATTGGTGTTTATGTCATCATCCTCATGGCATGTCACATCTCAGTCACCAGACCCCGCACATGACAAGTTATGTAAGCTCATCTCCAGAGTGAAACGACCACTTAACGTTACATAATACGGAGAAGATGGGGATCTTTGGTTGGGCCGTGCTCTTATAACAGCAGCAGGTTTCCATTACTCAAATCGGCTTGCAATTGGAGAGTGAGAGGAACCAAATTCGAAACCCTCCTCTCCCGCGGCCCGGGTTTTGTGCTTAACCCCAATAACGTAGTGGGGGAGAGAAAAAGAGAAAGTGGTTCGCTGACCATTCAGGCTCGCTGAGAGGTATGCAATACATACAGATTCATTCAAACCATGAGACTTCTCTTTAGAGACTACTAGTATGAGTACGATGAAGTAGGTGCCTACCTTAGTAAGGTAGTGGCAAAAAAGGTCCATACACTAGCTTGAAGTACTAGTACCAATGAATATTCTAGTATTATATATCGGTAATTATAACATACAGTACATCCTCCCGTATCCAATTTCTCTAATGCTGCTCGTCCCGGGGGGGGGGTGGTGTGTGTGTGTTCTTCCTTAGTTTGTCTCTTTTTTCTTTCCTGATCTTTTCCCCACCAGAACTACTCCGTACCAAAAGAGACAAATCTAGAACTCCCATCCACCCTCGGGCTAGGATTGGCACATCTCTTTGGTACACTGCATCCCTCTCTCTCAGTCTGCGTAACTGTCAGTTTTATTTGAGGCACTATAAGTAAGTTCTTTCCAGCTTCTTACCTAACCTCTAATATGACCGGAGACCAATGCTGCAGACTACTCCTTCCCGTGCCGGCATCCTAAGCCAGGCACCAGACTGATAAGTTACTAGCGAGTACCACTGGACCACCGGTCAAATGAATTCAGCTCGCTAATGGACTGGCAGGAGACTGAGACTAATGTACGACCTAAAGCAGACAAGGTCGGCTAATAGGCACGATGAAACAGGCCTTATCATTATTATAATTCTTATTCTTGAGGTGCAGCAAACTGTATGTACATACAGTACATACCCGACGGATTCCGTCGCTCCTGTCTCGTGGTGGAATTTCTTTGCTCCAGAGGTCACTTGGGCATTTGCCCAAAACGTAATGTCTGATCAGCCAGCCCGCTAGCCCGTGGTCGTGAACCAATTCAGGATCGATTGGAATTGTGAGAAGATCCCAGAAGGCTGTGGGCTAAATCGCAAATACAGACCAACGGCGTGGCGTGGCGTTGCCTTGCTTTACGTTGCTTTGCTCACATCCTGCAGGGTGAAAATGATAAGTAAGACCCCGGGAAACCAAGACCACCACCTATGGTCTGATGTAGGAAATCAAGCTGTTGAGCTCAGGCCATGTTAATCTATCTCGTTTTCAGCCTTGGATAAATAGCAAGTACAGTACTGGAGATGCATACTCATAGATCGTAACCTGCGTTTACACAGTTAAATAAGTATGTACTAAGTAAGTAAGTAACATATCGGTAATCGCACTGAGTCAATACGTAGGTACTTTACTAACTTATCCACCCGGGAATTTGCCCTCCGGCCCTCCCCCCCCTCTCTCTCTTTTTCACCGACTCCACTGGGCCGGGGCCCTTTTCCCCGATCACTACCGGCTACGTACTAAGTACTAAGTCATAGTTTACTACACATGTATGTACGTACTCCGTAGACAAGTTACTAGACTACTCGTACAATCTCCAGTACCATACGGCGTACTTCTTTACAAACTACAATTATCGTTCCGGTGATTGTTTTGCTCGAGGCTAATTTATAGCGTTCAATTACACGCTAAATCCAGGAAGGCTTCTGTAGTTCTGTTATCCGCGGAAATTGTGCCATTGGGTTCAGTGCCGCGGGACTTATTAGCCTTTTAGACTTTCTAAACTTGGAAGGTTTCTCGGTTCTCTCTTTTCCTGGAGTCTCTCTTTTACTTTTAGTCCCGAGTCCTCCTGAAGCCAGCCAGCTAGCCAGCCAGTCAGGCCGCTCATCCTCGTTCCTCCGCTCCTCTCTCTCTCTCTCTCTCTCTCTCTCGCTCTGAGTCTCCCTCCCCTCCTTCCCTTTTTCATTATCTTATTTTATTTTTGGTGGTTCGCTTTTGGTTCACTTTTGGTTCATTTTTCCAAAATCATCATCCGAGTCTTCTTCTCTTTCTTCTTCTTCTTATCCTCCTCCTCTCCTCCTCCTTTTTATTTTTTACCTTTCTTCTCGCGTGACCATTCCCAGTTCTGTTCTGGTGGTTGAAGCGTCGTTCTCATCGGTACCTAGTAGTCTGGAACTAATCTCTCTTTCTGTTTTGACTATTCATCCTTCGTCCTCCACCATGTCCCTGAAAGCCTCCTCCTGAGCGTGCCCTACGCCCTTCTCTCCCCAAGTAAATGGCCCTCATTGAATTAGTTTGGTCCTTGTTCGTCTTTTCGTCTTGATTCTAATCGCGACGCCCAGCTCTTTCCCAGTCCCTCCTCCCCTCCCCGCATCAACCCATCGTCGACAATCAAACGTCTGCCGCTCACCGTCTCCATTGCTCCACTTTTCTTATCGAACAGAAGCTGGGAGTTCCATCCGTTCTGCACCCCCTTCCACTTCGTCATGGACCAAGGGCATTCCCTGTCCTGGTCGGACATTCCTCCGTCCAACGACGATGAATTCACCAACTTCCTCGAGTTCGGAATGCAGTTTCCCGACGTGGACGGTCAACCTCAACCGGACCATCACGCTTCTCGTCCATTGATTCACGCTGTCACCATGTCTTTGCCCGTCTCGACCGCCGCTGCGCAGGAGCAATTGGTTAGTTTGGATACTGGCGACATGACTGCCCCCGCTTCGTCGTACAGCCCCATGATCAACAACGATTTCGCCCTGGACCTTGCCCATCACGGGCAACAAGCTCAGCCACATGGCTCGTCCTTCTCGACCGCGCCAATCACCCCGGCCTTCTATGCACACAAACCACCCATGTACCATCCTCATCAGCACGCGTCAGTCCCGGATCAGTCACACTCGTTATCTCAACCGACGCAGTCGATGTCCCAATCCTTTGTCCCGCAAGGCAGACCGGTCATTCCTCCCACTCCGAACAGTGTCGAGTTCCATGGAAATGCCGCTACATTCCCGCAGCGGGCGGACGACACCCGTGAAGTTTACGAACGGTATAACCGTGTGAACGATGAACAAGTAAGCGTCTTGAATAGGAATAGATGGAAGCATCTTCGGAGAGCTAATGCATACGTCCGCTTCGCTCTAGGCTCTTTACACCCCGCTTGTCTCGCCAGCCATGACACCGTTGGAAGCTCAGTTTCGTCTTCCTGAATACACTATTCCTGGAGAGTACTTCACCCCTCTCACATCACCAGCCCTCGAGGCACAGCACACGAACTCAAGTGGCTATCCCTTCCATTCCAGCCAGGTGTCGGAGCTGGGGTTTGTCCCTTCACCTGCCGACAATCCTCTGACCATGGCGTCCAGTCAGTCATCCCCGGGGCTGATACGGAAACATCGCCGACAGCCGTCCAGCACAAAGTCCTTTTCGGCCCGTGCGAAAAAGCAGCAATCGCCCTCGGTTCGGCCACAAACACGCAAAAAGTCCTTGATGAGCCTCAATGCCGACGAGCTTTTGAATAGCCTCAGTCAAGACCCGGTTGCCAATGCCACCCACGCCTCTGGCGAGATTGGACTTCGTTATGCCAGCAATGAGAGCTCCGGTCAAGATTCGGTCTCGCCAGAGCCTCTCTCCGAGCCCTTAATGCCCCCGCCTGCTTTGCCTCACTCGCGGAGATCGCCGGCCGTTCGCCCTCAGCCAGCTCGACCCTCAGAACCAAGTGAACCTGCGACGCCGGCGATGCTCATGCGCATTCAACGGTCACCGGTCTCGACCACCCAAGCAGTTCCTCGATCAACCCCCACTATCTCCGAACCCCATGACGACGTAATGGAAGATGTGGTCCTCCCCGAGGCCGCAACTTCGCTGGCTCCTTTCACAAGACCGCAGGTGGCTCGTATTGAAACTACGGTGCAGGCGGAATCGGCTTCGTCAGAAACCTCAGGAAGTACGACCCCAGCTCTGGAGCCGAATTCCGCCCCGGCCGTCAACCGAAACTCCTCCTTGGCTCCCAGCCCTCGCTCAATTGCTATGCCTTCGCCAAGCGGCCCGCTGCCCAAGAAATCGGACACACCCAAACTCGGTCCGATAGGGCGGAAGCGACAGAGCTTGAGTTCCTCGCAAGCTAGTCCCAGCCTGCGTCCCAAAATCAGTCCCAGCATCCAACCGCTAGTCCGTGGAGATGGTAAGTATTCCCTAGCCGCACTATTGATCTACGAGTCAGCTGATCGGATTCTGTTCCCAGCAATGTCGAGCGAAACATCGGCTCTGTACTTGGCATCGAAGTCGAACTATCAGCACATTCTGGACGGCACCCTTCTGCCTGGCGTCTCCTATCCCGAGACCTTAGCAGAGAATCTCAGCTCAAAGCGCACCAACCACAAATTGGCCGAACAGGGACGAAGAAACCGCATCAACAACGCACTCAAGGAGATAGAGACACTCATCCCTCCGTCATTCATCCAAATGAAACATGCTAAGGAGGCTGCTGCCTGTCCCCTCAAGGGAGCCGACAAAGAAAAAGACAAAGCGAATAATCAACCAATCAGCAAGGCCAGCACGGTAGAGATGGCAATCGATTACATCAAGAGCCTTCAGCAGGAGCTTGAAGAGACTAAGGGCAAGCTGGACATCGCGGAGAGTCTCCTGCGAGACTCGGAAGCCAAGTCGAAGCAGGCCAACGCGACCGCAGGCGTTGAGAGTGGGCCGGAAGTACAATCTACAGTCGGAGGCAGCGATCGTGACTAATGAACAAGAGAATGGTTCTTAAGTAGATTCTGAGATTGTAAGCTGTATTCCCGGTAGCGGTCCCTGTCCCCCAGCGATACGATGTCCACGAAGCTGCATACTACCGAACAGGAAAGGCATATGACGAGAAAGGAAGTTCATATTTACACATACCTATGTGGGGTAGCTTGTGGGATGTGGCTTGCAACCCTTTCCCAGGAATATTGTCACTATATATGGTGTGGTAAATATTTGATCCGGCGTACCCTGGTGGATGTTACGCTCGATACGTGATCCGGCTTCAAGGTTGTTGGATTACTGTACACCTCGGCGACTGCAACAAGCCAATGGCTGCCTGTCGAGCAACGTATTATTCAATCAAACCTGCTGCACAGCTCATGCTCCATCTTATAGTTCAGGCGGTCTACTAGTCACTGGACATTTCTTTTTTACACAATTTTCACATGGCTAGCGCATGCCCCAGGTACCAACTGATCATCACTGAGCTTACGGTCACAAAGGGAGATGATTGAATACAGGGCATATGAGGTGGCATCAGTGGGTAGAAATATATTATCACGAATGGGGTAGCCATCAGGGAGACAAGCTTGGTTGGAATCGCCCCTCTTCAGTAGTCCCGCATGACTGCCACCATCTCGTCCAACCGGGTGATTTCGCCGAGCAGTAAAGCCTCCTTGCTTCTCCATTGCCCTAGTAGGGTGAGCTCCGCCGGGGACAGATACCGCTCTTCGTTCCCCTTGACGTCACTGCGCTCAGTCTTCTCCAGGAATTCCTTGAGTCGACTCCGCTCGAACCGTAAGCGCTGCATGCACCGAGACATAGCCTTGTAGGTGTCCTCCAAGATGCTGTCACGGATCCGGTCCGGATCGTAGAACCATAGGTAGATTGTACGCGACGGCTGTCGCTGTGCGTCTCGCGGGACTTCTTGCAAGTCTACAAATCCGCCGGACTGCATGCTGGCTAATACCTGCCGCAAGTCCTTAAATGGAAGGAGGCTGATTTCCTGGAGGCGCTTCTCGTCGAGTTTGCCCTTGGCGTGGAGGACGCGGATCACTCGTAGAGCGACATCGCCGTAGCGAGCTTCGATGACACGTTCGAGTTCCAAATGCCGCAGCTTACGCGCCAGGTGTCGGAACTCCACTGTCCAGGTTATGAGGCCGGATACGACACGCTTCGAGGTCAAGTTGTAGGGGGGTTGGGAGAGAAGACTAAGATGCTGGTCGATCTCATAGGTCCGGCTAGGGGCGTCGGAGTCTTGATGGCTGGTCCCATTAACTCCATCGTCGTCTAAAGGTCTCTTTCCACGCTTGCTGACAGGCTGCTGGGTTTCCATGGGGCCGATGGAGCCCGCAAGATCTAACTGCGGGTCGACCTCTTCCGTCACCGCACTCAGCGCAATCGCAACGGAGTATTGCTCGCCTTCTTCTCCTTCGCGAGGGATTTCCACGCTGTCCCGACATTGTTTGGTCTGGTATTCAATGCGTCGCAGGAGACATTCGTAGACTTGGGCGGTGGCCGACGACGCGTGCATCTCCGCAAGGTCGAGGAACCGTCGATTCCGCAGAGCAACGTCCAGTTTCTCGTAATTGACTCGGACAACTATTCCGGACTAGATGGACGCAGCACCGTTAGTCTCAGTGACGAGCATAAATCAACACGATGAGCTTTTTACCTCCATAGGAGTTGCGTCCCCTCCCATGTCGTCATCAGACCACTCATTCTCCTCCTCAGCCTCGTCCTCCATGTCATAGTCCATCCGGGCACTCTTGTCCGCAGACCCACTACCAGGCCTTCTCTTGGCACCACGCGGTAGGCCGTTATGCATCAATCCACGGGTAAGATCTCCATCTAATTTTTCCTTCAGCATAGCAAGTGTGCCTTCTAGAACCGTTTCCTCGAGCCGTTTGCCTTTCATCTGTTTGACGTCGGGCCGCGACTTGATTGCACGTTCAGCATCAAGCGCGTTGTCTGCATAACTTTGAAATTGCGCATCTCGGACCCGGATCAAATATCCATGGGATGCCAATGCCTTCAATGTCGGATGAAGCAAAGCTGGCTGTTCGATGGCTCCATCCACGTTATGCCCATTCACTCGTTCCCCCGCTCCCTCTCCTTCGAGATCGTCATTGATGCCGTCCGCCTCCAATTGTCCAGGTCTTAACTCGGGCAGTGTCTCGAGATGGCTGATCTGAGCATGTCCGAGGAACATGATGGTGGACATGACAGTTGCCGCATACTTACCTAGCCGGTCTTGAACGAATGCGAGGATTTTACCGGATCGTACTAAGTAGTACGCAGCTTGTGGGTTGGGCTCGTAGTAGGTGACTCCCTCGTCGTAAGAGGTATAGTGATAGATGAGGTGATGCTGGATCATCGCGGCGAGACCATGACGGAGCTGACGGTCAGACAGGCGCGAATAGAACTTGAGACGAGGAAAGGACAATCGGTCATAACGTTGAAGAATTGAAAAGATGCGCTGGTCATATTGAGGGCAAAGTCAGTGTAACTGCACCATCTACATTTTTTTGGGGGCACGGTAGCTGTAAAATGTCGGGTGTATCGAAAGCGAACGAAGCGAAAGTTTGAGCTATGAGCATACCGCAAAAAGCTCGCCAAAGTTGTCCTCAACTAAGAGCGCGCAAAGCTCCGCTGCATACTGTGTAAAACGTTTGTTAGCACGAGGATAGAGCTAGCAATGGAGCGTTGTCGCATACTTGAGAAGCCATGATTGAAAAGGTTGTCTAGAGAACCACCGCCGTCAATTCTCCAGGGCAAAAATCGAGGTCACCGAGGGAAGAGCATGAGGCACTTTTAAGAGAAAAGAAGGCCTTTCAAATTGTCACTCTTGAGGAATTTCTTATTTTCCTTGACAATTGATTGGCGTTACTTCTTATCGCACGTCGCAGGCGGAAGAAACTCACGTGCAGTCGTAAGAAGAGTATATCACATGACCTCAGCTGACTCGGAGGAGGAGGAAAAGCCGGTTCCGCCCGCACACCCAATTCAGGCCAATCAGAGTACGAGTAATCAACAACGCCGGCATCTTGAAGCTTTTCAGACATCGTTTCTAACCCGTTCAACGACCGCCAGCAGCTCTCCTCGGCTCTTCTACCTTCCCACCCCCTTCAATTGCTGTTGAGCCCCTCGGCTTCATATTTACCTTTCTCCCTTTGTCTCTTCTACACATGCGATAATGCTGTCGCGATCCACCATCAGCCGAAATGCGCCCCGTGCGCTTCACAAGCAGTGCTCTGCTGCTGGTGGCACCAGCCGTCGAGGCATGGCATCTGCCGCTACCCCTGGCCTCCAGTACGATGTCTCCGAGTCTGCTGGTGTGAAGGTCGCCAACAGAGAGGTTGCCGGCCCTACCGGCACCCTGGCCCTCGTTTCCAAGGCCGGTACTCGCTACCAGCCCTTCCCTGGCTTCTCCGATGCTCTCGAACAGTTCGCTTTCAAGGTTAGCGCTCCCGATTTAATTGCTCGTTCTGCAAGTCTCAGGCACAATATCTTAGACATAAGTGAACTGACGCTTGCTTGCAACGACTAGTCCACACTCAAACGCTCGGCGCTGCGGATCAATCGGGAGGTCGAACTGCTGGGCAGTGAGGTTTCCGCTACACACTCGCGTGAGAATGTTGTCCTCAAGGCTAAGTTCCTCGCCAATGACCTCCCTTACTTCGCCGAACTTTTGGCGGAGGTTGCTTCTCAGACCAAGTTCTCCGGTATGTCATCCTGCTAGGCTTCAATTTGTCGTTCAGACAAGTCTGATATATGGGTGTTTTTTTTTTTTTGCGCTATTAGCCCACGAGTTGAGCGAGGTTATCCTCAAGACCCTTAAGTACAGACAACAAGCTCTTGCCGCCAACCCCGAGGCTGTGGCTATTGATGCTGCTCACGCCGTGGCTTTCCACCGCGGTCTGGGTGAGAGCATCACCCCCTCGGTTACCACTGCTTTCGAGAAGTACCTCTCTGCTGAGGCCGTCGCGGAATTTGCCCAGCAGGCGTTCGCTAAGTCCAACATTGCCATCGTCGGCAGTGGCCCCAACTCTGCGGAGGTTTCCAAGTGGGTTGGCCAGTTCTTCAAGGAGGCTCCCAGCGCTGGTAGCTCCTCCAAGTACCAGCTCCAGCAGAGCGCCGCCTCCCAGTACTACGGTGGCGAGCAGCGCATCTCCTCCAAGGCTGGAAACGCTGTCGTTGTGGCTTTCCCCGGATCTGGCGCCTTCGGCACCTCTGCCTACAAGCCCGAGGCTTCCGTTCTCGCTGCCCTCCTTGGCGGTGAGTCCACTATCAAGTGGACCCCCGGTTTTTCTCTTCTCGGCCAGGCCACCCAGGGCTTCTCCCAGGTCCGTGCCTCGACCAAGAACCTCGCCTACTCGGATGCCGGTCTATTCACCATTTCCCTCTCCGGCAAGGCCGAGCAGATCAGCTCCGCTGGTAAGAGCGCCGTCGATGTCCTGAAGAAGGCCGCTGCTGGCGAATTTGCCAGCGAAGACGTCAAGAAGGCCGTTGCTCTGGCTAAATTCCGTGCTCTTGAATCCGCTCAGAACCTTGAGACTGGTCTCGAGGCTACTGGCTCCGCTCTCATCAACGGCAGCAAGCCCTACCAGATCTCCGAGGTCGCTCAGAGCATTGACGCCGTCACCGAGGCCCAGGTTAAGGAGGTATGTTCACTTCCCCAAAACATCGTCCACACGGCAGCAAATCACTAACCGCGTTACCTTACCCTTTAGGTTGCCAAGTCCTTCCTGTCTGGCAAGGCTTCCGTTACCGCCGTCGGCGACCTCTTCCAGCTTCCCTACGCCCAGGACCTTGGCTTGACCGTTTAATCATGTATACGACAAATACATTTTAGACTGGCTCTGCTTTTGGAGGAAAAGCGCGTCTTCCGTTTCCTTTCATCTTGTGTCTAGATCAACCCTTCCGCAGATATCTTGTTTCTCATTTGGGATGATGTGGCTGTAGTGGTGTGCGTCTGTAATACAATTGTATCTTATTCTTACATTGCGTGCCTTATGCGGTGAGATCTTGGCCCAAATGAGTGTGTGTAGACAATCGTATATCTACGGTTGAAGTCGTCAGCCCTGGTTTGTAGCAACAGTCCATAAATAATGTAGGTCTCACGCACATGTTATGCACACTATATTTCTGAGTTTCCCGCAAGCGTTTGCATGGGCTGACTGCATGGGCTGACTATGAAGCTAGAAGTAGTTTCAATTATCAAGATAGTGGAAGACTAGAATCAATCTACCCTTGCTGGAAGACTTATCCGTATTCTTTGATCTGGTCTCAAGCGGATTGTGACTTGATGAGGTCAACCTTACACAGCAGGGTAGGTGCACCAAAAATCGTTCCAATCTCCAAAGAGACCCGGATAGGATTTGTTCGGGCATGTTATGCTCATAGATAGTACTCTTCGTTTCGTTTCTTCGTCTACGGTCAAAGGCAATCGCTAGTTGTAATCGGCGCTTTCCCGAGGTTCACAAGGACGAAAATCACAAAGTATATCCGTATCTAACACCTGTCATTCAGAGGCTGTACAGAGCAGAATGACCTTCTTGACACAGCAGAGAGCTGGTCTCAGTCCATCTCAGCAATTTGACAAGGAGTTTAGTATCGCGGGAGAAATCTTTCCGGGACACTCCAATTTCTTTGTGAACTGAAGCCTACCTGCCCACCCCACGAGCATTTATGAGACGCCCCGATTAGTAAAGGGTGGATCTTTTGACCAGGTCTCAGGCAAATCGGCCAACAAAACCATGTACTGCAACTGTAATACGTACGAGACAAAAACTTTGTCCTAACATATAAAGCGCAGGATAATTTATACAACTCGCGCCAAATTCGCATCTGCCAATCTTGGCCAACGAGCCATCAACATGCGCAGGTCTATTAACACTAGTATAGTAAAGAAAATGCTTGTAACATCTGTTGTGCGGCATGCTCAGCACGTCGCTTTACCTCGCTCCATCAACAGTTCGGTCTGAGAGGACAGCAAACTGACCGGGCCAGCATGTGTTCTTGCCGCCTCCGACCGTGTGCATGGCAGAAGGGTATCTCAAACCTTCCCTAGTGCTTCGCGGTGACAGCTTCGCCCGTCAGTTTTTCGACTGCCTCCTTGGCCCTGTTCGGTGCAACGGAGATCCACACGTTAGCCGGAATTCTTCCCTCGGTAATACCGCGAAATCACATGGCGAGTCCGGGGTGCGCCGATCCAGCCGGGCTAGCCCGGTGGCATTGCTCATTCGATGGATGGTTTCGAAGTATGCGAACAACCCGGAATTGCAAGGACAAAAATGCGGGGACGGGGTTCAACTTACATGTCACCCAGAGCCACCATGCAGACGGTCTGCCAGATTCCCAGCCCCACCCGAGGAGCCACACCACGGTAGAGCCCTTTGATGCCGTTGTTCTCATAGATGTACTTGGCAGCCTTGCCAACCGTCAGATTCTTTGGGCGGTTGGGATCGTCTGTCTTGCTCTGCATTTCGACACGGATCACCTCGATGGGCTGATTCCAAGCCGACAAACCACCACCCAGGCTCGAAGCCAGAATCTTCTCGAAAGCGTTCAGCTTCTGGCTGTCATCCTTGTTGGTTACCTTGCGGATTGTCTGCTCCGCCAAGCGCGAGAACCCGAAACGGGAACCCCAGTTGGTGGTCTGGCGAATAGCGACCGCATTAACACCACGGTTGATACCACGGATACCTTCCTTGCGGTAGATGTCCATGAAAGTCGCGAAGGTGCTGGGAGGCTTGACACCCTGCGCAGCCATCTTGTGTTTGGTAATCTCAACCGTCTTCATGCAGGTACAGAATCCCATTGTGGCATAGGCTTGAGCGATGCCGCCAACCATACCACCAGCGATTCCGGCCATGAAATCGGGAGCACCAAGGACCTTGGCGCGGAACTCAGCTTCCGACGCGACAAAGAGTAGGACAGCGCCTTTGGTGGAGGCCTCAATCCAGGCCCACGGAATGAGACCTTGATAATCTATTGTGACTTCACGTCAGACACAGCATCCGACACACTAGTCACGAGAAACTTACAACCGAGGATCCCGCCACGACCCCAAATCCGACCCATAGCACCGGCGAAGCTATCGCCTCGGTTTGCGGCCATGGTTGTCTTGATCACCTCCAGCGGCTAGATTTGAACCGTGTTAGCTTAACCGACACTCGCCGACCCTGCGGCTTCACATCAGTACGGAAGTCATACCTGTCCCAAGGTTGTGACCCTATTGCTGGCTGTTAGTCATCCATAATTTAGTGTGATGGTGTCATGAGGGAATGTAATACGTACTCGAACAAGTTCAAACCTGCACCGACTGTAGACAGGGCCATCAGAATCATGGATATTGGCCGGTAGAGACGAATGAGGGCCCAGATACGTACGCAATAGATTGCTGAATTTGACAGGCTTTTTCTCAAGCGTTTGGCCGGCAGCAGCCGTTGCAACAGGAGCGGGAGACATCTCTGAACTTGGGGAGCGCTGAAAGGGGCCCTGACCAAGGGATATAAGGGGCTTCGTCGCCTAAAGGATCGCAAAAGATGGCAGAGAAACTGCAGATGGGAATGTCCAGTCACAAGTAGGTGGACTTGTCGGTTTGGTCGCTGTTGAACACCAGGAAATTTCCGGAACGTTAGTCACCACAGAGCGCTGATTGATGGAAGGAGAAGAGAAGAGAGCAAGAACGGGAAGAAAGCAAGCAAGCTAGAACGGGGGATGGGTGGAAGGCGGAAAGAAAGCAGAGTGGAAAAAGAAAGAAGAGGAGGGGGAGGAGGAGGATGGGAAAGCATGATGTTGGTCTGGGGGCTTGCAGCTGAGTATTTGCTTATCAAGTTTCAGACAAGTTCCATAGCCAGCCAGCCAGCCAGCCAGCCAGCCAGCCATATCTGGCTAACTAGATAGATAGATGGATGGATGGATGGATGGATGGATGAGAAGGTGATTTTGATGTTTCACACGTACTATAGTAGATTGAGGTGTCGGGTAGACCAAGATGGAATAGTAACACCAAAGTCGGAAGATTCTTTTTGTTCTGGGTTTCTGAAAGTCAAGAAAGAGAAGACGAAGAAAGTGGTTGTTGTTATGTATTTTTTTCCCTCCCTTTCAGTAGTTCAGGGAAGGAGGCCCAGGCTACTACTAGGTAGAGACTCAGAAACTCAAGAGAGCGATCCGTACCAAGGAGTACCCCGTAGTAATGAGCACACATTAGCCTGGAGGCAGGAGCTCGGAGTCAGACTCGTCTTCCCGATCGCTGGGCAGCGGCTGGATGGAGCAAAACACCCCGGAAGACCCAGTCACTTGCGGGTCATTGGCTCATCATCAGTAATGTTGCTAGCCTGATCAAGGTAAAACCATACGCTAGCTATGAAGGGAGTCTCCAGCAGTTGAGCACCGGAGTAAATCGGGGCGCTGAGTACCTCAACCGTTGGGGGGGGGAAGGCTGCGGCGGGTTCAACTCGCTTCTTCCCGTTTCGGTCCACGGAGTAATGCGCTACCACCACCGCTACCACCACCACCTTGCCTAACGACGGGAGTCCACTGGAGTAAACCTGTAACTTAGTACGTACAGTACAACCCCGGGCCTGGCCCAGGGCTGGTGGTTTCCATTGTCAATTGCTTGACTGACAACACTCTGCACTCTTTCATCCCGAGGTCTGTCCTCCTTTCCCGGAGTAATCCGTCCAGAGTAAATCCAATTTAAAGAGGCGCATCCTTTACTGCGAGTCATGATGGAGTAGAGTATGTCTGTTCTACTTCACACCAGCCGCGCTCACCTTTCAGTCTACCTACTTGATGGATAAAGCCCATTCCATCTCAAAGCCCGTGTACAACATGGCACGCAGATTAGGTGAAGGGAGTGAAGAAAACAAACAGATTAGAGAAGAAAATAAAAAAAAGAAAAAAGAAGAATA